CCAACAAACTAAACAAAAATAACCAGGAACTAATTCCATAGAGGTTTATCCGAATGCATCTCTCTTTCACAAGTGCCTTTCCAGTGATAATGTTATATACTCTGTTTGCAGAGCCAGTGTCTATATCTCTTTAAGAAAATTGCTCCTGAGATCATTGCAAATCGGTTTCCTCAAAGCATAACAGAACCAAAAGATCCTACAGACTGTTTCTGTAGAGAGGAGATCCCTCTTTGACCCAACTTCATCAGGTAAATCTCATAAATTTTTAGACTAGAAATGAAAATGTTTATCAATTGTAGGGTTCAATTCTTAACCCAGAGAAGCAATAATTCACTGAAGGGCATTTTCATCTCCTAACTAGCCAAGGAAAGGCTAACTAGATCATTAATGGGATAACTCTATAAAGTTTTAGTAATTCCTTTTATAGAATCTTCAAATATGTCCAGGTTATTCTAGTTCCCATAAAATGTGACTGTGGTATAAAGATTAAGATTTTTGCTCTACAAGGGGGTCTGTGGCTTGTCCAGAATTCTACAAATCACTGAAATGATGTTTTATTTGGTGATTTTATGAAATCTAACACGAACATGCACACACACACAGCTTATACAGCTAACAACGATGATGATTTTCTTTTCTTTTTTTTTTATCCTCACCCAAGGACATTTTTCTATTTTTTGTTCAGATAGAGTGGGAAGGAGAGAGAGGAAGAGGGAGAGAGAGAAACATCGACGTGAAAGGGACACATTGAGTGGCTGCCTTCCACACAACCCAACCGGGGCCGGGGACAAACTGCAACCGAGACACGTGCCCTTAGAGGGAACCAAACCCGGGTCTCTCTGGACCACAGGCCGAAGCTCTAATTGCTGAGCCAAACCAGCCAGGGCGATGATTTAATTTTCAATGTTAAACTAACATTGCACTGACAAAAATTACAGCTATAGAATAAATCTGCAAACAGCCAGAACTACTAAAAAGAAGCAAAGTCAAATTTTGGTTCTCGAACATCTCCCATCTTTAACAATTCAGTTCTCAACCAAGTTGTTCACAGGAAAAAATGTCTTGATTGTCAAACAACACTTTGGTTCTCAACCAGACAACCCCTTCATGCCATGTCTCTCAGGCAACAAACAAAGGAGAGGATGCGCAGTTAACTGCTAAACCTTGAGTTGTTAACATCTCAGGAAATTGTGCTGCGACTATTTTCATGTTTTTTTGCTGCTTATTATTAAATACGTACCATGGGTCCTACGGAAGTAATGACAGCAGCAAAGTGAAACGGAAAGTTGTGAGAACAACGATAGCGCTTTAAAAAGAAATGCATATAATAAAGGTTTAAAAAGGGAACCATTTGGGGGTCTGAAATGTATTAATTCAATTTACATTATTTCTAATGAGGAAGAAGGATTTGGTTTTCAAACAAATCACTTCTCAACCAGGCTTCCTGAATGAATTAAGCTCGAGAACTGAGGTTCCATTGTACTTCTGGATGAACCTATCTGGATTTAAGTATCCAGTACATGACTGTCTAGTACTTGATAATCCATTTGTTTTTATATGAAATACATAATATTACAACTTTCATGTATTCTGTTATCCCTGATACTAAATATTTCGGGCCGGATTATGCCTAAGACAAAACAGAACCAAATACAATGCAAAAGTAATAGAAATATCACCTTCTAGATTCCTTGTTTTAGGAAGATAATGTACAAGGTAGAAATCTCTTCATCAAAAAAAGGAAAGAAAAACACACAATAAAATCTTGTTGCTGTTGTTTTAAAACTAACCATTGAGTGGAGAGGTGAGGAAGTAGGCAACAGAACACCACTTATCAGTGTACAGTGTATGTAACTAATTAAGCTATGATAACCTATCTAGGCTTGCAGTTTTGACATTCCTTGACTGGATGCAATATAAAAACATGAGTGCTTAATCTTTTACCCCCTACCTACCAATTTAGAGTAACAGAAGATTTTATCTTCCAGATCTAAGGGAATTTCATTGTTTTTCCAATCAGAGTCAGTTCCCCTAAAGTGTGAGGACTTAACTAATTCAACATTTTGACTTGGATAGCATTATTGTTGAGAAGCAGCCCTCAAGGCACCCTAATGATTCTATAACTACACAAGAAAAATCTTATCATATAATCATACAATCACATTTTTATTGCCCATTTCTTGTATTACCTCATCTCATAATTCTTTCACATTAAAAGCACCTGTAGAAAAGTGCATGTAAACCCAGCCAGTGTGGCTCAATGGAGTGAGCACTGTCCCATGGACCAAGAGGTCCAGGTTCCATTCCCAGTCAGTGCACATGCCTGGGTTGCAGGCTCAATCCCCAGTAGGGGGCATGCAGAAGTTAGCCAATAGATGTTTCTTTCTCTCCCTTTCCTCCATCTCTAAAAAAAAACACCCCAAAAAACTAATATAAACATTACAAAAAGAAAAAATAAAGCGCATGTAACTAGGAATCAAGCTGTAATAAAAAACAACAACAGCCCTGGCCGGTTTGGTTCAGCGGTTAGAGCGTTGGCCTGCGGTCCTGAGAGACCGGGTTCGGTTCCCGCTAGGGGTGCGTACTTCGGTTACAGTTTGTCCCCGGCCCTGGTTGGTTGTGCGGGTGGCAGCCACTCGATGTGTTCCTTTCACATCGATGTTTCTCTCTCTCTCTGTGTTCCTCTCTCTCCCTCCCACTCTACCTGAACAAAAAATGGAGAAATGTCCTTGGGTGAGGATAAAAAAACAACAACAACAACAACAACAAAACAGCCTCTTTCTCTTCAGGCACATATTTAATGAAAAGATAATGGGGATGAACTTTCTGAGTTATTTTAACTAAAAAGTAAATATTAAGAAAAAAGTCAAGGTCAAATCCTAGTATTTCCCACAAACCAGCAGGCAACTCTACAGATCCCTAGATTCTACACACCTCTTCCCATGACAGAATACCCCAAAATAACTAATGTTGCTCTGGACTACCATAAAGTTTTTACTTTTTCCTTTCATTATATATCTAATCCTCTCCATAAATGTATTTTAAAACAAGATCTTTATTACAGTCAACCCACAATTAGCAAAGATTAGAGTCATTCAAGTTAAAAATATATATTTTTTAATTCATCCCAGCTTCTAAGTACTCTTAGTAAACAGAGAATGCAGTACGTGAAACTTAAACTCAACTTTGTGGGACCCTGAAAAGAGAAAAAAAGACTACTTCTAATTTAAGCTTGTTGAGGGAAAGCTAATCATTTGAAATGCCTTTTATACATGTTGTACCCGTATTTTCGATAAGTGTTATTGCCAGGATCCTTAACTGTTCTAGAAGTTGTTTCTGTGGCATTGCCTTGCGAAAACTTTGGAGTACTTTCAGTGATAATGTCAAACCTAAGTTTATATTTCTTAACACAAAGAGAATTGTTTATATCACCTCACAGGTCAGGTAGTAAGAAACAGAAAGACCATAGAAGCAAAATTACTTAACTCAAAGGGATCTACCAATTTTTCAAAATCAATGTCTATCTTGCCTCACAGGATCTACACCCCTCTCCTATTTTAAAGAAGGCACTTACTCTTTGGCATCTTCTTACTACTAACCTTTTCATTCATTATTTAAAACGTAAATCAATGAATCATTTGCAGATGGACTATTCCCTGTAATTGGTTTATTTTCAATTGATTTATGTGAGATCTACAACTGGTAGCTCCTTTCGAATACCAACAAGTCCTGTTTCCCCGGGTCTGCACTCTGGGACCTCTAAGTCCCCATTCTGTGACACATTCGTCCACAACCGGCTCAATAGCTCTGCCCTTCCAAACAAAAGCTCGCAGTGGCTGGGGGCTCCACGCAAACACCTCAAGGTGTTGTGTAGGTCCTGGACCAGCAGCCACCCCACACAAGTGCAGCCCCAGGCTCGGAGAAATTGAAACCGGCCAGCGGTCCGAGTGCACACACCGGAGGGAGGCGAGAGACCCTAAAGAACATTAAGGGTTGGGGGTGGGGAGGCAGGCTAAAGTCCGGGGAGACAAGGTAGCCCCCACGAACGCCTGGCAACTTCGTGGATGCCACAGGCAGGTTCAGGTAAGAGAAGTCGGCCTCCAGGAGATCGCCAACCCGGGCCGCAGGAAGCAGCCCGGGCTGATGGAGAAGCACGCGCCACCCCACCCCACCCCTCACCGGGTTGCTTACCGGTGCTGCAGCCCCACGAGTCCCAGAGCGATCACGTGCGGCACATCTAGCTGCGTGGGCCACTCTCCTGAGCTAATGCACCCGAACACGCCACATTCCTCTCGGATCCCCAACTCCTCCAGCTCCATGTCGCCAGATAAAGCACGTGGAGGGAGCTGCCGCCGCCGCCGCCGCCGAGGTCTAAGCACCAACCAGCTGCCCGCACAGCCCGTACGCCTCACAAGCTCGCGCCTGCGACGGCCGCTTCCTTCCCAGGCTCAACCCTCGCTACTGCGGCGGCGCGTGCTTCCCCCAAGTAAGCTGCTCAGCTTGCCCCCGGCCACCCTCTCCCGACTCCTCCCGGCCCACCCAGGCGCGAGGGCGGAGGCAGAGGCTGGGCGGCTGCGGGGCGGAGTCAGGGACCCTGCGGGGTGGAGCTAGTTCTTCTCTGGAGCCCTGCGGGAAGCTAATTTTTCGGCACGTGGACTTCTCCGTTATTTTCCGGCACCCGAGACTGGGGTGCGGAGACTAGCGGGGTTAACGGCATTTCTCTCCCAGAAGTTGTAAACGGTGTGCCTCTACCCACATGCCTTCCCCCGCCCATGACGACGTGGTACACTCCAACCCCTGAACCGCTCTGGCTGCAGAGAAAGCCCCCTCCGCGAGCTCCTGCAGAGGGGAGGGGCCGCCCGTGCGCGCCACTTTCCCTTCTTGGAACGGCGCCGGCGCGGGGCGGGGAGGGGGCGAGGCGAGGGCGGTGGCGGTAGGTCTGCGTCGCTGCGCCTGCGCGGCGGGAATAGTCTTGGGTAGCGCTCGCTCCCGGAGTCGAAGTCCGTCTGGGTGGGCCGAGACCCCGGGGTTCCGCTGTGGTTTTCGACCGGAGTGAGCGCTCTAAGTTGCAGCGCTCCGCCGAGGGAAAGCCCGTGGGCCGCTCCTCCCCCGCCCTGTGAGCCTCTCTGACCACTCTTGCCCAGAGTCCTGCGACTCTCCCTAGCGCGGACGCCGCCCCCAGCCCACCCCGGATAATGGCGACAGCTGACGGTGAGTAGCGGGCATCCCCAGGAGTCCGCCGGGACCCTGCCCCCCGCCACGGCCTTGGTGCGGACACGTGCGCGCACGGTGGCCCCGGCTACCACCTTCCCCTGGCAATGCCCGACCTCCCCGTCCCCGCCCCTCAAGGCCGATGGGCGGGCGGCGGACACGTGGGCCACGGGCCAGGCGCCACCAAGCAGTGCGTTGTAAATAAAGCGCACCCAGCCTCCCTGAACTTTCTGAAACACCCAGAACTGCTCTGGGACGGGGAAAAGGAAGAAAATAGAGGAAAAGGGTAATAGAACGAGAAATGACCAGGGGTTGGAGAGCTGCCTGGAAATCAATTTTGTAATCAATAGGTACTGGGAAAAAAACACAGGAACATCTAGTGTTGAATCTTCAAACTAGGTGACTCTTGTTAGGTGAATAACCTTCTATTCCAAAAAGTTAATAATGAGCCTTACGAAAATTTTGCTATTTTCTGCCCAGATTTTGTATGTGTGTGTGTGTGTGTGTGTGTGGTGTTGTGTTTTGTTTTTTGAGAGGAAGGGAGAGGGAGAAAGAGATGGAAACAGCAATGAGAGAACATCGATTGGCTGCCCCCTGCACGGCTCCCACTGAGGATTGGGCTGGAAACCCAGGCCTGTGCCCTGGCCAGAAATCGAACCAGCGACCGCTTGGTCCATGGGTTTATGCTCAATCACTGAGCTACACCGGCTGGGTGAGTATGTTGTTTTTAAAGTAGTGTTTTGATGGCGTGATGGCTTTGGAGAGCTCCGAAACCACCAGGCAAAAAGTTTCCTTGCTTCACCGTGCATTTATCATGTTTACATAATCATTTTGTGGGAAGGTGATTAGATCCTCAGGAAAGATTGTGCCCTTTATGCTGGTAAAATGTTGGAATGTTTTCTCCCCCACACATCCAATTTCTAAATTTATGTCGAACCAAAATCCCAGTATTGTCAGGTCAGTACATTCTCTTCCACATAGAAAAATTGAATTTAGGTTAAAAATTTTAGACTAAACAAAAAAGTTCAGGTGATAATGAATCAACAACTCCATGAAATCAATTTATGAGATCAGAATTTCTCCTACCATAGCTCTCTAAACTGGTAGAATTGCAAAAAGGTTGACTCTCACTTCCTTGCATCTTGCATATTCTTGGTAAGTTAATATTGCCAAAGTGTTACTTTTATGGTTTCTAAAAGGCACGTTCTCGCTCAAAAAGGTTTAATGGCAATCCAAGAATTATTAAAATCCACTCTGAAGACCTTTTCATTCACATCCTGCATACTGCTTTCTTCCTTCCTCTCAAACTTAACTGATTTTTCTATATTGTGATCTAAGCCTACATTCCAGTAAGATTAAGTCACCAAGTTTACTGTTTGTTCTCTCTGTGTGTATTTATGCTGTTTCTTCTAGAACAGTGCCGTCTAATGGAAATATAATGTGGAACCTTTTGTAACTTTGCTTTCTAGTTGCCACATTTTAAAAAGTAAAAAGAAACAGGTGAGATGGATTTTAATATATTTTCTTTAACTCAGTATAGTATCATTTCAACATATCAATATAAAAAATTGTGGCATTTTGCATCCTTTTTTATATTGAAATCCATTGTGCATTTTACACAACTCACATCTCAATTTTGAGTAGCCACATTTCAAGTATTTCATAGCCACATGTGGCTAGTGGTTACCTTTTTAGACAGCATACTCCTAGATGTTCTTACCTCTTTTCTGTGCAAGTCCTATACTTTTCAAGACTTAAGTTTCAGTTCCATGAATCAGTCTCAGTTCTCATCAATCTTTTTGGAATTCATCCACTAATTTGTAGCAGGCATTTTGGTAGTTGTAGCATGTCTCCTATGATTGTTTCTTAAGTTATTTCTACCCATTAATTGAAATTCCTACCCTATTTAATAACTAGGTAATAAATACTGATTCAACCAAATTGGGAAAGGGGCATTAGGCACAAACTTTGTTTTGCCTTTTGTCTAACTTAGGCAACATCTTGACTTTTTTTCCATCTCCATAGTGAATCAATTGTTCTTAAATTGTTTACCTTTAAAATATCTTGAGTCTTTTTTCCCACTACTTTTTCTTTAGACCAGGACATTTCTTGCCTGGACTGCTGCAACAGCATCCTAACTGTTCTCTCAGTCTCTAGTTTTCTTCCACCCCTCCTCCCCCCACTTCTTCATTTTAATACTGTTGTAATAACCTGGTTATTAATTTACAGGAAAGGAGCAAAGGGGAGACTAGATAATACAGGCATGACATGTTTATAGCTTGCCAGAAAGCTGCAGTTTAATATTCTCCAAGTCTATTCCCCCACAGATCGATGGGCAAAGGGACTGGACAGAAGCAGTTTAGACACATGCCCAGTAAGGTCTGGGTGATGTGGGAAGATTCTTACCTGTCAGTCACACCTGGGAACTAGTAATTGGCTAGAATAGGCATGGCTACTACAAGGGCACAAAATCTGAGATATTTAAACTCCTAAACAAAGGGAGTGCAAACTCTTGACTCTCTTGGCCCACTTTGCTCTCTTGCTGCTTGTGCCCGACTCTTGGCTTACAAGGGCTCTTGCGCCCCTGCACTAACCTACATGGCCCACAGCCATATGGGCCCCATACACAATGGACTGATGAACTTTGATTATCCTAATGCTACACCAGACTCGATTCCACCATGGAATGGAAACTCTGGACAATGTATTTGTTTCTAGCTTTGCTGAATTCCCAGCTACCCTCTTCCAGGACTGGACTAAGACAAATGGGACTTTGCATACTGAGGGATGTAACTATACACAAATAAAGCTTTTTACCACATTTTATTCTCCCATGGGGGCTTCCGAAAATGCTTATTCCAGTGGTGCCCCAAGAACCCCACTCCCACTAGTGACAGAGAAAGGCAATCCATGCAACTCTGGTAACAATTTCATTCTCCACACAGTAGCCATAATGATCTTTCTAATATATAAATCTGTCATTCTACTAAGTGCTTGAAAGCCACCTGTTTCTTCTCAGGGTAAAGTTTAAACTAGGTAAACATGTCTTCTGAGGCCTAAAGGATGGGTAATGAAATGGAAGGAAACAGTGTTCTAGGTGTAGGGAAGAGCAAGCATGTCCAGGGCCTGGGAGAGGGATATAGAAATTCAGTTACAAAAGTTAGAGTTCTAGGAAAGGAATAGAGACATCTGGATTTGGCCCACTAAGCTGGGATTATCTTGAAGGGCCTTTTAAACCTTGTTGGTAAGTCAAGACATAATAGGAGATGGGGATTCATCCTTTAAATAAGTGGCAACTGTTAAACTAAATTATAACTGATTTGTTTAATGGTTACCTCCACTAGCTGGTGATGACCCCCTTCCCCAACTGTTAGCAGTCTTATCTCCTGCCACCCTCCCTTGCCCAACAACAATGTATACACAGCCAGTGCTCCTTTAAATATACTGACGTTCTGCCATGTATTCTTTCTCCCCATGGTTTTTTTCATTACCACTACCTACCCCTTTCCCTCTTCTGGTTAGGTTTTGATCATTCCTCATATCTCAACCTAATCCTCACTTTGTTCTAGACTTTCTTCTCTGATGTCTAGACTAGGTTAGGTGGCCCACCAAGAACCTGTGATCCCATGGTGTGTATATTTCTCACATTGTACTTACTACAATGCCTTATGTCATTTCAGCTTCCCTTAGACTCAGGTCACTTGATAGCAGAAACTTAGTCTCTTTTACTGGTATATCCCTACTACCTGACACATGGACACTAAAAATGCTTTTCCCCTTGGAAATTTTCAGTCCTTAATCTGTTATCTCTGATAGTCATCTAAGTCATTCTTTCTGATGATTAAGGTCTACTTTTCTTTAGTTCTTACAACCTGCATCAAAATTGGATTCTTATAATGAACATAACAGTCTGAGGATAGGGTAGACCCAGAGACATGGAAGTAGGGTACAGACTGACAACCCTCAGAAGAGAGGATAGTGGGGGGAGGGAAGAGATAAACCACAGAATTTAGATGCATGTACGCATAACTGATGGATGCAGACAACAAAGCCGGGTATGGGGTTGGGGGGATGGGGAGGAGGGTGTCAATGGGGGAAAAAAGGAGAAACATCTGTAACAAAAATAAATTAATAAAAAATTATTTTTAAAAAATTGGATTCTTTTGTCCTTACTTCCTCATAGTTTCCTGCAACTGTTAAGAGAAAGGGTTAAGTGTGGGGGTTTGAGAAGCAGGATTGAGAAATAGAAAAAGGTGCTTCCAAATGGGCTAACTGTGGGAGGAGGTGCTGTTTCTTGCACATTAACTTGAAATCAAGAACCTATCTGGCAGAACTTTCCTATTTCACCTGCCACGGAAAGTGGAAGTCGGGAAAAATACAGCATTTTCTCCCCGCTGCAAGCTAATCTAGTGATTGTATTGTAAATATGTATGTGAAAATACTAGTGTATTTACATTAATTTTAATGGATCTTATAGTAGAAAGACCACAGAATTTGATAACAGAAGATTTAAAATTTTGTCCAGCTCTGCCATTTCCTAACTGCGTGATTTCTACTTGTTTCCTAATCTCTATAATTATTTATATAATAATTCATCACAAAATTATGTGAATCAAATGTGATAATGCATGTGAAAATGCTTTGTAGAGTTTAACCTCTGCAGATGAGTTTGTTTTTATTAAAATTATTACTTAACCACTCTGTATGTTTCTTGATTCATCATTCTAAGTATTTAGTCTTCAATATTTAGGAAAATTCTTCCTGAAATATGATATTTCCATTTTATTTCCACAGTACTGAACATTGGTAAAAAACTCTATGAGGGTAAAACAAAAGAAGTCTATGAATTGTTAGATAGTCCAGGAAAAGTCCTCCTGCAGTCCAAGGACCAGATTACAGCAGGAAATGCAGCCAGAAAGAATCACCTGGAAGGAAAAGCTGCAATCTCAAATAAAATTACTAGTTGTATTTTTCAGTTGTTACAGGAAGCAGGTAAGTGGCTCTCCCAGTAGCCTCCCCCTTCTTGGTTCTTGCTCACATATTCATGTTGGTCCTTTTCAGGGGGTAAATGACACATTGTTTTTATTAACAACGTGTTCATTACCATTTATAATATTTTTTAGTTATTATAAGAAGCAGGTAAAGCTTTCCCTCATAACCTCTTCCCTTCAACGTGGGCATATAGGCACAACACACTCTTGATCTCTTTCATAGGTAGGTGACATTATTTGTGTTAACATTTTTTTTGGAGATGCCTCACAAGTACGCTTATTTAAATCAAATCAGGAACTCGGTTTCATAACACTTTACTTGGTTTAGAATTAGTAAGTAGTATTATTTAGTTAGCTAAAAGGAATCAACAATTTGCTACAGTTTTTGTCTGGCACATGTATCCTCCCTGCAACTTCCCCTAGGACAGTGGTTCTCAACCTTCCTAATCCCACAACCCTTTAATATGTAGTTCCTCGTTGTCCGGCCGTGTGGCTCAGCATTTGAGCATCGACCCATGCACCAGGAAGTCGCTCGTTAGATTCCTGGTCAGGACACATGCCCAGGTTGTGGGCCCGATCTCCAGTGGGGGCATGCAGGAGGCGGCCAATCAGATGTTCTCTCTCATCATTAGTTCTATCTCTCTCTCCCTCTCCCTTCATCTCTCTCTAAAATCAATAAAAGGAAAAAAAAATACAGTTCCTCATTTTGTGCTGACCCCCCAACCATAAAAATATTTTCGTTGCTACTTCATAACTGTAATTTTGCTATATGTTTTCCGATGGTCTTAGGTGACCCCTGTGAAAGGGTCGTTCAACCCCCAAAGGGGTCGCGACCCACAGGTTGAGAACCTCTGCTCTAGGACATCTTCCTAAGAGAGACTTAACCTATGAAGGAGCATGAGGAACGTGCCTATGAAGGAAACAAATTCTGGTATTAGGCAGCTCTAATTGAATTGAAATTTAGTCCCTATAATTCTATACAATTATTCTTTGTTCCATCCTTTGGAGATAATACAGAATTTAAAATTTCTCTTCCACTTGAAAACTCTGAAAAGTGTTTGAAGACATGCTGCCATTCCCCAAGTGAGGGATTTGGACTAGATCAAAGATCTTCAGGGGTTACCTCGTACTCCAAAACTGAAGACTGTTTAGTAGAGAAATCTATTAGATAAAAATAAGCTCAGAACATTCTATTGAGAACATTTGGAGTGAAGGAAAGAATATTAGGATAATGGATTTTTCTACAGGGATTCAGTCAATAGCTGATTGGTCTGTATTATATGAAATCTCAGCTAATAAAAGATTTGAGTTCTTTCCTTCTAGTGGCCTCATTGTCTTGGATCATGCAACCTTTGAAGCCTCTGGTTCCTTATCTATAAAATGAAAGCTTTGTTCTTTATCTCAGTTCTAATTTTATAATTTAATAACTTTGTTTCTTTTTATTTGCACTATTTTCCATTGCCTTTTCATTTCTTAGAGCTTCCAGCAAGCATTAATCTTCCTTAAACCCAAAGGGGAATGTAATACTTTTGTCAGTCGAAATAGATATACCTGCCTTGAACAAAATAGGATAATTCAAGTTAAATCCATTCTGACAGTACAGAATGGGTTCTTGATAGTTTTGCCTCTTTCAAAGTATTATTTCACATATTTTTCTAGAATCTGCATTTTATTTTTATTTTTATTTATTTATTTTTTATCCTCACCCAAGGACACTTTTCTGCATTTATCTTCAGATAGAGCAGGACAGAGAGAAAGAGGGAAGGAGGGAGGGAGAGAGAGAGAGAGAGAAACGTCGATGTGAGAGTGACACATTGACTGGTTGCCACCCGCACAACCACAACCTGGGCTGGGGATGAACTACAATTGAGGTACGTGCCCTTAGCGGGAACCGAACCCATTGGTCCATGGGCCAATGCTCTAACCGGCTTGGCAACCATTTCACATTTTTAAGTGAACAAAAAAAGTTTAATTGCCAACCTAAATTGTCATCCGCATCATAAATCCCTCTATGCATTCAAAGTAAGTATATTGCTGTAAATTTAAAGGACCTCCCACAGTTTCTAAGTAGTACAATTCAACATTTATTTTAAGGTTTCCTTGATTAGTGGTTTCCCAGTGACTGAATAGATTTCTAGAAAGCATCAAACTGATTTTAGATATCTTTTACAGTTTGGATAAATGACTCATTTTTAACCTCCCAAGTTATTTCTTCTCCCCATACACATTAAAATTTTAAAAAGTTGTTTAACATTGTAAATTGTTAATAAATTAGTTTGTGGGTATAATAAATAGGTATAATAATTGTACATAGCTGTGGGATTATATATACTGTAAAGTAATGAAAGATAAGTACAGGCCCAAGGTTTTATTTGCTAATTCAGTAAGGTACTATTCAGTGTACTTTCTGGGGCTTAAGGCAAGTGAAATAGGATGATCCAAGTTGTTTAGGGTACCTCCTCGTTTTGACAGTCCCGTATCTGAGGTAACTGGGAAAGTTGGTCACTCTAAATGAAGTACTCTAACAATTCTCTGTACACTACTATATTTGACATATTTAACAGCTAAAACTTACTTGGCTCACAGGAAATGTTGAAAGGTATTTTCCAGGCTTTTTATATGTTGTAAAATTAAGGGAAACCTAGGTTTTTCAAAATTCTTAAATCAGTTTTAGAGGACAGATTAGGAGTTCTGTTAAGCCTTATGTAATTTTTATTTGCTAATAGTTGAATAAATGCTATGTCTAGTTGACCACCAGTGGTCTATTTAAAATTGCTTTCTTTACAACCAGAATTATGTTGCAAATTAAGGTATTTCTAGAAATTAGACTACAAAGAGCACCAGAAAGAGAATCAGTAAATCAGGATTCTAGTTTTCTCATTGTCACTCATGAACAAATGGTAAGATACTGAACAAATAAGTATAGGTAACACTGTTTTTCCATAGAAATAATATTTTGTGCTGTAGCTGAGTGGATTTGGTCTCACTAATTAAAATAAAAATGTAGCCCTGGCCAGTTTGGCTTAGCGGTTGGAGCATTGGCCTGCAGACCAGAGAGTCCCGGGTTCGGTTCCTGCTAAGGGAACGTACCAAAAAAAAAAAAAAAAAACATAAAAATATGGCTCATAGAAACCTATTACATTTAGGTGTGAGAATAGTGATATGAATAAACAAACCTGCAGTTGCCAAACCACAGATGGGGAGCTGGGCAGCCTTAATACATAGATGGCCTCAGGGATATGTGGGCTGTTTACTAGCATACATGGCCAGTGTAATTCAAAGTATGAAAAATATTTACATTTTCTTAGTAATTTTTTAAAATGTTTTCATTGATTTTTGGGGGGTAGAGAGGAAGGGAGAAGGAGAGAGAGAAACATGGATGAGAGTGAAACATCCATTGGCTGCCTCCCACATGCCCCTTACTGGGGATCCAGCCCAAAACCTGTGTAACTGCCCTGATTGGGAATTGAACCAGTGACCACTTGGTACATGGGGTAATGCTCAGTCCACTGAGCCACAACAGCCGGGCTCCTTAGTAATCTTGATAGCTTTGAATATTGTAGACAATTGAGGCAAATGGGGAAATACTTTTTTTTTTTTTTTTTTATCATGTAGTCATGAAATTTACTTTAGTGGATAGTATGTGCATTAGAAGCAATCTTATCACTTAAACTGAAATCACTCTTTTTTAGAAGCAATATTTTTCTGTGCCAGTTTATTATCATAAATTGATTCTGTGTTTTTATAGTTGCCTTACATGTGTGCATGTCGGTGGGTGGGGGCTGGAGTGTTCCTCTGGGTAAAAGTAAATATTGTTTATATTTAAACCATAGATTTGGATACTAGTCTGTCAAACTTGATAGACAGATAAGCAGATATTATTAATGACTGACAGGTCTGAAAAAGAAGAGCCCTTGAAGCTAGGTATATAGTCAGTCACCTCAAGTTAAGGATTGATGTAAACATCCTGCCCATGTTCCCAGTCATTCTTTAAAGGTCAAAATGACCTTACTTACATTCTTTCTCAGAGTTCCTGTTTATTCAGCATACCACAGTTTATTTACCCTGTTTCCATTGAATTTTACTGGTCAAACCCAGAGAGAATGCAGAGGAACAAGTACAGGTTTTGGAACTAGTCAGTGCAGTTGAAGTCCAGGCATCATTACTCACTGGGCAGCATAACCTAGCTTGTTGACTTACTTAATTTCTTTGAGCCTCTGTTTCTTTCACTGTAAAATGCAAATAATAATACCTACCTCAAAAATTTTGTGTTTGGTTAAATGAGATAAGGCATAAAACACTCAGCACAGTGCATGGTTTCCATAAATGTAGGTTCCCTTCATGTATGGATACATAACATAAGATCAAAGATCTCTAATCCTTTCCTGATAAGAAAAAAATTGATCTTAGAGGATTAGATTGGGAATGGAGGTACTAGCATTATAGCCTCGAGATGAACATTATTATAAGGAGCCCATGCAAGGTTTCCAGGAGATGGTTTAATTCATGTTAATGTTCTAGTATTACTCTGTATTGTGATATAACACTTCTAGAGGAGGCAGTATGTGAAGTAGGCAGACCAAGGAGTTCAGTGTGGGTTGGAAACCCTGCTATACTTACCACTAGCTGACATAACTACTGTGCCTCAGTGCCCTTATCTGTTTTTCTTTTTTCTTTTATTGATTTTAGAGAGGAAGGGAGAGGGAGAGAGAGAGAAATAGAAACATCGATATGAGAGAACATCGATTGGCCACCTCCTGCATGCCCCCCCCCCCCCCCCCCGCGGGAATTGGACTCGCGACCTCTTGGTGCATGGGTTGACACTCAACTACTGAGCCACACCAGCCGGACCCCTTATCTGTTTATGTTTCTATTGATTTTTATTTTTTAACTTTTAAAAAAATTTTTTTTTATCCTCACCCAAGGACTTTTTTCCATTTTTTTGTTCAGGTAGAGTGGGAGGGAGAGAGAGAAACATCGACATGAAGGGAACAAATCGAGTGGCTGCCACCCGCACAACCAAACAAGGCTGGGGACAAACTGCACCTGAGTTTCCCTTAGTGGGAACCAAACCTGGTCTCTCTGGACTGCAGGCCGACGCTCTAACCACTGAGCCAAACCAGCCAGGGCTGTCCTTCCTCTCTTAATTCAAACTAAGCATGCAGGAGGCAGCCGATCAATGTATGTCTCGTAACTCGGTTGCAGTTTGTCCCCGGCCCTGGTTGGGTCGTGTGGGTGGCGACCACTCGATGTGTCCCTTTCACATCGATGTTTCTCTCTCTCTCTCTCCCTCCCTCCCTCCCACTCTATCTGAACAAAATCTCGAAAAATGTCCTCAGGTGAGGATAAAAAAAAAAAGAGAGGAAGGACAAATATTTTATTTGCTCTTGGCCAAATTGGCCATTTTGTTCCTGCTGTTACTTGTTGGATAATTTTTCAAGGATTATTTGCATCTAATATTAAGAGAAAAAAAAGCTATCCAAAATTAAAGGCTATAACTGATTGTGATAAGTAGGTTGATATTTTGATATTTTACAAGGCCTGTATAATAATGGACCAAAGAATATGAGATTCCTGCAACTGAATTGATTTAGAGATTATTTAGTGCCACTTAGATAAGTTATGTGTATTGTGCAAAGTTCAGTATGCACTGGCAGAGGTATTCAGTATGTTTTTGGTGTTTGTTTGTTTTTTGTTTTTTTAGTTTTTTTTCTTTATTGACGTTAGAGGGAGGGAGGACGGGAGAGAGAGAGAGAGACAGAAACATCGATTGGCCGCCTCCTGCATGACCCCCACTGGGGATCAGGCCCACAAAATGGGCATGTACCCTGACCGGGAATCCAACCAGCTATCTCTTGGTGCACTGAGCCATACTGGCCAGGCAATAAGTATTTTATGGATGAATAAATTAATTAATAAAGACACTGGGGCGCAGATCTTCTGACACAATGTATATTTTGCCATGTGACAGTCAAGTCCTGAGTATTTTGATAGGCAGTAGAAAACCATATTAATTTTCCTATTTCCACTTTTTAAAAGAAACCTCAATCAGAAAGAATATATGCACCCCTATGTTCATAGCAGCACAATTTACAATTGCTAAGATCTGGAAACAGCCCAAGTGTCCATCAATAGATGAGTGGATAAAAAAGCTGTAGTATGTATACACCATGGAATACTGTGCAGCTGTGAGAAGTAAAGATCTTTTACCTTTGAGAGGACATGGGGGGACCTGGAGAGTGTTATGCTAAGCGAAATAAGCCAGCAGAGAAAGACAAGTATCACATGCTCTCACTTATTTGTGGAATGTAATGAACAAAATTAGTTGATGAACAAAATAGACCCAGAGACATAGAAGTAGGGTTCAGATTGACAAACCTCAGAGGAGGGGGACAGGGGAGAGGGGGAAAAAACCCAAAGAACTTAGCATATAAGCATAACCAATGGACAAAGACAACAGTGCTGGTGGGGAGTGATGTGGGACTGGGGAGGATGGGAGGAAGATGTCAATGGAGGAAAAAGGAGAAACATCTGTAACAAAAATTAGTTAAAAAAAAAACAACTCAGATAAAGTTGCATTTAGTTTTGATAGTTGCCTCAGATCTTTTTAAAATACAGTGTTAATGGTCTTTTTTTAATTTTACTTTTTATCATTAATGTATAGGTATCAAAACTGCTTTCACCAGAAAATGTGGGGAGACTGCTTTCATTGCACCTAAGTGTGAAATGATTCCAATTGAATGGGTTTGTAGAAGAATAGCAACTGGTTCTTTTCTCAAAAGAAATCCTGGTGTCAAGGAAGGGTACAAGTTTTACCCTCCTAAAGTGGAGATGTTTTTTAAGGTATTTATTTTATGTGTCTGTCTTACTATAACATAGCTACAAACTTAAAACCAAGTAAAAAAGTTAAACATTGAAGCTTTTTATATTGCAATTGTCATTCCAGAAACATGTCAATAGTGTATATTTCCATTAGCAATGATAATTTGGCTTTTAAAAAAGAAACACCTATGAAAATCTGCTTATCTTACTTTCAACTAAGGTGACTAACAAAATGAATTAAAATGAGCAATTAGGAAGAAAAGTAACAATTCAAAAGAATTTTTAATTTACTGTTGAAGAGTTTGAAGTAAAGCCTAATATGAGGGATCTTTTTATATTCTAATACAGAAAAACTATTGTCAATGTCTTTTATAAGCAAAAACATACAATAAAGGATGTAGGAATTCATGGTTATGAATTTGTATTGGTTTTCTTTACTGAAACTGCTTTTCTCTTTCTAAACTTGTGTTTAAATTAGTTTATAGAGAGAGGGCAAATTTTTTCAATATTGTATAACTAGAATAAGTTACCTAAATCTTTTGAATTTTAAAGTAGTCATAGTAGACCAATTAAAAATATTTGCTGTGAATTAAAGGGTATTTTAAATAAATATTACATCTTTAGAGGAAATGAATATTTCTAAGGACTTCATGCCCAAAGAAAAAAGGACTTCAGACTATTTAAAAAGTTTTAAAATCTTATATTTAAATTAATTGTAATCCTATATTTATTTTCAGGATGATGCCAATAATGATCCACAGTGGTCTGAGGAACAGCTCATTGCTGCAAAATTTTGCTTCGCTGGACTTGTTATAGGCAAGACTGAAGTGGATATCATGAATCATGCTACACAGGCTATTTTTGAAATATTGGAAAAATCCTGGTTGCCCCAGGACTGTACACTAGTTGATATGAAGGTACAAATAAAATGGAGATTTGAAAGTAAAAAATTACAACTGAGAAATGTCTTTAGTAATATAGATTTGAAAAAGTTCTCTTTGGTGATCTGGTGTTTCTAGATTGAATTTGGTGTTGATGTCACCACCAAAGAAATTGTTCTTGCTGATGTTATTGATAATGATTCCTGGAGACTTTGGCCATCAGGAGATCGAAGCCAACAGAAAGACAAACAGGTAGGTGATACTTCAGGTGGGTTTTTTCCCCCCCTTTGCAAGGTCAGGCTGGGGAAGAGGAGAAAGAGAGGAGAAAAGGAAAATGGGAAGCAAAGAAAAGACAATTATTATTATGATATGCACCTGTCTGTTGATTGCTACTTATTTTTAAGGATAAACATCTCATATTTCCTATATCCTATAAAAAGAGGTAAGAATAATACTTTACATTTACCATGCAGATTTGTCATTTATTATTTTAATAGGTTTATACAGCAAATGTTATCTTTGTTTGACTAATTGAAAACTACGGTTGTGGCCCACCCCGTGAGGCTCAGTGGATTGAGCATCGTCCCATGAAGTAAGAGGTCCTGGTTCCATTATTGGTCAAGGCACATGCCCGGGTTTCAGGCTTGATCCCCAGGAGGGGCCATGCAGGAGGCAGCTGATTGATGTTTCTGTCTCTCCCTTCCTTTCTCTCTAAAAAAATCAATAAAAACATTTAAAAATAAATAAATAAAAAGAAAACTATGTTGTGAAAGGATAGATATCGTCACAGTTGCTGTAATAAGTGGCAGGTCTAGAACTGTATCCCAAGTCTTCTGAATCTTACCAGGTTCTATTTCTGTTCTTTCCTATAAAAAAATTAGGGCAAGACTCTCTACACTTTATACAAGAATTGTCATGGCAGTTAATTATAGTTTCTAGTATAGAAAGCACTTGTCCTTAAATGAAACTATAAGTGTGCTTTGCTATCTAAACTTTCTTTAGTCTAATACAGGAAATGAATTTATAGACTCAGATACATTTTCAGATATATCCTTTGCTAGGCAAACTCATCATAATCTGTACCCAAATTCAAACCAAATTTCAGATAGCAAGGATATTATTGATAGAATACTTGCCATCTAAACTTTCTATCTTATTTTCTAGTCATACCGTGACCTCAAGGAAGTAACTCCTGAAGGGCTCCAGATGGTAAAGAAAAATTTTGAGTGGGTTGCTGAGAGAGTAGAGGTAAATCTTTTGTAGTAAATCCACACGTTATTAGGTGTTTTTCTCCAAGAACTTCTTGCTTTAAAAAGGAAAATAGCCCTGGCCAGTGTGGCTCAGTTGGTTGGAGCGTCATCCCATGCACCAGTGGGTGTTAAGTTCCATTCCCAGTCAGGGCACATGCCCAGATTGCGGGTTCCATCCCTGGTCAGAGTACATATGGGAGGTATTATGATTACTGTACTTCTATGGAAATTTAATATGGTTTGTGGTATTCTAAGGGGCATAACTGTTTTTTAGAATATCATCTCCATGGGAAGAATATACATTGGAATTCCATGCAACTAACTTACAACGATTTATAATGTGACCTGTATTTTGGGTGATTATGCCTTAGAACCTTCATTGAGAACTTTTTTCTTTATATATAGAGGTTATCTTGAAAAAAATTCTCACCTGGCTGGTATGGGTTAGTGGATTGAGGATAGTCCCATGGACTGAGATGTCCTGGTTCAATTGTAGGTCAGGGCACATGCCCATGTTGCGGGCTCTATCCCCACTAGGGGGTGTGTAGGAGGCAGCCAATTGGTGAATCTCTCTCACATCAGTGTTTCTATCTCTCCCTCTCTCTAAAAAATCAATGAAATCATATTTTAAAAAAAGAAAGAAAAATAAATTCTCATTATTTTGTTCTGTTTATCTTAAATTTGGTCTGTTAAGGAATATTCTGTCCAGATATAATTTTAGTATGAACTGTAACTCTGTAAACTGACTCATTCCAATATTTATCCACTTTTGTTCTCATCTTTTGCATATCCATGTCTGTCTTTTCCAGTTGCTTCTGAAACCAGAAGGTCAGTGCAGGGTTGTAGTATTGATGGGCTCAACTTCTGATCTCTCTCACTGTGTAAAAATCAAGGCAGCTTGTGGAAAATTTGGCATTCCTTGTGAATTTCGGCTAACCTCTGCACATAAAGGACCAGATGAAACTCTGAAGATTAAAGCTGAGTATGAAGGTAAAGCTCAAATAACTACAGCATTTCAGGACATTCCGATTTTGTCAAAGAATGTTATGTTTCAACTAAAAATGCTGATAAAGAGCTTTACCACATTTCTGAGGGGAAGAAATATGATATTCTAGGCTTTCATGACACTCAGCCTCCAAGCGCTTAAGGTGCTCTAGGAGCTTATAAAAGAATGGATTAGAGAGAATGATTTGGCAATTCAAGCATGGAAGGAAAATAAAGATTAGAATTTTCTTTACCTAATAAGAAGCCCCTCAAGCACTATATCTATTATGTTGCAACAGAAAATAGGGCCCATGTATTACAGAAGGCCTGAGGTTGAAACAGTAGATCCTGTCAAGTAACTTTAATGACCAGCTTTTCCTGGGAGGCACTCAAACATGAAATTAATAATTTCAGAATTTAGTATATAAAAGAAATGTTTTGATGGGATAACAGTGATCTGGAGACACAACCACATTTTTTCAAACTGGAGGACACATTTCTTGAGTTTTCTTTTCAGAAGTAGTTGCTACAGGAGCGAAGTTAGTAAGTTTTTTTAGTGGGGCAGGGAAGGTCTCAGAATTCTTTGATAAGGTAATAGAAACCAGAACTCTCTCTCCAGAAAAATACAAAGAGCAATTTATAAATTTATCAAAGAATGAAATGTTTTAGAGATGTGTTAGAAAATATATTGAAGGGTTTTAAATATTTGGGTACTATACTGAATTTGCCTTCAACTATTGCTTAAAGAGGTCGAGTGGTGTCATTCTCCATTTCCTTTGAGCCATTCCCTCACTGACACCCTGGTATTCCCTCCTCTCCTTTATGCTACAGATCTCAAAGGTGGCCAAACCTATTCTTGCTACTTCGTTACTTGATGTACAATAAGTGGCAGAGTGAACTTTGTATTTTGAATATATATGTGATAAGTCTTATTGATGCTTTTTCTAGAGACTGATGAAGGAACTGAAGGACACATAGGCCCTTTTTTCTTAAAACTGTCTTTAAGTATCTTTTGAAGATTTAGCATAATTATAAACTTGTGATCTCCCTAGGGGACGGCATTCCTACAGTCTTTGTGGCAGTGGCAGGCAGAAGCAATGGTTTAGGACCAGTGATGTCTGGTAACACTGCATATCCAGTTATCAACTGTCCTCCCCTCACTGCTGACTGGGGAGCACAGGATGTGTGGTCTTCTCTTCGACTGCCCAGTGGTAAGATACATTGTATTTTTAAAGTCTTTATTAAAAAGATTAAACATGCACAATAGTAGAGAGGATAATGTAATAAAATCTCATGTACCCATTACTCAGCTTCAGCAATTAACATCTTACTGCATCTGTCACCCTTTTCTGGATTATTTTAAAGTAGATCTTAGACACTTTGGCATTTTTTTTTTTCCTCACCCGAGGACATTTTTCCATTTTTTTGTTCAGCTAGAGTAGGAGGGAGGGAGGGAGAGAGGGAGGAAAAGAGAGAGAGAGAGAGAAACATCGACATGAAAGGGACACATTGAGTAGCTGCCACCCACACAGAGAGAGAGAGAGAGAGAGAGAGAGAAACATCGACATGAAAGGGACACATCGAGTGGCTGCCACCCACACAACCCAACCAGGGCCAGGGACAAACTGCAACCAAGGTATGTGCCCTTAGAGGGAACCGAACCCGGGTCTCTCTGGACCACTGAGCCAAACCGGCCAGGGCGGCATTTTTTTTTTTTTTTTTAAATCCTCACCCGAGGGTTTTTTTCCATTTATCTTCAGATAGAGTAGGAGGGAGACAGAGAGATGGAGAGAGAGAAACACTGACGGGAGAGAGACACATCGACTGGTTGCCTTCTGCATGACCATGATCAGGGCCAGGGACCGAATCGTAACCAAGGTATATGCCCTTGACCAGAATCAAACCCTAGACTCTTTGGTCCACAGGCCGATGCTATAACCACTGAACCAAACCAGCTAGGGTGACACTTTGTGGCATATTTTTACTTACATATTTAAATATGCTTCTCTAAGTGGTAATGACTCTAGTTTTTAAATCGTAATCATGATACCATATATGACACCTAAGAAAAATTAATAGTAATAATAGTAATTTCTTAAAATCATTTAACTTCCAGTTAGTGTTTTTCTAATTTGTTGATAAATTTTCTTTTGTGAAACTTGTAGGATCTTTTGTTTATCCATTCTTAAATTTCACTAAGATGTGTCTTGGTGTGTCTGTTTTCATTCTGGCGTTTTAGTGAGGGCTTTTAATCTGAAATTCTGATTCTTTAGTCCTGGGAAGTTTTCTTGAATTACTTAATGATTTCCTTCCTCATCCATTTTCTCTTTCTTTTTTTTTATCCTCACCCGAGGACACATTTTTTTCATTTTTTGTTCAGGTAGAGTGGGAGGGAGAGAGAGGAACAGAGGGAGAGAGAGAGAAACATCGATGTGAAAGGAACACATCGAGTGGCTGCCACCCGCACGACCAACCAGGGCCGTGGACAAACTGCAACCGAGGTACGCGCCCTTAGCGGGAACCGAACCCAGGTCTCTCAGGACCACAGGCCAACGCTCTAACCGCTGAGCCAAACCGGCCAGAGCATTTAAAACATTTTTTTTCCCTTTTATTGATTTTAGAGAGAGAAGACAGGAGAGGGAGAGAGAGAGAGAGAGAAACACCGATGAGAGAGAACATCGACTGGCCGCCTCCTGCACGGCCCCCACTGGGGATCAGCCCACAACCTGGGCATGTGCCCTGATGGGGAATCGAACCGGCGACCTCTTGGTGCAGGGTCGACGCTCAGCCACTGAGCCACACTGGCCGGGAGTTAGTTGTTGTTTTTTTGTCTTTTTTGTTTGTTTGTTTGAATTTTTTTTTTTTTATCCTCACCCGAGGGCATTTTCCCACTTTTTTGTTCAGGTAGAGTGGGAGGGAGAGAGAGGAACAGAGAGAGAGAGAGAGAAACATCAATGCGAAAGGAACACATCGAGTGGCCGCCACCCGCACGACCGACCAGGGCGGGGGACAAACTGCAACCGAGGCAAGCGCTCTTAGCGGGAACCGAACCCGGGTCTCTCAGGACCGCAGGTTGATGCTCTGACCGCTGAGCCAAACCGGCCAGGGCTCATTTTCTCTTTCATTTTTTGATTTATTATTGAAATTTGGATCTCCTTGATATCCTGTTTTCTTTCTTTTGTTGCTATACTTTTTGGAATATTTTCTCAACCTTTCTATTTTTTCATTTTGGATACAGCATTTTTAATTTCCGAGAGCTCTTTTTTGTTCTCTGGTCTCCCCTAAACCCCCATTCTTTTCTTGTTTAACCTTTGTAATAACTTCTTTTATCTGTAATTATCATTGTTTCCTTCACATTGGTTCCTTTCCTCAGCTGTGTTTAAGAGTGGGGCACTCCAGGTGGTATGACTCAGTGGTGAGCATCGACCCATGCATGCACCAAGAGGTTGCCAGTTTGATTCCTGGTCAGGGCACATGCCCAGGTTGTGGGCCAAACCCCCGGTGGGGGGCATGCATGAGGCAGCCATTCTATGTTCTCTCTCATCTATCTCTTTCTCCTCCCTTCCTCTCTCTCTAAAATTAATAAGAAAAAAGAAAAAAATAAGAGTGGGGCACTGTAACAAGCCATTCAGAAGCTCTGTGGCAAGTGGGTGAGGTGGTCTGGTTGGTTGTTCTTTGAGAAACCCCTCACATCATTGTCATTCAGTCTTTTCTCATGTGTTGACCAGAATTACCCAGAGTACCTTTCTAGTCTTAGCCTCCTACCTGGAGGAATAAGCCTGGCTGCCAGCATTTGGCACCCTACTGCTCTCCCTGGGGATCTTAGTATGTGTCTATAAACTTGATCCTGTTTTCACTATGGTATTTCCTTCTCTCAACTGTACCTGGTGTCCTCCAGTCCACAGAAGTCTGGACAAGACTGTTTTGCCTTCATAAATATTTAAAATTGCCATGGCCTAGAAGGGGTAATTACTTAGGTACATAGAGTGGGGAAGGGGATTTGAGGGCCAAACTGCTTCTTGAATTTCAGTCTTCTTCTTAGCCCCATTTTCACTCCCACTCCTCCCTTCAAATGTGTCTGGTGCCACTAATCCTCAACCTTTGTGTGGGTTCTATAAGATCAGTCAGGTTGCTTCTCATCTTTTCCCTGCTTCCAGTTTAGGATTCAATTTTCTTGGTATGCTAAGTAGTGACCACTTCCTTTGCCTTTCAGCTGTGTGTATGTCTATTTTCTTTATTCCCTTTACTGCTTTTTACACAATTTCAGAGACATCTTGTGATTAATCCATCTTTAGGTCTTTAACTAGATACCTAATTATATCAACTTATTAAGTTAAAAATCTGCTACAGTTGGCCCTTGTTTATCACGGTTAATCAGTTCCAGAATCTACCGCAATAAATTAATTTCCTCGAAATAGGATTCTTTATTTATATACTCGTCCCTCGCCACTTCACACTTTGACGTTGGTGGCTTCACAAATACAGCACAGTATTTGAAAAAACTGTGATAGAGTGAAGCCGCCAACGTCGAAGCGCGAAGTGGCAAGGGACGGCTGTTTATCTATATATATATATAAAGCTCTAACCAGATCTATGCTAGAGGAATAGTGTAGATATTACCCATGGGAGCTTAGAAAAACTATCCATGGGAATGTGATGAGCAAAAGTTAGGCAGATTTTATTTAGTATTGTCCAAAGAGAAATGGAATTGAAGATTTGTACATTCTGACCACTAGAATTGGGGATAACCTTTTGAGGAACAGCATTACAGTGGCCTGGGTAAAATCCTGAAAACTCCATTTATCTTTCTCTTATGGTACACTCACTAGATAACCTAATTTTTTTCCTAATGAAGCTTTCCTGATATCAGAAAGGGGAGTCCTGGGTGGTAGGCACAGGTATTGGATTTACTAGAGTGAAGCACTCTACCTACTATGCTACTAGGAACAGTTGACATCCACTAAGCACTGACTATTTGCCAGCATTGCTCCAAGCACTTTATCTGTATTAACTCATTGACTTCTCACATAAGATAGCTGCTAGTTATTGTGGATGAAAAAGGAGCCACATCCTTAACCTGACAAGTTCAGGGGAGGCCTGCATGGCAAGCTTACAAACTCAGAGACCTAAAGTAACCACATGGAATGGTCTGAAATGAAAACTTTCTAGCTAAAAGCCATTCATGGTGGGTAGTCATGTTTAGGCTGGTATCTTTCTTGACAAAAGTCAATCTTTATCTTAACTGGTCTTGTCTGTTGTCTTTTTGCATCTACAATAATATATCTTTGGAACATCAGCGTAATCCCTTTAGCTAGACCTCTCAGAACACAGTATTCCACTAGAACATGAGACCACAGAACACCTCATTGTTACCGTGTTCACCCGCATACTATCACTCTGTGTTGTAAATGTTAATTGTTAACTATCCTACGCCCATCAATGTAGAAGAAGTATGTGTCTATCCATTCTACTTTTTATCTAGTTTAAGAGATTTCCCTACTTTGTTCTCTCCCATCTCGCTCATCTATCACCAGTGGATTTCAGGAAACCCCCTTATGTCTTCCCCTCTGATACTGATGTTTAAATAAGTGGTAAACTGCCATTTTCCAGAGCGTTCTCTAAATCCGTTGAGATTTTGCTTCCCAGCAGTTGTCATCAGTTTGGCTTAAATAAACTCATAAAAATTCTCTATAGGTTTTGAATGTTTCTTACATTGATATTATCATTCCCATCTTTAGTGTCATCTTTGGGGTGACACTAAAATTGACATTAACTGAAGTGACCTGTCACTTAAAAGTGGTAGAGTTACATAAATTATTAATACAAATTAATAAATTAACCTTGTGATTTGTACTATAATCTGTTCTTATTGGGGATAGTATAGAGTCAAAGAGCCTGATGAATTCCAAGAATATTGGGAAAGGGGAGCTTTTGGATCCATAAGCTAACTAGTCCTTGACTTTAGTAATAGACATAATAGTACCATATCAAGAAACTACCTTGGCAAACATGTTGTCCCCAAGGAGGTAACTTTTTTACTCTACAGTCTTTTAGATCTTGTTACTATTGAATTTATTTATAACCTGATATTTATTAAGATTATTCTTTGGATTTGACTTTTTTTCTACTGCTTAAAAATGTTAGAATAGCCCTGGCTGGTTTTGCTCAGTGGTTAGAGCATTGGCCCGCGGACCAAAGAGTCCTGGGTTCAATTCCAGCAAGGGCACATACCTTGGTTGCAGTTTGTCCCCAGCCCCCGGTTGGGATCGTGTGAGTGGCAACCAGTCGATATGTCTCTCATATTGATGTTTCTCTCTCTCTCCCCCTCCCACTCTGTCTGAAGATAAATAAGAAAAAAAAAATGTCCTCAGGTGAGGATAAAAAAAAAAATACATATATACTCAGGTGAAGATTTAAAAAAAAAATGTTAGAATAGTTAGAGTGTAAGACAAAAGGAGTAGCTAAGATATTATCAAAATAATTAGCATACCTCAAGTTTACCTAAGAACAGCTGCTTATACCCACTTACTTTGTCCCTTGTTTTATTTGTCTTGTCCTTCATCAGGGATTTAAAGGGATTGTGTATGTGAAAAAAAGAACTTTGAAAAAGGTAAATTTCTTTGCCAGTGGATTCAGAGAGGAGTGATAGATGATATATATACAATACCTGCTCATGGCAGATAAATATTACTTTCTTCTTTTAATCATTTCATTTCTCCAACAGTAAAGATAGTAACTCCTTCTGCATATACTACTTAAGACAAGAATAATAACAGTAGTTTTTATTGTCTGTGGCTAACAAGACTTCTCTGAGTATAATATGGTTTGCTTAAGCAGTATTTTCAGTATTGACAGCTCAATTTTTCTCTCTATTCCTTTCTGAACCAATAGGTCTTGGCTGTTCAACTATACTTTCTCCAGAAGGATCAGCTCAATTTGCTGCTCAGATTTTTGGATTAAACAACCATTTGGTATGGGCCAAACTGCGAGCAAGTATATTGAATACATGGATTTCCTTGAAGCAGGCTGACAAGAAAATCCAAGAGGGCAGTTTCTAAGAAAGAATATCATTGCATTTTTTTAGGAGAAAAACTAAATTTCTAGTTTAGCTGCAGAAAAAAAATATCAGGCAAGATGAAAAGATTTTAAATCAATCAGAGAAAACATTAAATGCCTCTCTAGATTCATGGATTAGTAGATTATATGTACATATTTAAGGACATTTTAAAATTAACCTCTTACCCACTACTACTTAAATCTCAGCCCATAAGTTCTAGAAAGTTAAATGGTTTTATCTTAGAAAGGGTGATAAGCAATGTAGTTCTCTTTCTCAATTTGATCTTTACAAAATTCTAAAGACGTTTTTATTTGCAGTCAGTATCTCAAAAAATGGTTTGTATTTCTAGCTATTGATAGAGATGTTTTGTTTTCTTCTTTTTTTAAAAAAAAAAAATTGAGATTGGTGGTGGGGGTAGGGAAGACACAAAATAAGAAGCCATGGAAAAGGTACTTTTCTGAGAACTTCTAATGAGTGTCAGGGCAATTTGCCATGGAAAAAAAGTAGAGCCACCTTTGCTTTCCAAATGAAAGATTTAGTGAATCTTACTTGGCTATGGTGGGTGTCTTTTGATAATACATATTTTAGCCACACTAATAATCCCCAGTGTACCATCATTTTCAGAAATTGGAATCTCCCAGGTGATGATTAGCTAGTATATTTCTTATAATAGTAAATCTGAGCAGTGTACTCAGCAAGTTATTACTGAGAGCTATTATAGTTCATCATTAATCGATAAACCGTATAGATTGGAAGTCACTGTTACATTATGGAGCCCTGAGGATTTTATAGATCACTAAACTTTCATCCAAGTGTCCATGAAACCCGTTAAACTTTATGCATATACTCACTTTTACGAAAAGGGACAATTAGTTTTATTTTTTTTAAAAAGTTAAGAATCTCTACTACAGATGAAATCTTGGTACTACCCTTACCTACACTGTACACTTTTTCAAACGTTAAAAAGCTGGCATTTCTTACCACTACTTTCACCTAATCTCTGGTGGGGTAAGCTTGACCTAACTACTCCTTTCTTGGACTAGACCAAGGTATTCCAACCTCTCTTGATCACTTCTCTTAAATAATACTCTTTCCCCTTAAATATTTGATGTTTCCTACTATTGAGTCTTTCCATTATTTACAAATAATGGTTGGATCATCTTAACTCCTTCAGCTAAAACTATTACTGGCTCCCAACTGTGTCTATAAACTTGTGTTTTCAACTGTCCACTTCTCTGTCTGAATGCTCCAAACTTAACTCGCCTTCTACCAAGCCGGTAACTGGCTACACTCACTGTCCCAAAGCAGAAGCTTGTTTTTCTTGACCTTTCACATATGACTCATCACCAAATATTGAATTTACCCTGTTTACCCATTCCCTGTACAAAACCCTTGAGTACAGGTCAAATTCTACATTATTACAGTGATCTAGAAGGTCTTCATCCTTAACCCAACCTTTTGGAAGTTGATAGTCCAAGGACATACAATATAATCTCTTGCAACATTGCCACCTTTGAAAATGGGAATGCTCTTTACCTTCTCTAGAAAATTGCATGCACAACAGTTACCAACGGATCCCATTGGTTCTACTGTTCCCTTGAAAGTCTAGACATGGTCTGTAGGTTAAAAAGGGAACTTGCTTTCCTTATAATTTTTGGACTATCATCTTTTTTATACCTTTAGTCCTAAGAATGTCCTCATATATATCATTAAAATCTATTAGTTAGTTACTAGAGCTTCATTTTCACTGTCTCCACAAAACGTTCCTTTATGACCTCTCACTGCAATGGCTATACAGTTATTTCTCTGTTGGATTATAAGCTTCAAGAGAGGAAATACAATTTTATATTTTATTTCCCTCAAACTGCCTATGATCTGATATACTATCCTAGCTGAGATAGGGGAATTATGAAAATTAGGTACTCCTTATTTTCTATGTTTGGAAAAACAATTTAAAAATTTTGAATTTAACATCTTTTAAGCTTTGGATTTGTGGTCTCTCAATAGTCATGGCTGCTATTCAGCTCTTCTATCTCTACCTAACAAAAACTGCACCTATTTATGTACAGTACAAGAAAAATTTCAAACATTTTAGACTGGTGGATAGGACTGACCATTATCAATTTCTGTTAGTTTCTTAGTAGAGTACACATACCCTCAGTAATTCATCAGGGCTAAAGTAAATACTTGTTTAAAAGTATTTTAACTGTTGTAAAAAGTAACTTACCCAAACCCAACTGGTTTGCTATTTTTGTTTGGCTATTTATACTTTCTATGGGCTTATAGCTAACCATGAAAAGAGGAAAAAATTGTGCCCAATAATGCTGTACTTAAACTTGGTTTCATGTTTAGAATTGCTGTTGCTTTATTGTCTTCTTAAATGTAAACATTGTAGCCAAATAAAAGACAAAGATAAGCTCTTGTGTGAAGCTTCATTTGTCCATTCATGAAATACATGTCTTGCCTGATTTTATTCTAGGCCCTAGGAAAGCAGCACTGAACAGAAACAAGGCTTTTGCCCTCATAGAACTTACATTGTATCAGAGATAACAAACTGTAAAAGATAACTGAATAGCTTTAGGGATGTATAAGTGCATATGAAGAACAACCTAGGTGAAAGGACAGTGATGGGGATACGAGGAAGGTTTATGACAGCACAGCTATGATATAAAAGAGCAAGCAAGCCATGTAAAGGAAATAGCTTTCAGGAAGTAAAACAGGTTTATCTTTTTTAAACAAAATTATTTATCCTCCCCTGAGGATATTTTGATTTTTGAGAGGGGAAGGAGAAGAAACATTGATCAGCTGCCTCCTGTGTGTGCTCCAACTGAGGATCAAACCCGAAACCTAGGTATGTGCCTTGACCAGGAATCAAACCCACAATTTTTTTTTTTTTTTTTTTTTTTATCCTCACCCGAGGACATTTTTTTTTCCATTTTTTGCACAGATAGAGTGGGAGGGAGAGAGAGGAAGAGAGAGAGAGAGAGAAACATCGATGTGAAAGGGACACATCGAGTGGCTGCCACCCGCACGACCAACCAGGGCCGGGGACAAACTGCAACCGAGGTATGTGCCCTTAGCGGGAACCGAACCCGGGTCTCTCCGGACCGCAGGCCGATGCTCTAACCGCTGAGCCAAACCGGCCAGGGCTAAACCCACAATTTTTGGATGTATGGAACAACACCAACTAGCTGAGCCACCTGGCCAGGGCAAACAGCTTTGTCTTTTTGAGGGCCTGCAAACACCAGTATTGCTGGAGCTCTGTGAGCAAGAGTAAGAGTAGAGAGAGAATGTTGATGTAAGCACAGGCTAGATCACTTAGAGCCTACATACCACCCCGAAGTGTGAAAGGAAAAACCACCAGAAAGTTGAACAACAGCATGACGTTGCCTATTTAACATGTTTTAAAATTCTCTCTGGCTATCGTGTGTGGACAAGAGGAGAAGCAAGGACATTAGTTAAGAGACTGTTGTAGTCCAGGTAAGAAATGATGTGATCTTCAATGAGTTAAATTTTTTAAAAAATATTTCTTTATTGATTTTAGAGAGAGAGGGAGGGAGAGGGACAGGGAGATGATGAGCGAGAACATCAACTGGCCATCTCCTGCATGCCTCCCACTGGGGATCAGACCCACAACCTGGGCACATGCCCTGACTGGGAGTTGAAACAGCAACTTCTTGGTGCATGGGTTGACACTCAACCACTGAGCCACACCAGCCGGACGAGTTAAATTTTTTGTGCCTCAATTTTCTCATGCATAAAATGGGACTAATACTACTACCTCATGTGGTTATGAGAATTAAATGAGTTAATATATGTAAAAGTATAACATGACATACGAATGCATTATGTAATATCCATTTGGCAGACTAGAGGATAGAATAAGTGGCATTCATTCACCATGAAAATGCATTGAATTTGGCATGCCCTTCAGCTGATTTAATTTCTAAAAATAGGGAATGCCCTGGCTGGTGTGGTTCAGTTGGTTGGGCATCATCTCGTGCACCAAAAGGTTGCTGGTTCAGTTCCAGGTCAGGGCACATGCCTGGGTTTCAGGCTTAATCTCCCGTAGTGGGGCATGCAGGAGGCAGCTGATCTCTCTCATAGATATTTTTTGTCACTCCCCCCGCCCATCTAAAAATCTACGTCTTAAAAACACATACCAAAACATTATTTAAAAATAGAAAATGGCAGTCAGCATAGTGTGCTTTAACCATAACATGCCATGGAACATCCAATCTCTCACCACTACCTTTAGCACAGCAGTGCTTGGAAAGCCAATGAAAATGTGTTACCTTTAAGGGTGGTGTTTTTTGCATTGAACTGCCCACAACCTCAAATACTTGCAGTGCAGTTGTTAACCTAACATTGTGGGACAGCAAAAATAGCACTGAAATGGGAATAAGATTCCCTTGGGTACATCACTTTGACCTTCAGGTCTCACCTGTAAAGTGGACTACAGAACATTTCTTATGCCTACCTCTGTGTAAAATGACAAGACACTGTATATGGAAGCTCGGAACTCATAAATTGCTAAATACATTTAATGCAAAAATAAGTTTTTGAGTACCTACTATGTGCAAACCCTGGGGATGCAACAATGAACAAAATCCAGTTTCTGTCCTCAATAAGTTTTGGGATTCCTCCAGGGCAGGCAATTTCAAAACACTATTGTCAAGCCCAGTCAGTGTAGCTCAGTGGTTGAGCATTGACCCATGCATGCACCAAGAGGTTGCTGGTTCGATTCCCAGTCAGGGCACATGCCCTGGTTGTGGGCCCAATCCCCAGTGGGGGGCATGCAGGAGGCGGTCAATCAATGTTCTTTCTCATTGATGTTTCTCCTCTCCTCTCTCTAAAATCAATAAAGAAAAAATTTAAACAAAACAAAACACTATTGTCATAATGTGAAGTAAAGGATAGAGTATTTGAATACAGAGGAGAGGATTTGAAGAACAAATGTATATTGTGAGTGAAAAGGAGGGGCCCTTAACTCCTTGCACTCTATTCTCAATGCCTCTTACCTTTCATTTCCTTCATAGAACTTATTACCACCAAATATAGTATATATTGTATTGCCTCCTCCAAATAGATATAAAATTATGAGCGCACTGGGTTGTCTTGTTAACTGTATCCCTAGCAACTAGTATAATGCCTGACACCAGCATATATAAGGAATTTGAATATTTGTTGAATGAATAAATGTGCAAATTCCCAAAAGTACGGTAACATGGAACCACACACATATTAGAGGACCATAACATGCAAGGGGAGTGGGGTATAAGTAACAAAAGACCTATGTGGGTTGGGGAGGTGGCAAGCATAGGCAAGATCATAAAGGACTTTACTTTGCTAGGCTTTGTAGTTTGGATTTTATCCTGAGGGTAGGAAAGTGATATTCTATATGCTTTAAAAGATCACTGTGATCTGGAAGACTCGTTTTAGTTTTATTTTTTTAAAAATCTTTATTGTTGAATGTATTAGATGTTCCTCATTTTCCCCCCCTTGACCCCCTCCTCCCCACTCCCGTGCCCCCCCCCACCACCTTTTCCCACAATATTGTCTGTGTCCATTGGTTATGCATATAAGTTCTTTGGTTTATTTCTTCCCACCCACCAACCCCTTTCCCTTTGAGGTTTGTCAGTCTAGCAATGAATTTATACTTCTTAATCCCTTCACCTTTTTCACCCATTCCCCCAACCCCCCTCCCATCTGGCAACCAACAAAATGTTCTCTGTATCTATGAGAATGTTTGTTCTGCCAGTTCATTTTGTTTGTAGATTTCATTGTCAATAGATATGTATTCTTTGCCATTTTGTTTTCATTTGGTTTATCTTTTTCTTCAAAAAGACCCTTCATCCTTTCATATAATAACGGTTTGGTGGTGATGAACTCCTTTAACTTTTTCTTGTCTGGGAAACTCTTTATATGGCCATCGATCCTAAATGACAGCTTTGCAGGATAGAGTAATCTTGGTTGTAGGTTCTTGCTTTTCATCACTCTGAATATTTCTTGCCACTCCCTTCTGGCCCACAAAGTTTCTTTTGAGAAATCAGCTGACAGTCTCACGGGAACTCCCTTGTAGGTAACTAACTACTTTTCTCTTGCTGCTTTTAAGAGTCTGTCTTTGTCTTGAACCTTTTGCATTTTGATGATGATGTGTCTTGGTGTGGGCCTGTTGGGGTTCATCTTGTTTGAGACTCTGTGGTTCCTGGACTTGTATGTCTGTTTCCTTCACCAAATTAGGGAAGTTTTCTGCCATTATTGTTTCAAACAGGTTTTCAATTTCTTGTTCTCTTTCTTCTCCTTCTGGCACCCCCAAGATGCGAATGTTGGCACACTTGAAGTTGTCCCAGAGGCTCCTTACACTATCCTCATTTTTTTGGATTCCTTTTTCTTTTTGCTGTTCTGATTGGGCATTTTTTTTGCTTCCTTATATTCCAAATTAATGGTTTTCTACTTGGCTTTACATACTCTACTATTGAATCTGTGTAAATTATTCTTTATTTCGGTGCCTCCTTCATTTCTGACTATGCATCCATCATTTCTGACTGGTCCTTTTTTATGCTCTTGAGGCCCTCACTAAGTTCACTGAGCATCCTTATAAGCAGTATTTTGAACTCAGCATCTGTTAGGTTGCTTATCTCCATTTCGCTTAGTTCTTTTCTTGGGGTTTTGTTCTTTCATTTGGGACCTTTTTCTTTGTCTCCTCATTTTGGCTGCCTCCCTGTATTTTTTTCTGTGTATTACTTAATGAGAGGTATGGGGCTAGCTGAGACCAGATGCTGCTTGTTTGCAAGAATTTAGGAAAATCTGAAGCAGGATCCAAGACAGGCCAATCCTATGGTTAAGCAACTGGCAACAGCTTGGGTGGGCCTGAAAGTTGGGTGGGGCGAGGCCTCAGGGAATCAGCAGGGTGGGGCTACCAGTGTGAGCCAGGTTACTAGAGTCCCAGATATGGCGACTGTCTGCCGCCCCCGGGAAGGGCTCACCAAGGGAACAAAGGCCTCCCACAGCACATTTGTCCTGGAGAAAGCCCCCTCTCCAGTGCCAAACAGCTCAGTTTCTCCCTGTATGTCTCTGGTGCCACTCGAGCTGCCTCCCCTCCAAGTTTAGAGGGTGTGAGTCCGAGTAAGTCCATGCGTGGGCCCTTTAAGGAGCTGCCTGGGGTTCCAGCCGCGTTAGCTTCCCTGAGCCTCTGTTCCCGCTGGTTTTTCCAGCCAGAAGTTATGGGGACTTTTCTTCCTGGCACTGGAACCCTGAGCAGGGCATCTGGTGTGGGATGGGGACCCCTCAGTCCTCATGGAGGACCTTCCCAGCCTAGGTATCCTCCTGATTTTTATCTGCCACACATGGGTGTGGGACCAGCCCATCGCGCCTCCTCGCCACTGCCCCTCCTACCAGTCTTGATGCAGCTTGTTCTTTAATTTCGTAGTTGTAGGACTTCCATTCAGCTTGATTTCAGGCAGTTTTGAATGATGGTTGTTTTGTAGTTTAGTTGTAACTTTGATGTGGTTGTGGGACGACGCGATACCGCGTTTACCTACGCTGCCATCTTGACTGGAAATTCTCAGAAGACTCCTGTTTTAAAAATGGCAGTTTAAATCTATACTTTTATATCCTGTTTGCCAGAAAACCCCTTTAAAATGACAGAGGAAATGGAAACAGAAATCCATGGTAGAGGAATTCTGAGGAATTTATACAAGTTACAAAGTATATGGGATCAGACTGATAACAGAAACCAAAATTGTATAAAGTCAATGATCTGAAAAGTTAGAAAAGCACTACTAAAGCATTGATTCTTAAAGTTGGAGGAGTGGGGTTGGTATAAACACCTTTGGAGAGTCCAATGGAAGCTACAGAATCTTTTCTCAGAAAATTTCACACAGTATTTTGGGTATACCAAACATTATCTAAAAATCCATCCCCCCCACCCCCCGCTGAAATCTAGGCATGAAATCTGTGACAGTTCCACAGCCAGTGAAAAGTCCACAACTCTTACCATGATTTTTACTAACTCACAGATTATATATCATCCTGAGCTAGAGTCCATTCTACGATTCGTTCTGTACTATAATGACCAAACATGAAATGTTCCAAGTACCATAGGAAAAAAAACCTGAGCCAGATAAAGTTTTTGCCCTCAAGGAACTTATAGATTAGGGGAGAAATAAGCAAAAACTCATTCAGTTAAAAAGTTTGAGTAGCAGAAACAACAAAACAAAAAGGAAAGAAAAAGATGAGGATCAATTATGTACCAGTCATTGTGGTAGATAGATCCTAGCAATACTGCTGCAAGCAAGGTAAATATGGTCCCTGGTCTTATGGAAATTATAGTCCAAGAGATAGGCCTTAACGATCAAGCCTTATAAACAGAAAGTTCTATGAAGGTCAAAGAAGTAAATTTAAACAGGGAACCGGGATGCAGAAATATTGAAGGATGAAAAGTAGTTAGGTCGCTGGGAAAGAGGCAGGAGTTGGTAGAAATCTGGTAAGATAGGAGTCTAAAGTGTAGGAGTTCAATAAAATGTCCTGTCATTTCATTAGGTACTCACTCTGTTCTGACATTCAAGCACATCTTTTTTTTTAATCCTCTCCCAAGGAAAATTTTTCCATTTTTTTGTTCAGATAGGGTGGAAGGGAAAGAGAAGAAGAGAGAGAGAAACATGTGTAAAAGCGACACACAGAGTGGCTGCCACCGGCGCGACCCAACCAGGCCCGGGGACAAACTGCAACGGAGGCACATGCCCTTAGCGGGAACCGAACCGGATCTCTCGGGACCGCAGGCCAACGCCCTAACCGCTGGGTCAAACCGGCCAGGGCTCAAGCACATCTTGTTAATTAAATCTTACAAATCCCCTAAACCCCGTCTAGGTGTTGCTTGAGTGCTTACTATGCCAAGATGCATGAATTATCTTTTCTCCCAGAACAGTTATATATTATACCAATTTTGCAGTCGGGAAAACTGGGACTTCGATAAATTAAGTAACTTGTTCATAGCATCTAGTCAGTGAGTCTAGAGCCAGGATAACCTGGACATTCTCACCCGAAAACACTCGACCTTTCCGGCCTTACTGCCGACTGCGCCTGAACTGGGGTCAAAGGGCAGTCAGAGGGTTTCACCAAACGTGCCGTGCACTTGGAGATTCTTTTCCTCTTCTGGGCCTTTTCTCATATTCGCTTACTCTTCCGGAACTTGAAGCAGAACCAACCCCAGGTTTTCCTGTTATCTTTAAAGATGCCCTTCAAATGTCAATTCCTCTATAAATATTCTCAAGCAGTAAGAAACTGCCTCTCTCCCTCTTCTTCAAACGACTCCCTGCGGTTTCTAGTTGATATTTCACCATCCCACAGACCTTTTATTTATCTTCCGTAGATCGTCGCCCAACTCCGGCGTGTGGTACCAGGACACCGCTTCGCCGGCTGCGGCCGCCCTGGAAACACACGATGCTTTGGGCCGAAACCCATCTCAACCCCCTCCCGGGGTCCGACGCCTCATTCCTCCAGCCCGCTTCAGGAAAGGTGTATCTGCTCTACCCACGGATTTCTAGCAACGACAGTGTAAGGTACGGTCTCTGACGCTGACTCGGGGATGAAGGCGCTTCCGACTCCGAGCGCGTAGCAACCACTGGCTTCCTCCCCTGCCTGGCCACCTCTGAGATCCTTTTCCGGGGCAGAGGTCATCGCGTCCCGCCCGCGCTTCCTCCAAGATGGCGAGCGGCGGCAGTGGGGGGGTTTCGGTGCCTGCGCTCTGGAGCGAAGTGAACCGTTATGGCCAGAACGGTGACTTCACGCGCGCTCTCAAGACCGTCAACAAGAGTAAGTGTCAGGGCGGTTGCCGGGGCGGGTCCGGGCCGGCGGAAGGATGAGGTCTTCTTCCGGCGCGCGCGACCACCTCTCAGTAGACAGAGGGAGGAAGACCTGAGCCGCCAGCGTCCCGGGAGCGGACGCCTGGCGGGCGTGTTGGGTTTGGGGCTCAGCCCCCGCTGCACCAAGCCGGCCCTGGGCCTTGGGTTGTTTAGCGCCACGTGTACTTTCCTCTTTACACCGCGGGAAGCGAGGGAGGGACTTAAAGAGACCGCTGCTGCCAGCGCCTCATCCAAACTGTTCTCTTATTTGACTCCTTTGTTTTCACGCCTTATTTCGCAAATAAATATTCCACACCGCAGTTTTTTTCTCTTTCTATTTAACGGAGTGATCGAGACAGTATTGCTGAGGGAGTTTGTTTTCTTGGACCTCAGCGCGGGGAGGAACCTGCCAGTGACACGTAACTTGGAAGCTGGTGCTCACATGGTGGCAGCTGCATAGACTCGGGAGAGGGAAGGGCTGGATGTACATGTCAGGCCTGCGTTCCCACAGATAGACCCTCTCCGATGTCATTAGAGCGGGAAATGTGTGTGTGAAAGCACTGGCATTTAAAATAACGTCGGAGGAAAAGTGTGGCCTGTTTTTTGCCCCATAACTGATCATTTCCAATAAACTACCTTCGGTATGAGGTTTATTTATTATATTCTTTTATCGTTTAGTACTTAACTGTAATATGGCTGTGCTTTTTAATGCTCTCTGTCGTGCTAATTCTTCTTTATTGAAGATGCCGCATATATTTGGTAGATATGGAAATGTAATTACCAGGACAGGGTTTGCTATTTAAAACAGTAGTAACATACAGGTTGTATAAATAAATTTCAACAACCTGTTGTTCATTTAACGTGAAGAGAAGTGATTGTGCTCACAAAGCAATTTTTTGGTGTGATTTCAGGCATTGAAAATGGATATACATTACAATTATTTGATTCCTAAGCTTGTTTTGAATTAAGGTTAGTTTTTGGCTAGGCCTTCAGCCAGTACTAAGTCACAATGTAGTAAGTTACAGGAATTATTTAATCAGCAGCTCTCAGTTTGTTCTCCAATACAGTATATATTTTCTTCATTGGCAGAAGTTCCTTTAACGCTTACAATTGGGTCCCTTTAGTTGCTCAGGAGCAAGGGGAGTGATCCTGGTTATTTTGACACAGAGCAGCTGTTTACCATTGAAATTTGGCTACCTGACTCCTTCTTTGTACTTCTCTTTGGTCATCTTAGGTGAAAAGAGAAATTTTGAATGGTTTTTGAAATTAAAACCAGCAAGATAAATTGCATTTGTGTACTTTAGAGCTTATAGATATCGCCAAAATATTCTTATTTCATCTTCTTGATAACTTTGCAAAATAGGTAATGCTTTCATACTCTTCTTGCGGTTCAGAGAATTTAGATTTGCAGTTAGATGACTTGCTTAAGATTTCAAGGCATCTAATGACAATCTTGTACTCAAAACTAAATTTGTTTCCAAATTCTACATGAACTTTCTTTTTCCCCTGTAAAGTAATGAATTACGTAGGACGTAGCATACATCCCAACATTAAAAAGCTGGACAAAATAGCTTCTTTCTTTCACTCTCCTTTTTTGGGACCATGCATCTTGGAAATCTTATTAAAAATCTAACTAAATTATAACTCTCCTTTTATCATTTCTTAAGTTAAAAATGAAGATCCACCTTTAAAAAAAAGTTTGACAAATTATTTTTGCTGCAATACAATTGGAAACGTAATTTCCTGAGGCAGAGGGTGGGAAAATTTAGTAAAAATGTGAAAAAGAAATAGATTTGAATATTATTTTCCTTAATTATTTCATAGTTCTGCAGATCAACAAAGATGATGTAACTGCCCTACACTGTAAAGTGGTATGCCTTATCCAGAATGGAAGTTTCAAGGAAGCCTTGAATGTCATCAATACTCATACGAAAGTGTTAGCCAAGTAAGTGATTCAGTTGGTTGTTTGTACAGTTATTTGAAACAATTTTACCATTGCTACATTCATTTTTTCGTCACTGTTCAGTGACTTTTGACCTGTTTCTTTCCTTTTTTTGTTACTTCTCAGTAGTGTTTTTGAAACTGGATGGAGTAATGGTAATTTTGTTCTTTTCTGCCTTGGGGAGCCTTTTCTTTACTCCATGTGATTTTTCTTGAACCACTAAGAAAGAGATAAATTGTGGAGGGATGTTGAGCATAAATGTAACAAGAATTTTCAGAGGACATAAGGAGAACAACTTAGCAGAAAGTTTAATTTTGGAAAAATAAAAAAAACGTCAGAACATGTGTGGTAGGGCAGTATAAGTAGAGGTCTCTATGATGGTATAGCAGTATTAGCCTGACCTCTGTGCCTACTTCCTTTGAGAATTGTTTAGGTGAGTTTGATTTTAGGCCAAGATCTTTCACTGTCAGAGTTCTTTAGCAGTCTTGAGACTGGAAGTATTTTTGTTGCTAGTATTTTTCATTTATTTATTTCATTTCTCTTTTCATGAAATGTGAACGTATATTCTGAATTGTTACTCTAATTTGATTCTTTTGAACAGTTATGCCTAATCCCTAAAAGGTGTATTGAAATGAAGTTTGCAGCATATTTATTCTTTAATTAAAGATTCTGTTTATAAAGTATAGAGCAGTATATAGTATATTTTCTTTTGTATAAGAAAAAGAGGATATAAGAACTTCTAAGTACATTTTTCTGTATATGCAAAAACAAAAACTAGCCAGAGAAACCATGTAAAAATAGTCACTTGGCCCTGGCCGGTTTGCTCAGTGGTTAGTGTTGGTCCTTGGACCGAAGGGTCTTGGGTTTGATTCTTGTCTAGGGCATTTACCTGTGTTGCAGGTTCAGTCCCCGGCCCAGGTCAGGGTCATGTGGGAGGAACCAGTCAGTTGGTCTCTCTCTCACACCGATGTTTCTCTCTCCCTCTCCCTTCCTCTCTCCCTCTCTCCCACTCTCTTTCCCTCCCTCCCTTTCTCCCTTCCCCTCTCTAAAAAATAAAAAAAAAAAAAGGTCACTTGTAGGAGGTGAGGAGGAACAGGGTAGAATTGAAAAGCAGTGGGAGTAAAGCCTCTCAGTGTATATCTTTTTGTTTTTTTATTTGAGCCATATACATGTATTACAGATTGGAAACTTAATTAAAACTTGATTTTAAACTTTATTACAAATAAAAGGAACACTGCTTTCAATGGACATAGACAACAATGCTTGGGGGGAGCAGGATGGGGCGGAGGGTGTCTAGGGGGAAAAGGAGAAACATCTGTAACAAAAATAAATTAATAAAAATTGCAAAAATAAGTAAATAAATAAATAAAGGGAACACTGCTTTCTACCAGTATATATGTTCATGCTGAAATTTAGTATTTTGAATTTTGACCATTTTGTGAGATTGGGAAATTTTGAGTTAAGTTTTGTTAGGCAATAAATAAAGGATATTGCCATTTGCTTTGGTACATATTATTTCTCATGTGTTATGATTGAAATTTCAAAATGAGTTCAGATGTCACAATAATGCAGATGAAGTTTTAGGTGAGTGTATGTTAAGTAGTGTATTTGTAGTTGTGTTTTTACCAGTTTGAATACAAATACTATGTTCTTTTAAGATTTCTAGTTACTTTTTCTTTGCTAATTATTTGTTTCTTGAACAAGTTTAAAAGCAGCATTATGTGGCTTATTATTTGATTAGTAGATTTAAGAAACTTCTATAATAATTTATTTAAAATAATATTCAGATTATCTTTGTATCTAAGACAAATATTTAGCTGATTCATGATTTCATTCTTAAATGTTTGTTTCAAAAGGCAAATAATTCTAATTAGAATATCCATGAAAGCAGGAGAGGCTAAGGAAATAGATACACTTTCAAACAAGTCACTAACCTTTGTCAGCTTTCTCATCTCTTAGTGAGAGTTGAATAACAATATATATCAAGTGCTTAGAGCAGTGTCTGGCATATGGTGAGTGCTCTGCTGTGTGAGCTAATAATCAGATATTGTTTTTTTTCCTTTTCAGTAACTCTCTTTCTTTTGAGAAGGCATATTGTGAGTATAGGCTGAACAGAATTGAGAATGCCTTGAAGACAATAGAAAGTGCCAGCCAGCAAACAGACAAACTAAAGGAACTTTACGGACAAGTGGTAATTACTGCTTTTAAATACCTGTTGACAGTCATCCTGAGTGAGCATGACTCTACCTGTGGCAGAGTGCGGATGAAAAACCTGATGGTCCACAAAACTTGCCACCAAACCAGTTCTTGAGGTTTAAACATATTTCATCTTCTTGATCTTCATGCAAAAGTTGCATTTATAACGTTCTGTGAGCAAATGACTTCCCCAGGGTAATTTAAAGTTAAGAACTGTCCTGTGAAATTTGGACTTTTTAGTTGGAAAGGAGCTTTTATATACTTAATCGGTTTTAAAATTGTATTTCTTTCTAGTTTTTAACTATTCTAAGTTTAAAATAAAATTATGATAATTTGGATAATTTCAGCTAGTTCATGAAATCCTTGAAATTATCTTATTCTAAAAGTGTTTTGAGACATATAATTAAACCTAATGTAAAATAGGGCTGTTGCTGAGAAGACAGAAATGTTATGTGAGAACCAGCAATAAACCCTCTTAAAGATTTTTAAAATGTCAATGTAGAGCAAATAATGTTGTATTGACTGTATTGGTCCCAAGAGCTAGTATGAGTTTAACAATATAAATGGGTTGAAGATGCCCTGGGCAGTTTGGCTCAGAGCGTTGGCCTGCGGACCAGAGAGTCCCGGGTTCGGTTCCCACTAGGGTCACGTACCATAAATAAATAAATAAATAAATAGGTTGAAGGGTCACGTACCATAAATAAATAAATAAATAAATAAATAGGTTGAAGAAAGATTTGGGCAAGTTCACAGATTGTAGTTTTATAAAGAATTTATAAAGAATTTCTAAGGTGCCCTGGCCAGTTTGGCTCAGCGGTTAGAGCGTCGGCCTGCGGTCCAGAGAGACCCGGGTTCGGTTCCCGCTAAGGGCATGTACTTCGGTTGCAGTTTGTCCCCGGCCCTGGTTGGTCGAGTGGGTGGCGGCCACTCGATGTGTCCCTTTCACGTCGATGTTTCTCTCTCTCTTCCTCTCTCTCCCTCCCACTCTATCTGAACAAAAAAATGGAAAAATGTCCTCGGTGAGGATAAAAAAAAAAAGAATTTCTAAGGTAAGCTGGATAAATTTAGGGTAAATTCTGGCATTTTGAAATTGATGATGGGCACCAGTCGCTGTCACATATGAAGTAACTGACTCAGTGATGGTTCTTATTACCCTTTAGGACAACTTCAGTGAAATAAGCAGGAGTCATGTTGTGTGTATTTCATAGCACCCTATACGATCACTGGTTTCTAAGAAACAGAAAAGGAAGATTAAATACAGTGAACTCCTGGAAATATCGAGTCCTTTTGTTAACATCTCATTTTGTTTCTGTTTACTGGAGTTTAGTAATTGTTGTGTGTTGTGAGAAAATTATTTCATTGTAAGTCATTGTAGGGAATAGGGTGATTTCTGTTACAAAAAGCTTTTCTTTTACACCCCACCTAGGCATTTACCTAACCTCAAGAAGAGATAAATACAGTGACACAGTGACTTTTCTAACCGAATAATACCTACAAACATGCAGTGTAGTAGTGATTCATTACAAGTAACTTTTTGAAACAGTTAGTAGCATGTAGAACTAAATGAAAAATTTTCAGGGAAAAATGGTTGATTGCCCATGTTATGCTGAATTAGTTTTTCTTCTTAGTGGTTCCAAAAAGGATTTGTACAGTGTTAGAGACATAACACTATATTTCTCTTGTCCTTTCATTTTTTACTTGCTCTTTGTCTCTTTAGTTATACCGGTTAGAGCGCTATGATGAATGCTTAGCTGTGTATAGAGATCTTGTTCGAAACTCCCAAGATGATTATGATGAAGAGAGAAAAACAAACCTTTCAGCAGTTGTTGCAGCTCAAAGCAATTGGGAAAAAGTGGTTCCGGTAAGTATCGCTGAGTACCCACACAGCCATGAACTGATATTTATACCTACTGTTTGACTGGTATTTTTTCTATGACAGGAGAACTTGGGCCTCCAAGAAGGCACACATGAATTGTGCTACAATGCTGCGTGTGCACTGATAGGACAAGGCCAGCTGAGTCAGGCAATGAAAATCCTACAAAAAGCTGAAGGTTGGAAATTTATTAAAATTATATGTAATTATAATGTATATATAACTTTGCAAAGTATTTCCAAAAACCTCATTGGACTTTGCGATGTTTTTAAGGGGAAATGATTGATTAGGTGGGAATTTCTCAAAGTTCTTCTAGCCTTTCTCTTGGGTTTTTGACATTATCTCTCTATTTCTGCCTAATTCATAAGTCATACTGCTTGTTCATTTTCAACCACACTGGACATTAAAATATGAATTTTGAGGAGTAGGTTTTTGGACAAGTGACTGTGCGTGTTAAATGTAAATTGAATTAATTTATGTCAATTACTTACATTAGTACATGGCATATAATATAAATATTCAGTAAATATTAAACAGGCACTCAAGTATGGTAGTAATATGGTGTGCCTATATTGTGCACATATGCACACATACTATATTTATACATTGATAACACTATTCAAGCACATTTTCACTCCATTAAGTATGTTTCCATATACAATACAATATTTATGTGTTGAAGCTTTGTTTTTTAAATTTTTTTTAAAGTTCATGCTATTTATTTATTTTTAATATTCCATGCATTTTTTTTTTAATTTTATTTATTTTTCTTTTTTATTGAATTACTGGAGTGACACTGGTTAACAACATTATACAGGTTTCAAGCCCACAATTAATTACACAGCACATCATCTGTACACTGTATTTTGCTCACCCACCCCAAGTCAAGTCTCCTTTTATCACTATTTATTCCCCCATACCTTCCTCCACTACCCCCACCCTCCCTTCTCCTAGCAATCCCCAAACTGTTGTTCGTGTCCATGAGTTTTTTTTCTTTTTTGCTCAATCCCTCCACCCTCCCCGCACCCCTCCATCGTGCACCTCCCCACCACCAACAACTGTCAGCCTGCTCTCTGTACATGGATCTATCTATGTTTTACTTGATAGTTCATTTTGTTCATTAGATTCCACATATGAGTGAAATCATATGGCACTTGTCTTTCTCTGGCTTATTTCACTTAGCATAATGCTCTCCAGGTCCATCCATGCTGTCGAAAGGGTAAGATTTCTTTTTTTGCAGCCAGGTAGTATTTCATTGTGTAAATGTACTACAGCTTTTCTGTCCACTCCTCTACTGATGATAGGCACTTGGGCTGCTTCCAGATCTTACTGTTTTGGGTTTCTTCGGATAAAATTGCTAGGTCATAAGGCAGTTCCACTTTTAATTTTTTGTGGTAACTCCATACTGCTTTCCACAGTGCTATACCAGTATGTATTCTCACCAATAGTGCATGAGGGTTCCCTGTTCTCCACATCCTCACCAGTACTTGTTTGTTGTTTTATTGATGATAGCCATTCTGATGGGTGTGAGATGATATCCCATTGTGGTTTTAATTTGCATTTCTCTGATAATAAGTGATGTTGAACATCTTTTCATATGTCTATGGACCATCCATATGTCCTCTTTGGAGAAGGGTCTATTCAGGTCCTTTGCCCATTTTTTAATTGGATTGTTTGGTTTTTTTGGTGTTGAGTTTTATAAGTTTATAAATTTTGGATATTAACTCCTTATCAGATGTATCATTGGTGAATATGTTCTCCCATTCTGTGGGTTGTCTTCTCGTTTTGTTGATGGTTTTCTTTGCAAGACCTTTTAATTTGATGTAGTCTCATTTGTTTATTTTCTCTTTTGTTTTCCTTGCCTGAGGAGATATATCAGAAAAAATATCTCTATGGGGAATGTCTGAGATTTTACTGCCTGTGTTTTCTTCTAGGATATTTTTGGTTTCAAGTCTAACATTTAAGTCTTTAATCTATTTAAGTTTATTTTTGTGTATGGTGTAAGAAGGTGGTCTAGTTTCACTAAAGTTTTTTTTTTTTTTTTTTTTTTGGTATGTGCCCCTAGCGGGAACTGAACCCAGGACTCTCTGGTCCCCAGGCCGATGCTCCAACAGCTGAGCCAAACCGGCTTGGGCTCATTGAAGTTTTTAGTTAAAAAGAAAGAAAATAATTTATTGGCAAACTTATGTCTGATCTTAACTCCGGGAACATTTAGACTTTTCTGCATACATTTTTCCTGGAAGCTATAAAAGTGATGTAGGGACTGTGGTAAACATGCAGAGGAAAAAAGATGAAACAGGGTTTGTTTTACTTCTAAATGTTGAAGGTTAAAATCAAAGCATAGGTTAGAGTATCATGAAAAGAAAAATATGTTTGGGAAGTATAATTTTTTGATCTTATCCAGTATTGGCAGTGGTATCCCCTACCTGGGTAGCAGGTTCCATCTCTGCATACAGGAGGCAGCCAATCAATGTTTCTCTTTCTCTCTCCCTCTCCCCCCTCCTTTCCTCCACCCCCTCTCCCTCCTTCCCTTCCACTCTCCCTGAAAATCAATGGAAAAAATATCCTCAGTAAGATTAAAAAAAGAAATGCAGCTGTACATTTAAATTGTAAAAAATTAGAATGCTAATAGTTGTTATCTTTGGGTGATGGGATTATTGTCTTTATGCTTTTCTGAAATTGAATTTTTTGCAATCAACATAATTATTATTTTTTTAATCCTCACCCGAGGATATTTTTCCATTGATTTTTTAGATAGAATGGAAGGGAGGAATAGAGACACATCTATTGGATGGCCCCCTGTATGACCCCAACCCAGGATGGGGATCAGACTTGCAACCCAGGTTCGCACCCCTGACCTGGAACTGGTCCAAGGGCAGACACTTCAACCACTGAGCCAAATTGGTCAGGGCAATATTTATAATTTTAAATGTCCTTGAAAGACTTTTTAAGCATAGAGATTACAAATGAATGAAAAATGTGAAAGCGCTAGAATAACCAGGGATAGATACTATCTAGTATAGTTCATGCTAGTGATAAATTTCAAATTTACTTATTAAAATTATCTTGAAATCTTCTTGTTCTTTGGAATGTTGAAAGGAATGAGCATTGCCCAGCAATGTTAATTTTAAAACCATTTTCCCCATAGATCTTTGCCGCTGTTCATTATCAGAAGATTCTGTAAGTATCCCACTGTTGTTAAACCCTTATAATATGTAAATTTGTAGGGGGCTTCATTGTAGTATATTGACTTTTTGGAATAGATGGTGATTCATCGAATAGGAATCATAACAGAAAACCTCTTAATTGGGGTTTTCTACTATGAATAGGAATCATAGTAGAAAATCCCTTACTTGAAGGGGTTTCTTAGGGTGAGAAATTATAATACAAAAATGTTTATATACTTAATGCGTTGTATTTTAAATTCATATAAATATAAAATAATTCTATTTTAGATATGGGGCTCAGGTCTTTGAGGATGGGTTTATTTATAAGAATTTTATGCATCTATCATATTAGTCCAGCATTCATGATTTCATTTCCAGTTTTGTTTTGGTTTTTTAAGTCCAACACTATCTTAAAGACAACTGTGAAGTACTTTGATTACATTCTTTTTAGATGTTAACTTTTTTAGATCTTACCATTTTCTGGCTCACTGCTAATTAGACAGTAATTTTCTTTAGTAACTCACTTTTATCAAATACTTCTGAGCATTCAACATAGTTTTCATTGAAACAAGTCTTTTTTCACACTCATAGTTCTTCTCTTACTATGATCATTACGTTTTATCATTTGCTTATTAAACATAACTGGCATAATGGGACTGGAAGCAAACACACCTGACCACTAGTCAGCATGCACTCACCAGGTGAGAGCAGGAGTGCTGGGTGTAGTAAAAGAGAACAGCCCCCGGCCTCGAGCATTTACTTTTATGTGGGCATCAGTCAGCCTTTCCAGAGGAATGGAGAATATGGATTAATCTGGAGTGTCAGTTAAGAGAGCTGCTGATTTAATTACAGTTTTAGCTTTTAAAGTTCTTTGTATGGTGATAATTAGGATTTTGTAAACTTTCCTCTTTTTATGGCAATTCCTAAATTTTGACAAACTGAGTCTAAGGGAAAATTCCAGAAAATTATGTTTTACTTAGGATTCTGTACCTTTTCAATGTTTGGATCACTTGGTAAATATGTGGAGCAATTTGGAGAACTTTTGTTTCTTATTCTGCTTAGGATGGGACTGAGGAAGACCCACAGGCAGAACTGGCCATCATTCATGGGCAGATGGCCTATATTCTGCAGCTTCAGGGTCGTACAGAGGAGGCTTTGCAACTTTACAATCAGATAATAAAACTAAAGTGAGTTATTAAAATGAAGTGTCTTTTATAGGGGAGGAGGTTTCTTTTTAAAGGTTTATTTCTTTTTGACTTGCTTGTTGTTCACAGGCCGACAGACGTGGGGTTGCTAGCTGTGATTGCAAATAACATCATTACCATTAACAAGGTATGAAATAGCCATGGCTATCCTACACTTATATTTTACACTGAAAGCATATCACTCAGCTTTTTTCTAGGATAAGGTTTTTTTTTTTCTATGATAGAGTCCAAAATTGTAGTGAACCACAGTAGAGGTTATTTAACTCTCCTAATGATGATGATTATGCAGAGTATATTCAAGTAATAAAACAATTTTGTAGTTCCCGACTCTAGACTTTAAAATCTTACTTTCTTAGTTTATAATAATATGGAGAATCTCTGTTAGAAAACTAAAATATTTGGACTTTTAAACTTTATGTGTGCATTTTTTATGTGATGTTTTCATTTAATAAGTCTCAGTGAAAGTTTTCTGAGATAATTTTCTTCTTCCCAGTGGTTTTTATTTTAGGGAAGGGGAGATGTGGGCAGGTTCTATTTCTCATGTTCAAATTTGAAATTCAGGTCAATAGAAAATAAAAGTAACATTTGTGGTGGTTTTTGATAATGCCATGTAATTTTTTTCAAGAGTCATCTTATTTCATTTTCACTGTTATCTTTTTAGGTGGCAGTACTTATTTCGAATTTATAAGAGTATAATCTGAGGCTGACAGGAGTTAAGTAATTTGTGTAAGGTCACAGCTAGTAAGAGGTAGAACTTGGATTCAGAGTCCAGTCTCTGACTCCAAGGCTTGCTCTTTCTAGTCCTTCATGGGACCTTTCTCCCATATAGCAGAAATTCAGAGAGTCCCCAAAAGTGGGATAATGGCATTAAGGGGGCTAGTAGTTACAGGAAGTTGCAGGCCATTGGCATGGTTTAGGTTTCCAAAAATTGGTGCTGGCTTTTGAATCTTAGCAGCAATATATACCTACCTATGTTTCTGAATAATTTAAATGCCAGTGAGTACAGATTCTTTTTATGTGCTATATAATTGTGAGGAGGAGAGTGTGTGCAAAACTAGATATCTCAAAGTTAGTGTAAATAATTATACATTGAACTTTCTTCAGCTAACAGGTATTTATTTCTTTTTATTCAAAATAGTGCTGGATGCAATAGGTAATAATGAAACACGGTTTTAATCATTACAGTTTTAAACTCTCCTTCTGATGTTGAAAGAAACTGTGCATCTTTAAATTTCTTACTTTATAACTACAGTATTTGGTGAAAGAAAAGATCTCTGGGTTGGCAAATTTGAGCTTACCCTTGAAAGAGGAATATAGTTTGAAGGTTAAGCAACAGCATAAACAAATAAATTATGAAGAAATATTTATGGCTTTTGGAGGGGTGGGCATGAGAAAACAGAAGATAAGAGAATATATACATGCTAGTTAATTAAAAAAAAATAGGTTAGATTAAATGATACCAAAGTATGGGAGGTCTTGAAAATTAAATTTTTGAATAATAAGTGCCATGATAGCAAAGTTTAAGAGAGGTCTGGCAGTGGCATGCATGATGAAGTGTTAAAATAGTGATATAGGAGTACCAACTAGAAATACGGTTTTTTGAGGACTGATTTATTTGAAAGCCAGTTTCTTGCTGTACATTAAAATAATTTTGCTTTGGTTTGGGGCTTCACACTCAGAAAAGGTAGAATTTATTTTAGATTTCTTCTTTGTCTCCTTTTAGTCTTTAAATTGCTAGACCTTGTTTTAACAGCACATGGTATCAATTATTTGCAAATGTGTATATCACTCAGCAAAGCTAGAATACTATGCACATAGTAGATACGCTGATGCTAAGCTTGTCCTTCCTAGGATGCAGTGTGACTTAATTGTGTTCCTTCCTTGAAAGGTATGTGACTTTCTTTAGGCAGATAACGTTTAGGCCCCACACAGAAATTGAGCTTGTTTTACTTCTGCCTAGGTGAGAAGAGCCTTAAGAAACGGAAAAACAATAGCTATGTTAATTAGTATTTTTTGTTAAAATGGGTTCAAGAGAGGTATGAATATATATCTGAATTTTAATAATTTGCTTACATAATGACAGTATTTCATAGAGGAATGAGTGACTTTCATCATCCGTCATCTAAATTCTAAAGGGCATAATTTGTAGAACTTGCAAATTTAGTTATCTTTGTAGTCCTAATTTCCACTGTAAAATTAGTGCTATCCCTGTCTACTTTTCTTCAAAAAGCTCAAAACAAGCATTTAATAGTGGAAATATAAAACTAAAGAAAACCAGGAACCCAAGACAAATTTATGTGCATCTTAGGAGCGTAGGCACCCCAACCAAGCAGATGTATTATCTTCCAGGCTCTCTTGTTTTTATATAAAATAACTAAATGAAAGAGGAATAAGGTCTTGGAGCATTAAAAGAGTTGAAGTCTGAGATTGCTATTAATGATGGATCAACTTTTCTTTGTCAGGACCAAAATGTCTTTGACTCCAAGAAGAAGGTGAAATTAACCAATGCAGAAGGAGTAGAGTTTAAGCTTTCCAAGAAACAGCTGCAAGCTATAGAATTTAACAAAGCTTTACTTGCTATGTACACAAACCAGGTAGGTAACATATCTCTAGTTCCCCTCGCTAAACCTTTTAGAGTATGGCATCTGAGGCATAATGGATGTATCAGTGCAATCAATTTATATTTTGTCTTAAACCCATGTGTTCTTCAGGAATGTCACATATAATAGATTTTTTTGGTTAAACAAATAATTTGCCCAGTTCTTTGTAAAGGTGTGCTATTGCTGGCTTTTAAGAGGAAGAAGACACTGTTCACACCTGTAAGTGAGATAATTTTGTTAATATTTTGTTTATCTATGAATTAAAGTAAAATAAGTATGCAGAATACTGCAAGTTGTAAGTGTTAAATGATGTCAGTTCTACCCCTAACATGCATTAATTCCAATTCAATTATCATTTCATGCTCTTCAAGAGCAGAGATTTTCAGTGGGAAAGTGAGAGGCAGTAACATGTTTATTATTTAGAACTGAGTCTAAAGTTAAAATAGTCTAAAGTACTTTAGCAAGAAATACCTATGTGTTTTGTTGTTTTGAAGCAAAGACAGATGTATTTTATTTAAACAAAATTCTGGAATTTAACCATCCAAATGAATGTTTATAACTCCTCCTTTCTTAAATGCTTTGAGAACTCATAGTTTAAATTTAGTAAATGGAAATCTTTTTCTTATAGGAAAAAATTGAGAATAGATACTATAAACCACTTCTCTCACCCTGGGCAGTTTTTTACTTACTATTTTGTTTTAACTGATTTTCCTCCTCCTCCCCCCATTCTTTTCTTCTTTTTGGTCACTCACTTAATGTTTAATTTCATTAACCAGTGTATTTTTGTGTGTGGGGGCAACATTGTCTTTTTAGGCAGAACAGTGCCGAAAAATATCTGCCAGTTTACAGTCCCAGAGTCCTGAGCATCTCCTGCCTGTGTTAATCCAAGCTGCGCAGCTCTGTCGTGAAAAACAGCACACAAAAGCGATAGAGTTGCTTCAGGTAAAGGAATTACTTGAATTTTTAAGGAAGTGTCAGATAGTCGCAGCCTTGTTTCATTTTCATTGTGTATAAAAGCTTGTAAATTTCATGGGCAAACTAATAGGTGATATACCACTAGACAAATTCTAGAGTGTCGCTTTAGTTAATTCTTGGGCTACAGCTTTGTTTTATATAAATTTGCATTAGTATGTATTTGCTATAAACCCTAAAGAATGATTTCCATTTTGAGATGTATTTAACTAGTTAAGGATTTGTTTTAGGCTTATAATATTAGAACATGCTTCATTCCTTTTTCAATAATGTATTCTCCAGTAACTCCCAATCTAACCTCAAATAATTACAGAGATACTGACTTGGTTTTTATCAACCTAAATCAGCTGTTAGATTATTTTTAATTTTCTGAGGGTAAAATACATTGGAAAGTTGGACAAGGTAAAATTAGGACCATCCTGGGAGACAGTTGCCTAGCAGGGACCCTCAGTGAAGAGGTATTATTTATTCGAGTATCTTTTTAAAAAAAAATTAAGTGTCAATCTTAATTATTATTTCTCAGTTACTCTCTGGAAACTTGCCATTATCATATTCATTTTCAGAGCATAATTTTAAAGCATAGTGGGTGTTGGATAAAATTTTTCCAAAGTAAAACTCTGACCTACAACCAGAAGTTTAATATTTTAAAACTGGATTTAAATATTTATGCAGCTAAGATAAGTAATTGGAATGTGTGCAGTGAGTTGTATAAATAAATTGTGATTTCCCCCCCCCAAATTAAAAAATTTTCAGGAATTTTCAGATCAGCATCCAGAAAATGCAGCTGAAATTAAGCTGACCATGGCACAGCTGAAAATTTCCCAAGGTATTAATGATGATTTCATCATGATTAAAATATCATTTTAATGGAAACATGGTGGGAATGATTCTGAAGTAGTTGACTATGTGAGTTTTAAATTTTTGCATAATGGTGAAGCATAATTATTGTTTCAAACATGAAGCTAGATGGTGTGAGCTCCAACAGACTTAGTAGTGAATTAGTTGGCCTTTTCTTGGGTTCTTACTAAATTGTTAGAATGGTTCTCAGTCTATACCTTGAAAATCTGTAGAACCAAAGGATTTCCCTGTTCCAAAAGACCATACTTAACTCAAATTTCTTGGCTGTGTGTTGTGTAGAAATGCCTAAATCTGTCACTTGGTAGTATTTGCATGAAATAAGGGTTACTTTGCATCCCAGTTTTCAGAATTTTTTAGTTCAGGACTTTATCCTTTATTTATGCTTTACAACTCATATCTTTGGGGGAAAGAGGCAAGGAAATTTAATGAGAACTGATATTTTTGGATCTTACAGAAAATGGTTAGTGTTTTTGTCCATGATTTTAGACCAACCTTGAGTGATTATCTAGACCAGTGTTGACCATATTTTGCAGCCACTATCTACATGTAGCTCCTTTAAGTTAAGATTAAATAAAATTTAAATTCAATTCCTCGTTTGTGCTAGCCCCATTTCAGAAGCTTCATAGCCATATCTGGCTAGTAGGACAGAATAAGATATAGGATGTTTTCATCATCACAGAAGGTTCTGTCAGACAGCTCAGGTGTAGAGTATGCATTCTCAGTGGGTATGATAATTGGTTTGAGGTGGGGAGAGTCCAAAAAGATATTGGATATTAAGATAGCTACAATGAAAATTTTGTGGGTAGAGGGCAGGGGTGTTAGTTGGCAATTAGGAAAAAAAAAATGTGTAAAAGGCTCCTTAGTGGGGCAGTAATGAAAACAAGGTTGAGAAACACTTCTAGTCTCCCTGTTACCGTTTTCAGACTTGCTTACATTTTTGTTTTCCCTTTTCCCACCTCTTTATTTTTCTTGCTCTCTTCTTTATCTTCTTTCCTCATTGGGTTTTCAGGATTTTTTTGGCAAGAATTATTTATTATACTAAATTACTGAGAGAGAGCCTATCATGATTTTTGTTTGTTTTGTTTTTAAAGACTTTGAAAGGTTTAGTTATTTAGGTTTGCAGTGAGTAGAAAATAAGAATTTTAACACTGTAGGAAAGTTTCCATTATACTCATATCTACAGTAACATATTTCTAGGCCCTTATGTTACAGTCTGAAACAGGAGAAATAGAACTCAACAGACTGGGAGTTGGGAGATGACTTTTCTGGTCATCTGCCATTATCTTTATCTTTCTTTGTGAGCGTAAGCAAGACTCAGTTTTCTTACCTGTAAAATGAATAGAATACTTTCTTCCCAAGATCCCAAAGCTTGAGTACTTGGGAGATGTTATAAAACAGGACTCATACATTTCTTGTCTTTTTTTTTTTTTTCATATTATACTTTCTTCATTGTGATGGCTGATTATGTCTTTAATTTCTTAAGGTAATATTTCCAAAGCATGTCTGATCTTGAGAAGCATAGAGGAGTTGAAGCATAAACCAGGCATGGTGAGTTTATAACTAAAATCTCATAAGACTGAAAAAGTAATAGGATTAATAGTCCATTGGTATGTTTATGTTTTTTCTATTCAATTTAATTTCTGCCTATTTCTTTCTATATTCATAATAGCTAAAATAATAGCATCTCCTTTCTGGTATAAATTCAATTTTATTTTGTACTCTGCTTTGCACTGGTCTATTTTTAGTCAGATGTGCCAGGCACTGGTTAGGCCTTACATTACCACTGAGAGTCAACCTTAAATAACCTAAGATCCATATAGGGAATTCCTTAGCCTGAATAATTTTATGTTCTCAGTGTGATTTCATTGAGGTAAAATAATTTAGTAATGGTGGTTAATAAATTTAGTCTTTAGTTCCCTGATTATTCCAGCATCACAGGTTTTGATCACCAATATAGCTTTGAAAGCATCTATTTTGAAGTAAAGAGTAATTTTATAGCAGTGGTCTGTATTTATTAAACAAGGACTGTTTTATTCATGCCTGTATTCTCTAGCACAGCTAGTTTACAATGGGACTCAGTAAATGTATAATAGTATTATGATAGTTTTTTTCTCTTTTGAAGATTGATATTTTAAAGACTGGGCTACGGTTATTTTATATTAGAATCAAATATAACACGTGGCTGAAAATAAAATGTTTCTAATATTTAATATCCTGTTTTCTGATATCTTTCAAAAAACTTATTCATTTCATTTATGTTGTTGGGTTTATTGCCATTAAAGTTGTTCAGATATTCCTAGTTTATCCTGTTAACATCTGTAGAACCTTTTGTTTCTAATATTGGTTATTCATATCTTTTTTTTTTCTGGTCAGTCTCACCAGGGGTTTTTCAGTTCTATCGATTTTTCTCAGAATTCCAGCTTTCTGTTTCTGTCCTTTCTGTCCTCATCTCCTACTGCTCTTCCCTTCTCACTCCACTCCAGCCACATGGGCCTTCTTGTTATCCCTCAGACACACTAGGCAAGCTTTTCACTGGCTCAGGCCTCATGTGACTCATCACAGGTGTTTAGCCACGCGGGTATGTGCGCCTCATTGATAATGCACTTGGATGTCCCAGCAGTGTCTTATTATATAAACTAATTATCTAAGTGCTTATTCTCAACTTCTGTACTTACCTTGTGGACTGGTAACTTTGTGAACTTGCACTGCTCTAGGGGAAAGGTAATATAGATAATTTTGTATTTGGAAAACAGTGCTGCTGTTCATGGTATTAATTTTTATGATGAATTAGGTACTGGTGAAAAGAGCCTAGCACAATTTATTTGCTGTTTCTTCAATGTTTTTCATTTTCAAAGAGCTTATTCTGGGAGAGAAGGGGGAATTTTATTCACTAATTTATACCTTTGGCTGGGTAGGTATCTGCATTAGTGACCATGTACAGCCATGAGGAAGATATTGATAGTGCCATTGAGGTCTTCACACAAGCTATTCAATGGTATCAAAGCCATCAGGTAAATAAATGGAGTAAAATGTTATAACGGCATGTTTTTACGTACAAATAAAAAGCTGCACTACTGAACTCAAAGTTTAGGATAAAAGATGGAATGCTCTTACTGTCATATTCTGTTTCTTAAGTATACCAGGTCCAAATAAAGTTATTAGAAGTAAGAAATAGCTGCAAAATGGAAAAAACAAAACAAAACTTCAGTTATATTTTCTGAACTTCTTTCCTGTGTGTGTGTGTGTGTGTGTGAGAGAGAGAGAGAGAGAGAGAGAGAGAGAGAGAGAGAGAGAGAGAGCTCAAGAAATAAGAATAATACTACATGATTACATGTAAGATAACTCATCTTTAGTGGCTAGAGAGCCCATGGATGGTAGTAATTGGTACAACAGGAGTACAGTTGACCCTTGAACAACATGGGTTTAACCTGCACGGGTCCATTTATATGTGGATTTCTTTTCAATAAGTACTATAAATGTATTTTCTCTATGATTGTCTTAACATTTTCTTTTGTTTAGCTTACTTTATTTTAAGAGTACAGTATATAATACATGTAACATGCCAAATATGTGTTAATATACGATGTTATTAGTAAGGCTTCAGGTCAGCAGTAAGCTATTACTAGTTTAGTTTTTAAGGAGTCAAATTATACTCATATTTTCAGCTGTGCAGGGGTCGGTGCCCCTAATTCCCATGTTGTTTAAAGGTCAACTATACATGGAATAATTGTGTATCATTTCTCCATCTAATGGGAACATATTTATTTTTTCCCGTATGGGTTTCTGTATTAGGCATTATCTAACTTAGGTGGCATTTATATACTGTTAGCATGTTACCAGTGGAGAGAGATCAGTGTTCTGGAAACTATTAAGTTAATATTTGAGAACTATGGTGACATATTATGGGATTATTTCTAGTTGTGGATGATCTAAATGGAATGGGTTGTGTTCCAAATTCATAAATTAGTTGTCACATGTACGAATTTGTCTACTCCTCTTTCTATTTGTGTGTGCAAATTTGTTTATGATATTTCATGCATTCTGTAAAACTTAAGATGAAAAATATAATGGATCGGTTAGTCCGTTTTAAAGGTCTAATGAATTTAATAACTTCATTGATTTAAAACTTTTTTTCTCTCTTTGTTAAAACTGTAGCCCAAATCTTCTGCTCATTTGTCCTTGATAAGAGAAGCTGCAAACTTCAAACTCAAATATGGGCGGAAGAAGGAGGCAATTAGTGACCTAGAACAGCTATGGAAGTAAGCTCTGAAGGGTGGAGATGTATAAATCCAAATTTTATTGCTGTTATTTGATATGGGGGAATTATTTTGCTTGTTTATGTTATTTTCTTCAGTTTTATAAATTGTTGAATAACTGTTTTCAATTTCTTCCTTTAGACAAAATCCAAAAGATATTCATACCCTGGCGCAGCTTATTTCTGCTTACTCACTTGTAGACCCTGAGAAAGCAAAAGCGTATCCTTTTGATCGTTCCAAGCCGCTCCCAAGTAACATACTAGATCTCTTCTAGTACCTGTTTGACCAGGACATTTTTTGTTATAAATTTCAGTAAATAAAACCTCCTTATAACTACTCAAAGCAAAAATGAAAATTTATTGATCATTGTGACTGAAAATACAGTGATAGATCTAACTTGGGGTTCAGCTTAATCCATAAGCAAAAATGAAGTTAATAACATATAGCTTATATCTCTCCAGGTTGAAGTCCAATAGCAAAAAAATAAACAAAAACATATTTTATTTGGAAACTAGTACATGATTCTGAAATGTCATTCTGATTGAACTCTTAGGTCACATGCTCATCTCAAACAGAGAAATTGGTGCCCTGATTGGCTGAATTTGGATCATGTGTGCTACTCCAATATGGGTGTGGTCCCAAAACCAAGGTGGCGGGGTGGATGCTGAGCAGCCACTGAGTTAAGGAATAGATGATTAGATTATGACTCCTTTTTCAAGTTTTCCTTTCACAATATATGATCTATGACCTTATGACCTGCTGATTTGTTGTTCAATAGAAGATTTAAGAACTTCTTTTTTGCTTTTGACAAAGTGCATAGAAAAAGAGAGTGTGTTTCTGTGCTGGCATAGATATATTGTTAGGCATATATATGTATATATATTGTGTTCCTGAACTCCTGTTCTATCCCAGTCTTAGTAAACACTTGCCCTCGTCAGATAGCATGTCTCTAAAAGTAGATGTCGAGGCTCTTGAAAATTCTCCTGGTGCTACATACATTCGGAAGAAGGGTGGTAAAGTTGCTGGAGATAGTCAACCAAAGGAGCAAGGGTAATGTTTTTCATTGTAACAATGCTGATTAAATTTAAATTGCATAAAGAATAAAGCTATATATATTTTAAATATGTTTTTATTGATTTTTTAAACAATTTTTTATTGATCTGTTACAGATGTTACTCCTTTTTCCCCCATTGACACCCTCCTTCCCAACCCCCACTCCCCGTCCCCAGCTTTATAGTTTGTGTCCATCAGTTATGCATACATGCATATAATTAAGTTCTGTGGTTTATCTCTTCCCTCTCCCCTCCCTGATTTTTTTTATTTTGGAGAGAGAGAAAAATCGATCGGTTGCCTCCTGCATGCTTCCTATTGGGGATCAGCCAGCAACCCAGGCATATGCTCTGACTGGGAATCAAACCCACAACCTTTTGGTGTACAAGATGATGCTCCAACCAACTGAGCTACCTGGCCAGGGCCAGAGATGTTTTTTAATTAAAGAAAATTTTCCTTTATTGATTTTAGAGAGAGAGAAAGGAAGGAGAGGGAGAGAGAAACATTAATGACGGAGAACACTGATTGGCCACCTCCTGCATATCCCCCACTGGGGATCAGGCCCCAACCTGGGCATGTGCCCTGACTGGGAATCGAACCAGTGATCTCTTGGTGCATGAGTCAATGCTCAACCACTGAGCCACACTAGCCAGGCCAGAGATGTTTTTTAATGTGTTCCTCTTTTTACTGTAGCTGTCAGAGTACTTAGTAATTATTTTGAAGTACTTTCTTGACTTCCTATGCTTTTTTTAATGCCCTTTAGTGGGGGTCAGTGTACTTAATAAAGATTTTATTACTTAAAAAATTCAATAAACATACTAGATTAAAAAACTGAAAAATAAAAAGTCTTCTTCCAACTGCTCTCTGCCCTCCTCCTTCCCAAAGCTAAAACCAGTGTTACTTGTCTTCCTGCATAATCATCCCAGAGATATTTTTTGCCTGTATTACACCTACACATGTACTTCTGGCAAAGAGTTTATCTATTCTCAAGTTTTGCCAAACAGGAGGTGACTTATTGTAGATTTTCATGCTTGTGCAAATTTTGTATCTTTTTACATAAAATTTAATATGTGTGTGCCATGTAAATGGTATCTGTTTTCTGAAAACAGTTGTCACTCCTTTTTTTCTTTTATAAAAAAATTTTTTCTTTATTGATTTTAGATAGGAAGAGAGAGATAGAAACACTGATGAGAGAGAACATTAATTGGCCACTTCTTGCACACCCCCACTGGGGCTTGGGCCCACAACCTGGGCATGTGCCCTGACCAGGAATCAAACCGGCGACCTCTTGGTACATGGGTCCATGCTCAACCACTGAGCCACACTGGCTGGGTGTCACTGCTCTTTTCTAAACCCTCTCCCATAAACTATTATGTATGAAGCTTGATTAAATTTAACCTAAATAAATATCCCAACTAGTCTATTAGCTTTGGTGAGCCCGTACTCAGCAAATCTTGAATACCTTATGATAATGTACTCAGCTCGCACTTTTGCACATGCTTAATGCGCTATATTTTATCATGTTGATGGTAATGATTTTTGTTCTCTTTGTAGACAGGGAGATTTGAAAAAGAAGAAGAAAAAAAAGAAGGGTAAGGCTTTTTTTTTTCAATCTTTAGATTTCTCTCTATAAGATAAAGATTGAGTTTTGCCCTATATAAAAATCGTCAAGCAAAAAACCGTCCTTTCTTCTTGTGGCTTTAAACACTTGAGTTTTGTCTTGGCTATAGCTAGCATCTAATTTTATTACATTAGAGTACAACTCTGCAGTTTGATTGCCTAAATTCAAACTGTTGCTCGAGTAATATTGTTCTTTTACTGTGACTGAATGTAACTGAGTTTTTTTTATTTGTAAAATGGAATATGATGGTATGTACCTCATAGAATTAAATAAGATACTACTTTTAATGCTACTAGACCAGTGCCTGGTATCATTGGGGTGCTTTGAGTTATAAGTACCATAGTACCATCAAACTGGCTTAAGAAAATTTACTATTTATGAAACTGTCAGTGAAGTTAGCATCAAAGTTGGTTGATCCAGTAGTGGTAGCTCTTTGTTCTGCTGTATACAAAACTGAAAATCATTAGAGTCTTAGGATGTTTTTTGGAAATAGGGCCACATATTTGTCATTTATATCCAGCAGAACAAAGAAGGCCCTTGTGTATCTGGCAAATCTTTTCCATTGATCTGATTGAGGCAACATAGGTCAATGTCCAGCCCTGAACCATAACCAGGGGTAATGCCATGCATTGAATGCCTTAGGCTGTCTTAATGTATGGCAGGAGTTGGGTAGAATTACAATGCTTGGCTTTACCTAATCAAAGGTTATCTGTTCTTGAGTCTTTGGGAAATCTTTCGTCCAAATCAGTTTGTTTTTTATTTTGCCCAGTGCCATTTTAGGATTCAGCTTTCCCAAACCTGCTGTTTATCACTATTCTTCCACCTGTTTTCCATCCAAAATTATAGCAATAATTCTTTTTCTCCTATTTTTTTTTTAGACTTACTTTATTGTTGAATGTATTACAGATGTTCCTCAGTTTTCCCCTGTCGCCCCCTCCTGCCTTTCCCCACACTGTTGTCTGTGTCCATTGGTTATGCATATATACATATAAGTTCTTTGGTTTATTTCTTCCCACCCCCCAACTCCCCTTCCCTTTGAGGTTTGTCAGTCTAACAACCAATTTGTACTTCTTTTTTTTTTTTTTTTTTTTTTTTTAATTTATTTTGTTCAGATAAGAGTGGGAGGGAGAGAGAGAGAAACATTGACGTGAAAGGGACACATCGAGTAGTTGCCACCCGCACAACTCAACCAGGGCTGGGGACAAACTGCAACTGAGGTACGTGCCCTTAGCGGGAACCGAACCCGGGTCTCTCGGGACCGCAGGCCGATGCTCTAACCGCTGAGCCAAACCGGCCAGGGCCCAATTTGTACTTCTTAATCCCTTCACCTTTTTCACCCATTCCCTCAATCCCCCTCCCATCTGGCAGCCAACAAAATGTTCTCTGTATCTATGAGAATGTTTCTGTTCTGCTTGTTCATTTTGTTTGTAGATTCAGTTGTTGAGAGATATGTATTCATTGCCATTTTGTTTGTTCATATTTTTTATCTTTTTCTTCAAAAAGACCAACATTTCATATAATATTGTTTTGGTGGTGGTGAACTCCTTTAGCTTTTTCTTGTCTGGGAAACTCTTTATATGACCATCGATCCTAAATGACAGCTTTGCAGGATAGAGTAATCTTGGTTGTAGGTTCTTGCTTTTCATCACTCTGAATATTTCTTGCCACTCCCTTCTGCCCGCAAAGTTTCTTTTGAGAAATCAGCTGACAGCCTTATGGGAACTCCCTTGTAGGTAACTAACTGCTTTTCTCTTGCTGCTTTTTAAATTCTCTCTTTGTCTTGAACCTTTTGCATTTTGATGATGATGTGTCTTGGTTTGGGTCTCTTGGGGTTCATCTTATTTGGGACTCTCTGTGCTTCCTGGACTTGTATGTCTGTTTCCTTCACCAACTTAGGGAAGTTTTCTGCCATTATTGTTTCAAATAGGTTTTCGATTTCTTGTTCTCTCTCTTCTCCTTCTGGCACCCCCAAGATGTGAATGTTGGCATGCTTGAAGTTGTCCCAGAGGCTTCTTACACTATCCTTATTTTTTTAGATACTTTTTTCTTTTTGCTGTGCTGATTGGGTGTTTTTTGCTTCCTTATATTCCAAATCGATGGTTTGCTTCTTGGCTTTATCTACTCTGCTATTGAATTCTGTGTAAATTATTCTTTATTTCAGTTAGTGCCTCCTTCATTTCTGACTGTGCACCCTTCATTTCTGACTGGTCTTTTTTTATGCTCTTGAGGCCTTTGCTAAGTTTGCTGAGGTTCTCACTAAGTTCATTGAGCATCCTTATAAGCAGTATTTTGAACTCAGCATCTGTTAGGTTGCTTATCTCCATTTCACTTAGTTCTTTTTCTGGAGTTTTGTTCTGTTCTTTCATTTGGGACCTGTTTCTTTGTCTCCTTATTTGGCTGCCTCCCTGTGTTTGTTTCTGTGTATTATTTAACAAGAGGTATGGGGCTATCTGAGACCAGATGCTGCTTGTTTGAAAGGATTTAGGAAAACCTGAAGCAGGGTCCAAGACAGGCCAATCCTTTGGTAAAGCAACTGGCAACAGCTTGGGTGGGCCTGAAAGTTGGGTGGGGCAGGGCAACCAGTGTGAGCCAGGTTGCTGGAGTCCCAGATATGGTGGCTGTCTGCCGCCCCCGGGAAGGGCTCACCAAAGGAACAAAGGCCTCTGACAGCACGTGTGTCGAAGAGAAAGCTGCCTCTCCAGCTCTCGCTCCAATGCCAAACAACTCAGTTCTTCCCATATGTCTCTGGTGCCTTTCAAGCTGCCTCCCCCACACTGGAGCCTGGAGGGAGCAAGTCGGTGTATGTCCGTGTGTGCCCTTTAAAGAGGAGCTGCCGGGGGCTCCAGCCGCCTCAGCCTTCCTCAGCTTCAGTTCCTGCTGGTTTTCCAACCAGAAGTTGTGGGGACTTCTCTTCCTGGCCCTGGAACCCTGAGCTGGGCTCTTGGTGTGGGATGGGGACCCTTCACTCCTCAGGGAGGACCTTCCCAGCCGAGGTGTCCTGATTTTTTTCTGCCACACATGGATGTGGGACCAACCCGTCAGCCTCTGCCCCTCTTACCAGTTTGGATGTGGCTGCTTCTTTAATTTTGTAGTTGTAGGACTTCCATTCAGCTTGATTTCAGGCAGTTTTGAATGTTTGTTGTGTAGTTTAGTTGTAACTTTGATGTGGTTGTGGGAGGACGCAATACCACGTTTACCTATGTTGCCATCTTGACCTGAAGTCTCTTTTCTCCTATTTTTCCTTCTAATGTGTTTATTGTCGTTTTAGTGGAGTTTTGGGGTAGTGCAGAAGGTAATGTTTGCATTCAATCCACCGCTTTTACTTAGAAGTCTTATTTTGTCACAGTACTTGCAAATTAGTAAAAACTTAAGTATTTGTTTTGTGTTGTCTTATGTATTAGTAATACTTTAAGGGAACAAATAAATGATAACTATAGATAGCAATAACCTGCAATTTCAATTTTTTAAAAATAATTTTTGGTTTCCAAATGGACATATTTAAAAATTTACACATGGCATATGCTTATTCTAAAAATAAAGTAAAATAAAATAAAAATAAACAAAAATTCATAGACTTCTATTGTAATAGAATGACATAAAGAGTAAAAATTCCCTACTCCAAATTCATGCTCCCAGAGGTAATTGCTTAACTTTTTTTCTATATAGAACATACATATACATTTATATGGTCAGGCAATAAAAGTTTTATAAAGCTGATATGGACATATCACTAGATTTTACAAGTAAAACTTTCTCAGATAAACTTATTTAATGTTATTTATTCCCAGGCTTGAACATATTGTCTAAACAACTACCTTGAAAACATTATGAACACATTTCTCATTTTTCATCAATCAACTGTTCCATAGGAAAACTGCCTAAGAATTATGACCCAAAAGTGACCCCAGATCCAGAAAGGTGGCTACCAATGCGTGAACGATCTTACTATCGGGGAAGAAAGAAGGGTAAGAAGAAGGACCAGATTGGAAAGGGGACCCAGGGAGCAACTGCAGGAGCCTCATCTGAACTGTAAGTCATTGCTTCCCAGTGAGGATACTCAGAGCATAGGTCAGAACTTTCTGAGATAGACTCAGGGTCATTAGTGAGGATTTTTTAAATGCATTTTAAGAATGAGACGTACAGTCAGATATCTTGGCTGTTTTGTGATATGCTATTGTAAAGGAAAGAAAATGTTGGATTGTATTGCAAATACTTGAATTGTAGATTGTATCATAAGTAATAGGATTCCAGTAACTTCAAAAGAAAACTAATACATTGAGTCATTCAACAAACTAAGTGTCTAGATAAACAGAGATATGAATAAATAATGTGACTAGAAAGAAGTATGAAAAATGTTACTGCCCTGGCTGGTTGGCTCAGTTGGTTGGAGTATCATCCTGTATACCAAAAGGTAAGGGGTTTAATTTTCCTGGTCAGGGCACATTCCTAGGTTTCAGGTTCATCTCCATTTGCGGTGCATACAGGAGACAACCAATTGATGTTTCTCTCTTTCTAAAATTAATAAAAACATATCCTCAGGTGAGCATTTAAAAAAATAATAAAAAAAATATTTTTAATCCTCACCCAAGGATGTTTTTTCACTGATTTTTAGATAAAGTGGAAGGGCCAGGGAATGAGGAGTGGTGAGGGGAGAGAGAGAGAGAGAGAGAGAGACATGTCAAATGGTTGCCTCCCATCTAAGCCTGACCGGGGCAGGTATCAAACCTGCAACCTAGGTATATGCCCTTGACCAGGAATTGAATCCGTGACTCTTTGGTCTAAGGGTCAATGCTCTAACCACTGAGCAAAATCGGTCAGGCCAAAAAAATAATAAAGTTTTAAAAATGTTACCAAATTTGTGCATGATAGGATTATGCCATTTTACACTTGTTCTTTATTTTCTAAGCTTTCTAAGAATTGGCATGTATCATATATTATCCATAAAGCAGTAAAAATTGTATTTAAAAGGAAAATGGACAGAGAGTTGTGGAACCCACCTTAAAATAAATAGAATGTGTGTGGGAGATTGTTAGGGTAGAAAGTGAAATCCATGTATTATGTTTTTATAGCCTGTTTGTTGAATGTATGAATGACCACTTTCCTAAATGTGATGATTTCAGGGATGCCAGTAAAACTGTGAGCAGCCCACCTACCTCCCCAAGACCTGGCAGTGCAGCAACAGCATCTACATCTACAAGTAATATCATACCCCCAAGACACCAGAAACCCGCAGGGGCTCCAGCAACAAAAAAGAAACAGCAACAGAAAAAAAAGAAAGGTGGAAAAGGTGGTTGGTGATTAGAATATTCTTGTTGTAGGCTATTTTTAAACTAGTCTTAGTGACACTAGAACATAATAAAGGTGACACAGCGAGAAGCACAGAGCTGCTCCCTCTCCCATCCCCACATTTTCATAAAATTATTTTTTTGTGCATCAAAAAGGAAAACATCTTCCTCAAACTCTGCCTAGTCAGACTTATCCTACTTGTACCACTTAGCTTTGCACAGATGGTGACTCACAATAATTGGGCATTTACCTATCTTGATATATGTTTCTTTGTGTGCTGAACTGGTGGTGGTGTTTTTTTCAGTTTCACAAACAAGGTATGTTATCTAAGGTTTCCTAGGATATAAACAAATTACTTCTGCTGTTTTAACTAAAGTACGAAGATACTTGTTCCTATCAAGTCCCACTTTAAATTATGTCTTAGGAGGTCTTGGGAGACTGAAAGTGGAATCTTCTGAGCATTCCAAATATCTACTTAGAAATATCATGTGATAAAAAGGGACCTTATTAATACACTGGTGTTCTTCACTTCATTACATGAGTGGCCACAGGATAACTAAATGTCTTGTTTAATTTTTACCATAAAATTTCTGTCATGTGATACTGGAATATGGGAATATATATATGAAAAGTATGTTTGTATATGTACATACATATATAACATTTGTATAAATTAGGACTCCTTTGTGCCCCCATATAATTTTCAGATTATGATAACATTGTGCTAATTTAGCACTATAAAGAACTCAAAGAAAACATCAATGTTGTAAGAAGTTGACTCCTAGACCCAGTGCTCTGAGGTCAAATGGGTTTGGACTAAGTCAGTCAGATTTAATGGCACCTATCAAGAGCATGAACATTGACTTCTTATGTAGAGAGGAAATCAATACCAGAGTTCAGTCTCAGGCAGTATTAAAACTTAACAGTACTGTTTGGCCCAATTAATAAATACTCAGATGGTTCCTCTTTCTAGTTAGGATATGACTATTCATTGCCCTTCCCAAAGTAATGGAGTATTATACAGTCAGTCTACAGCGTCAGTGTTGTTCTGGCCTTTCCTTGCTTGTAAGCCACTTTCCCATTGAACAGCTGTGAGACAGACACACTGGGATGCCCACCCTGGTTAGTATTCATTTTATGCTGCCCAAGATAGCATTGAATTTAGACTTGAGTTATTTCCTTGTGATCATATTACTCCATCCTTGTTAATAAAGTACTGCTGTGTTTGACTCTTGAACATATCTACTGAAACTTCTTCAAAGCATTTTTTTAAAGGCTTTCCTCCTTTACAAGAGTAAGAACTGTGGTGCTGCATTTCTATTTAACATAATCAGAATTTGCAATGGCATCAAAATAAGAGACCCTCATATATGAATGATTTATTATGGCATAATACTTTTTGAGGTCATAGAGAGTAGTCTTTTGGTAACAGTGACAGATACTCATTCCTTCTAAATATATACCCCATTACAAGAATAATTGTGAGTAAATTTGTTATTTAGGATTCCATTAAATTTCTGTGGTGAAGGATAATCATTTTTTAGATTTAACTGAACTACAGAATTTTGGTGAAAATGATATATTGAAAAATTTGACGCAAGATACAAAGTGAAATTTACACTTCTCTAGCCAGTCATTGCTATTACCAGTCATTACTAAGCAACTGAAACCTCAGTTTACAGAGGTTATTGTCAAATGAAGTGTAAACATCTACATTAACTCTCTAGTAATTATTTCTTCTTTTGGACAGGTTTTTAACCAATGACATATACACTTTGTGTGTGTGTGTGTGTATGCGTGTCTTCATTTATAAAAAACAATATGGATACATCCATTCACTGTGGCACATTTTTAAATAAAATATTCCAGCAGTGAGTATGGATGAAGGTGTTTGGGGTGTTGGCATTTTATGGTGGACTTCCTGGTTAGTACATCTGAGAATTTTTTAAACTGCGTATCTAAAATTCTCTCCGATACCTCCCAGCAAAGCCACAAAGCTAATCTAATAAGGTTGAGAGAACCCAGTTTTAACTTCACTGAAAATTCATCATGTTGATAAGTGCATATAAATAAATTGAGGAGCAAACATTTTTAAAAAATAATATTTCTTTATTGATTTTAGAGAGAGAGACATCGATGAGGGAGAACATCTGTTGGTCACCCCCTGCATGCCCTCCACAGGGGATTGGGCCCACAACCCAGGCTTGTGTCCTGACTGGGAATCGAACCAGCAACCTCTTGGTGCATGGTTGAGGCTCAGCCACTGAGCCACACGGGCTGGGCAAGGAGCAAACATTTTAAGTTATTATTAAGCACAGCATTTTCAAGACTACCTGGACACTGCTAACTTTAAATACTGTTGCATCTCTCAAGCCTTCTGGATCCTGCCATTCATTCATTGTTCCTTACAAGCCTATTTGAAACATAAATCTGATGCAGAAAAGTCAGTTTATTGTAGTCAGATTATTTTGTTAGTTTGTGAAATATACTAGGGTCCAATTTAACAAAACAAAAGAACCATCCATATACTTCTCAGTTTAAACATTACACAACCTTTGAAAAGCCCTGTGGGTTTCCTAATTTGTTGCATGTTACATCATTGGGGGGGCTACAAATTATTAATTATTTTAGTTGTTTAATACCCTGCATTACTAGTGGCTGTGATCCTGGCAGACTACTAATTTAATCAAGAAATTTCTAGCCCAGCTGGTGTGGCTCAGTGGTTGAGTGTGGACCCATGCACCAAGAGGTCACCGGTTCGGTTCCCGGTCAGGGCACATGCCCATGTTGTGGGCCAAATCCCCAGTGGGAGGCATGCAGGAGGTGCTCAGTCAATGTTCTCTCTCATCCATGTTTCTGTCTCTCTCTCCCTCCCCATCTCTAAAATCAATAAAGAAAAAAAAAAAAGAATTTAAGGGAATGACTTCTCATTCCTCTGTTTTTCCGTAAGCATCCTGGACAGTCTCTAGACACTGCTTGTTAAGTTGACACAAACTGGAGGGCAGGTAGATACTCCACATTCCATGCTTCTGATTACTAAAGGGGGAGGCTGGGAATCCTCTGGGGACGCTCAACAAACACTCTGACCTCTTCAGGACTCTCCTGGTAGGAGACACGTGAGCTGGGTGGGCTTGGGGATGATTCCGGAGAGGTGAGAGGCTTAAATCTGGGCCCACGTGAAAGGCCTTTCTGAGACACCCTTCCTAGCTCAAGGAAAACACGCCTTTGTACTCCCTCCCGTGTAGCAGCAGGGGACTCTTACCTGAGCCACGGGTCTGCCTTGCCAGACTTTCAGGGTTCCTTTGTGTGAGCTCCACCCTTCCTCTAGCTCTTCCCCCGTGCCCTGGTCGATCCTCCTGCCCCCAGGTTTGGCGAATCCGAGGCCCGCAGCCCCTGAAAGCGGGCAGCAGACGCCCAGTGGGCGGCAGTCCGCACGCACCCGCTGGGACTGGTGACTGCCTCCGAGGTGACTGGGTGTGGTCTACGCCACGTGGATCTACGACTCCGCCTGCGCCCTGCAGGGGCCACACCTGCCAGGACCCAGGGCTCCAGCGTGCGGGCGCGCAAGAGGGAGGGAAAGGGGCTGTGAAGATGGAGAGGGGGAAAGTGAAGAAGAAAGGGAAGGGAAAGGAGCTGGAGAAAGAGAAAATTCGGGAAAAAGGAAAGGAGAAAGAGAAAAAGGAGGTGGAGAAGGGGAAAATTAAGGATAAAGAAAAGGAGAAGGGGAAAGAAAAAGGGAAGGAGGAGAAAAGTAAGAGTAAAGAGGAGGAAAAGAGAAAAGAGGGGGAGACAGAGAAAGAGAAGGAACAATTTAAAGGAGAAGAAAAGGACAACAGCGTCATGGCAAATCCCCTGCTGGAACCGCCGGTAAGAGACTGATGCCTCGGACCCCTCTCCCCACGGCCATTGTCAGGCGTTCAGGCCTCAGCACCAGCTCTGTTACGTCCCAGGCCCCGACCCACGCGGAAGGGAATTGGGTCTGGTTCTGGGGGCTTTTTTTCCTGTGAATGGAAGGGAATGTGTCACGCTTCCAACCACCGATTGCCAGCCTCTTCTCTGCCCACCCTCACCCCTAACCCTGACCTGCGTCCCAACCCTCATCAGGTCTCGTGTTGAAGCGACGCCGGGAACTGTCCTTTGCCCGCTTCATCTCTGTCCAGCACTCAGAATTAGGTCACAGACCGCCCCCGACACAGAACCCCCACCCCACCCCCTGCGCACAGGCTCCCCATCCAAGCCGTTTCCATTGAACACGTTCTTTGCCGGGAGGTGCTGGGTTCCTCATTTGTGCTGGATGTGTGTTTGAATTGTCTGGACCTTTTTGTGGGCCTTGTGGTTTCTGCTTCCAGTGTTTTCAAAGGTCCAGAAGAGAGGTGACAAAGGTTTAAAACTGAGAGGTCTCAGAAACAAAAAGACAAATCTTATTATTCCACTTATATGAGGTACCCAGAGTAGTGAGGCCCATAGAGACAGAGTAGAATGGTGGTTGCCCGCTCCTGGAGAACCGCGAGGTTGGTATTTAACCAGTGCACTGTTTTCCAGGATGAACGGAGTTCTGGAGATGGGTGGTGGTGATGGTTGCACATTATAAATGAATGTATTTCATACCACTAAACTGTACTCTTAGAACTGGTTAAGATGATACATTTTATTATGTGTATTTTACCAAAATTTTAAGATCGGGGGTGGGTGGGGTGAGGGGAGAAAGGAAAACCAGGCATTGTTTGGATCAGCTTAGTGAGCTCTGTGCTCATGGGCTCAGAGCTGCTTTCTGGTTCTAAACAATGTGAATTATTCATGTAGATTTGATCTCTGGTAAAACACAGACTGCATAGATCCATTTATAGTTAAAAGAATAGCTTCCAACAGGGAACAGTGGTGTTCATAATCACATTTTGTGTCTGAATTCTTGCTTTACATAATCCTAGATTTCCTTAAGAGAGTGTAAACACAAGGAAGCCAGACTGAAAAGTAAGCAAAATGTAAAGCAACAGTCCCTGCCAAATTTCTAGATAGGGTGAACTTAGGGCGAGCCATGTGGTCAGAAAGGGGTAGGGAACTGTTTTTTGGTTTTTTCCTCGCAGTATTTCACCAGCTCTGAGGCCATTATTTTAGGTACCACTAAGAAAGAAAAATGTGTCCAATTAAAGTAAGACATACCATGGATTGTAAAATCCTCATTTCAGAGATATCAAAATGTGGGAAAAAAAATTCTGGGAATTGATAAAATATTGAAGTAGCCTAAATTAGGACCATTGGTAGAGATAATGAGGGGACATGAGCCACACCCTGCAGCCATTTCTTGGTTGCCACCATTGCTTTTAAGGATGCAGGTTTTTAAAAATATGTTTTTAATGATTTTAGAGAGAGAGGAAGGGAAAGGGAGAGACAGAAACATGTGAGAGAGAAACTTCCATTGGGCCACCACCTGCACACCTCCTACTGGGTTGAGCCCCAAACCAGGGCATATGTCCTGACCAGGAATCGAACCTGTGACCTAGTGGTACATGGGCTGATGCTCAACCTCTAAGCCACACAAGCAGGGCTTAAGGATGGAATTTTAAACCATCCAGTCAGGTCTCCTTTGTACATCAAGTCATTCTTCCTTACTATCACACTCACAGAGTGACATAACATTTAGATGCAGATGGGAGGGAATGAGAAAGGAGGTCAAGATAGAGATAGGAAACATCTATGGAAATACCATGTGCTTTAAAAACCATTAAGAACTTATTCTAAAAACAAACATACTGGCCAGCCAGTGTGGCTCAGTGGTTGAACATCAACCCATGCACCAAGAGGTTGCCAGTTCGATTCCTGGTCAGGGCACATGCCCAGGTTGTGGGGCCGATCCCCATTGGGGGGCATGCAGGAGGCAGCCAGTTGATGTTCTCTCTCATCGATGTTTCTATCTCTCTCTTCCTTTCCCTTCTTCTCTCTTTAAAATCAATAAAGGAAAAAAAAAATTTTTTAAAAGTACTTTTTTGAATTCTGTTATTCTGTAGACAATCTTCAAAAGCATGCTCTCTATACAAGTCTCTTTTAGACCACACCTTAAAACATCTTACCTACACAGAGAATAGATTTGGGGTTTTTTTTGTTTTTGATTTTGGTTTTAAAGAGGTGGGGTAAACATTCTAGTGCTGTTTTGGATCACTTTTTTACCTGAAATCCAGTCTAAATCTAATGTCAACATTTAGCATTCAAGCAGAAATATATAATTGTTATTTTTAAACCAGTACCACTGAAGACATTTACTAGTGTTTTTGTGCATGAGAAACCTCTTTGGTAGTCTGTTTGGGAAATAGAATTTACTTTCTGTGAGCAGTCTGGCTGTATTGTTGCTCATTTATTACTATTTACGTTGAAGTTTGTACCCTAAAGGCCACCTTTCTGAGCACTCTGACCTTTATTTCTTCATACCAGCCTGCTCTTGTCCCTCAATCATTTGTCATAAAAGTTTCTAGGGCTGTATGTTGGTGGAATGTTCTATCTAAAATTTACATCTAGTTCAAAAGGTTTTAGCATCAGGTTTTAAAATAAATGCTCATTTGTGATTGGAACTGGTTTAACAACTTCCATAATCTTAGCCTTTTCATTTATCATGATACTTATATTTAAAAGTGTAAGAGGGGAACCTTGCCTTATGAGCTTTTAATCTAATGATCCAATTGGGAAGACAGGACAGATTAATGAGACCTAGGTGCTTAGGTGCTGAGCGGCACAGTCAACACTGGAGGTACCAAGATCCCAAGCAACAAACTGAATTCTGGTGCATTCTGCATTGGACATGAACTCAAGAAGCAAAGTGAAGTCTGAAAGTTGGCCCTGTTATCTCTGACACCTCCCCAAAATCCTGATATATATATATATATATATAATTTATTTGATAGACTGATCAGGACTTGGGATAGAGAGGGAATGTGCAATTAACATCACATAACTAATGGCTGATTATAAAATACAAACCGATTGGTACAGTTTGTTCTAGATCTATTAAATACTTCATGAAGTTTTATTCTGGATTACAATCTCACAAGTATTATTGGATCCTACCATAGGCAGGCACACTGCCAGGGACCAGGAAAACAAGGCCCTGATAGCATAGGTTTATTAATTTATCCTTTGTTTCACAGGAGAAAAATAATCATATCCTAGTGTTGGGCCTTGATGGAGCAGGAAAGACCAGTGTTCTTCACTCTCTAGCTTTAAACAGAGTGCAGCACAGCAAGGCACCCACCCAAGGTTTCAATGCAGTGCGTATCAACACTGAAGACAGCCAGATGGAGTTCCTGGAGAGTAAGCCCTTTCTCATTAGTTACGGGATAGCCTCATTTTGTTATACCTTAAGCCAGAGATAATATGATGGAAATTGGGTCCTTGTGAAAAGTAACACTATGTCAGATGTTTGAGATATTTAGAAAGCATGTGTAGTTTAATACTAAGGTGCACTGTGGGGGAAATCACTTTCTGTTCTTTTTATTTTCTCTTTTTTACAGTGGTGGTAAAGGGGAGTTGAGAGGATGGCTTTATACACCCTCCTGTAACAACCTCCATCCTCCCTTACTACCCCAAATAAACATGCAATCTAAGTAAATATAAATATAGTGTGCTTCCTTCTCTGCAGCCGCAACTACAGAAAAACCCCAAATCTATTCTCATAGAGCAGCCCAGAAGCCCCTTCTCTGTGGTAATTCTGGAGTCACCACCACTCTAAATACTGCTGTTCTCCAGAGTTTCATCAGGCCTCTAATCTCTTTACACTGTCCTCAGATGATTTCATCCATCCTTTTGGCTATGCTAAGGACTCCCAGATTTATCTGTCCACCGCAGATATATTCAGATGTCACCTGTCATCTCCACCTGGCTGTCTAATTGGCCTCTCAAACCTTACATGGTAAAAAAAAAAATGCTTGAGCTAACTCCATAGCTATTTCTTTCCTTATAATCCACTGGTCAGTACCCATCAAGTTGCTCAAGACAGAAAACCAGGAGTCACCCTTGTTTCACCCTGTATGCCCACCTCCAGTAAAACACTGGATTTTTCTACCTCTACAATAAATCTCTAATTCATCAGTTAAAGCCTTTCCCACTACCCTTATTTGAGTTGGAACCTCTATTGTCTCCTACTTAGATTTCTGCAATCACCTTTATAATTTTGCTTTTGTCCAGTTACAAAGTCAAAATGGTGAGCAGAGAAATTGGTAAATCTATAGGCAAATCTTTAAGAAAAAAAACCAAAACATTATTAGGAATAGAGATTTCAACTTTCCCAGAAGCTACAGAAGAAATAATTATTTTAACCAAATAGATAGTTTAAAAAAATTGTTTCAAAATACAAAAAATGAGAAGGAAGGAAGGAAAAAAGGGAGGAAGGAAGGAAGGAAGGAAGGAAGGAAGGAAGGAAAGAAGGAAGGAAGGAAGGATCCAACCAGTGGGAGAAATGTACAGATCTATGATTGGAGTGAGGGATTTCAACATATTTGCCAATTATTAATAGGATGAAACAGAAAAAATCTGCAAAGATACACAAAATTTTAACATAATAAATAAATTTGATCTATTGGACAATATATAATTGTCTAATTAGACAATTTTAGCTACATCCAAAAGCTAAAATATACATTCTTCTCAAAAATTCATGGAACATTTACCAAAACTGACCACTTACTGGGCCATACAGCATGTCTTCACACATATTTCAAAGAAGAAGCATCATACAAAACTTGTTTTCTGACTACACTGCAGTTAAGTTAGAAGTTAATAAATGAAGATAAAAATCCCTAAACAGCCCTGGCCAGTTTTGCTTAGTGGTTAGAGCGTCGGCCCATGGACCCGAGAGTCCCAGGTTTGGTTCCCACTAAGAGCACGTACCTCGGTTGCAGTTTGTCCCCGGCCCCAGTTGGGGTCGTGTGGGTGGCAACCAGTCAATGTGTCTCTTTCACATTGATGTTTCTCTCTCTCGTTCCTCCTCTCTTCTTCCTGCTCTGTCTGAAGATAAATGCAAAAATGTCCTTGGGTGAAGATAAAAAAAAAAAATCCCTATATAGGTAAAATGCGTCGCAAAAAAAAAAAGAGGAACAACTCAAATGTTTATTCTTGTTTAAACTAAATCTATTTAACCCATCTGAACTATTTAGAAAAATTATACAACGTCCTTTTAAAAATTAAAAACAAAATCCTTCACCCTGGCTTGTGTGATTCAATGGTTAGAGCATCAGCCCATGCAGCAAAAGGTCTCAGGTTTGATCCCCGATCCAGGGCATACACCTGGGTTGCAGGTTCAGTCCGGGCCCCAGTTGGGGTGCGTGCTGGAGGCAACTAATCGATGTGTCTCTCTCACATCAATGTTTCTCTCCCTCTCTCCCTCCCTTCCACTCTCTCTAAAAATCCATGAAAAAAAAAAAAATATCCTTGGGTGAGGATTAACATAAAATATTTTTTTAAAACATACAAAATACTTCAAAGAATGACTAGCTGACTCAATACAAGGAAAACAAAGGATGGGCAAATGAAGACCTTTTTCATTAAGTTCCTAAGATGTCTCTGCAGACTATTTCTGTAAAAGCGGGGAGGAAACAGTTGAGGCTCTGTGGGCCACAGGGTCTCTGCTGCAGCCACCCAGCTCCAGCTCTGTGTGAGAGCACCACAGATGATGTGGAAACACCCCACGTCTGTCTGCAAAGGCTGGATTTATAGACACTGTCCACACATCATGAGGGAGTATTCTTTTTAACATTTAAAAATGTAAAATTCACTCTTTCTTTGCTGGTTGTACAAAAATAGACATTGGGTCAAGCCTGTGGGCCGTAGTTTGCCTACCCCATCCTAGGAGAAAAATAAAAACAAAATTCACTGTGTATATTATATTGTCATTAACCAGAAAGTTTCTTCTGAGAAGAATCAGCACAGTGAAATAATCCAAAAGTCCTTTTTTTTTCCCTAAGGCAAGTTTTAGTGAATGCCCACAGGATCATATTAGCTCTCAGTGCAATATTAAGAGGAGAAATTAGTTCTTGGATTTTGACAAAGGAAAAAAATTGTGCAAGTGAGACTACCCAATGCATTCAGTCCATTTATTTATTTTTATTTATATTTTTAATCCTCACCCAAGGATATTTTTCCATTTATTTTCAGATGAGGGAGGGAGAAAGGAAGAGAGAGAGAAACATCGATGTGACAGAGATACATTGATTCGTTGCCACCTGCATGACCCCAACAGGGCCCAAGGATGAACCACAACCGAGGTACATGCCCTTGGCTGAAATTGAACCTGGGACTCTTTGGCCCAAGGGCCGATGCTCTAACGGTTGAGCCAACCTGCCCATTTAAAAATTACTTTAGAGGAATATGTGTTTTAATCTACCATCCTGCATTATTTTTAGTAGTTTATTCCCATTTTTTGAGCTCTAACTGATGGACATGGAAGGGCTGCCATGGCTGCATGTATAACAGAACAGGAGGCATCCTGTGGAGTACTCAGTATTTTATGCTGACCTTTCGTGTTCCAGAAGGAGTAAGTCACTTGTAGAGGGTAAATATCTCCACCAATTCTTTCCCCAGTAACACCTCTCTGGTCATTCTTGACTGGTCCACTCTAACACAGTGGTGTTAGAATCCCTGTCTAACATTCAGAAGTGGTCTCCGTGTGCCTTTCCTGCCCCACTTGGTGGACGCAACTGTGACTTTCCTTGTGTGTCTTCTTTCCCTACTCTTCTTTGTAGTTGGTGGCAGTGAACCTTTCCGTGCCTACTGGGAAATGTATGTGTCCAAGGGAACACTGCTGATCTTTGTGGTGGATTCAGCAGATCACAACAGATTACCTGAAGCCAAGAAACACCTTCATCAACTAACTGAAACAAACCCAATCATCCCTCTGGTTGTGTTTGCAAACAAACAGGTAAAAATCTGTGCACATATCATTTGTACTCAATAGTTTTACCATTAACACAAGAAATAGAAAGTAGATATTAACAAGTAGATATTAAACAATATGCTATATATACGATCAGTTCAATTTATACTTATTAGATCTACTGAATTATAAACACCTTGAGAGTAGAGACTAGTATTCATCTTTGTGTCCCTTATAACACCTGTATACTGCCTTGGCATAGTAGGAATCTAACAAACATATGTTCCATTTAATTCAATAAACATTTACTGATTGTTGATTTCAACAAAATATTTGCGTCTATCATGTTTAAAGAAATTGTTTTAGATCAGTTGGACAGACCTGAATTTATCTCCTACACATACATTAAAAATATTATCCCTGGCTGATTTGGCTCAGTGGTTAGAGTATTAGTCCATGCACCAAAGAGTTGTGGGTTTGATTCCCATTGAGGGCATGGACCTAAGTTACTGTATGGTCTCTGGCCTTGATCGGGGTTGTGCAGGAAGCAACCAAATGATGTGTCTCTCTCACGTTGATGTTTCTCAACCCCACCCCCACCCCACCCAACACACACACACTCTATCTGAAGATAAATGGAAAAATATCCTTGGGTGAGGATTTTAAAAATATAATTAAACGTCCATGGAGAAATCGAAGGCTGTGTATTGTTGGTGGGTGTGTAAAATGGTCTAGCTACTATGGAAAACAGTATGGTAGTTCCTGAAAAATTAAAAATATAATCCCCAAATTTGGCAGGCTCCAAAACCCTCTAAGATAGCCAAAATGGTGAAACAAAGAAACAAATCCCAAATGAAAGAATAAGAGAACTCTACCGAAGATGAGATAAATGAAATTCAGTTAAGCAAATTATCAGAGGTAGAGTTCAGAGCCATGATCTTGAGGAAGCTCAACAGCATGAGTAAGGACATCAGCACCATGAGTAAAGATATAGAAACATTGAAAACTACCCAAGTGGAAATGAAGAATGACATAGCAGAAATAAAGAACACACTGGAAGGGCTAACAAGCAGAACAGAGGAAGCTGAGGACCAGATCAGTGAATTAGAAGACAGGGTAGAAAAAAATCAACCAATCAGAAAACCAAAAAAAGAAAAAACAATTAAAAAACAGGAAGATAGCTTAAGAGAACTGTGGGACAACTGGAAACATAATAACATTCGCATCATAGGAATCCCCAAAGAGGAAAAAAATGGGCAAGGGTTAGAGAATATATTTGAAAAATACTGACAGAAAACTTTCCTAACTTGGCAAAGGAAGAAGGCATTCAAGTTCAAGAAGCACAGAGAGCCCCAAGTAAGAAGAACCCAAACAGGCCCACACCAAGACACATAGTAATTAAAATGCCAACAGTTAAAGACAAAGAGAGAATCCTAAAGGCAGCTAGAGATAAGCAACAGGTTACCTACAAAGGAAACCCCATAAGGCTCTCAGCTGACTTCTCAACAGAAACACTACAGGCCAGAAGGGAGTGGCACGAAGTAATCACGGTCATGAAAAACAAGGATCTGAATCCAAGACTACTTTATCCAGCAAGGCTATCATTCAAAATAGAAGGTCAAATAAAGAGCTTCCCAGGCCAAAAAAGGCTAAGGGAATATATTAACACCAAACCAGCACTGTAAGATATGCTTAAAAATCTGCTGTAATTAGAAGAAATAGGAAGAAAAATATAACCACACTAAACAAAAATGGCAATAAATAAGTACATATCAATTATCACCTTAAATGTGAATGGTTTGAATGCTCTGATAAAAAGACACAGAGTAGCTGACTGGATAAGAAAGCATGACTCACATATATGTTGTTTACAAGAGACCCACCTCACAACAAAAGACTCACATAGGTTGAAAGTGAAGGGATGGAAAAAAATCTTTTAAGCAAATGGAAAGGAAAAAAAAGCTGGGGTAGCAATACTCATATGTGATAAAGTTGATATCAAAATGAAGACCATAACTAGAGACAAAGAAGGCTACTACATAATGTTGAAAGGATCTATCCCAACGGGAAGATATAACCTTGGTAAACATGTATGCACCCAATATAGGTGCACCAACATATATTAAAAATCTTCTGGAGGACTTCAAAGGAGAAGTCAACAGCAATACAATCATAGCAGGGGACTTCAACACCCTGCTGACATCACTGGATAGATCCTCTAGACAAAAAATTGACAAAGAAACATAGACTCTAATTCACGGTTCTCAACCTGTGAGTTGTGACCCCTTTGGGGGTTGAACAACCCTCTCACAGGGGTCGCCTAAGACATAACAATAGCAAAATTACAGTTATAAAGAAGCAACGAAAATAATTTTATGGTTAGGGGTCACCACAACATGAGGAACTGTATTAAAGGGTCACAGCATTAAGAAGGTTGAGAACCACTGCTAAATGATGCACTAGATCAAATGAATTTAATAGACAGCTACAGAGAATTACACCCCAAAACTGCAGAATTCACATTCTTCTCAAGTGCACATGGGACGTTCTCAAAGATAGACCACATGTTAGGACACAAACTAAGTCTCTACAAGTTCAAGTAATTATATCAAGCATCTTCTCAGATCACAATGGCATGAAACTAGAAATCAATTGCAACAAGGACATGCAAAGACATTTGAACAGATGGAGGCTAAATAGCATGTCATTAAACAATGAATGGGTTACCGAGGAGATCAAGGAAGAAATTAAAAACTTCCTGGAGCCCTGGCCAGTTTGGCTCAGCAGATAGAGCATCTGCCTGCAGGCCCGAGAGTCCCGGGTTTGGTTCCCACTAAGGGCACATACCTCAGTTGCAGTTTGCCCCTGGCCCTGGTTGGGTCATGCAGATGGCAACCACTCGATGTGTTCCTTTCACATCGATGTTTCTCTCTCTCTCCCTCCCTTCCACTCTACCTGAACAAAAAATGGAAAAATATCCTTGGGTGCGGATTTAAAAATAAATAAATAAAAACTTCCTGGAAACCAATGAAAATGATCACACAATAACAAAATTAACTATGGATTCAGAGAAAGCAGTTCTGAGTGGGAAGTTCATAGCACTACAGGCCTACCTCAAGAAACAAAAAAATTTCTGACTATCTGACCTCACAACATAAAGAACTAGAAAGCAAACAAATGGAAAACCCCAGAAATAAATGACAGGGAGACAAAAAAACAAACAAACAAACAAAAACAAACCCACAATTCAAAGGATCAATGAAACAAAGAGCTGATTCTTTGAATAGATAAACAAGATTGATGGGCCCTTAGCTAGACTCAGCAAGAAACAGAGAGAGAACCCAAATACAGAAAATCAGAAATGAAAGAGGAGAAATAATAACTGACACCACAGAAATACAAAAGATTGTGAACAAATATTATGAACAATTATACGGCAACAAATTTGACAATCTAAGCAAAATGGACAAATTTCTAGAAACATATTGTCTCCCAAAACTGAACCGGGAAAAGATAAAAAACTTGAACAGACCAATAACAACAAAAGAAATTAAAGATGTAATGAAGACTCTCCCAGCAAACAAAAGCCCAGGCCTGGACAGCTTCACGGGGGAATTTTACCGAACATTGAAAGAAGAACTAATATCCATTCTCCTCAAACTATTCCAAAAAATTCAAGAAGGAAGACTTCCAAACTTGTTTTATGAGGCCAGCATAATTCTAATTCCAAAACCAGAAAAAGACACTACAAAGAAAGAAAACTACAGGCCAATATCCCTGATGAACATAGATGCCAAAATCCTGAACAAAATACTAGCAAATCGGATCCAGCAATACATCAAAAATATTATTCACCATGACCAAGTGGGATTCATCCCAGGGATTCAAGGCTGGTACTATATTTGCAAATCAATAAATGTGATACACCACATAAACAAATTGAAAGATAAAAATCATACAATCATATTAATAGACACTGAAAAAGCATTCGACAAATTCCAGTACCCATTTCTGATAAAAACACTCAGCAGTATGGGACTAGAGGGATCATATCTCAACACAATAAAGGCCATATATGAAAGACCTACAGCCAACATCATACTCAATGGGCAAAAACTAAAAGCGTTTCCCTTAAGAACAGGAACAAGACAAGGATGCCCACTTTCGCCACTCTTATTTAACATAGTACTGGAAGTCCTTTCACAGCAATCAGACAGGAAGGAAAAATAAAAGGGATCCAAATTGGAAAGGAGGAAGTGAAACTGTCATTATTCGCAGATGACATTATACTATACGTAGAAAACCCCAAAGACTCCATCAAAAATTTACTAGATGTAATAAATGAATTTGGCAAGGTAGCAGGATACAAAATTAATGTCAAGAAATGGACGGCATTCATTCTTATACACCAATGAAGTCACAGAAAGAGAAACTAAAAAAACAATCCCATTTACTATTGCAGCAAAAAAAATTAAGATACCTAGGAATAAACTTAACCAAAGAAATAAAGGACCTATTCGTAGAAAACTACAGGTCATTGAAAAAAGAAATAGAGGAAGATATAAAAAAGTGGAAGCACGTACCTTGTTCATGGATTGTATGAATTAACATCATGAAAATGTCCATACTAGCCAAAGCAATCTGTAGATTCAATGCAATCCCCATCAAAATACCAACGACATATTTCACAGAACTAGAACAAATACTTCAAAAGTTCATATGGAACCAAAAAAGACCCTGAATAGCCACAGCAATCTTGAAAAAGAAGAACAAAGTAGGAGGGATCACATTACCAGATTTCAGGTTATACTACAAAGCCACTGTAATCAAATCAGCCTGATACTGGCACAAGAACAGGCAAATAGATCAATGGAACAGAGTAGAGAACCCAGAAATGGACCCAAGACAATATGCTCAATTAATATTTGACAGAGGTGACAAGAGCATACACTGGAATAAAGACAGCCTCTTTAATAAATGGTGCTGGGAAAATTGGACAGCTACATGAAAAAAAATGAAACTAGACCATTAACTTACACCCTACAAAAGAATAAACTCAAAATGGATAAAAGACTTAAATGTGACTCATTAATCCATAAAAGTCCTAGAAGAAAATGTAGGCAACAAAATTTCAGACATCATACACAGCAGAATTTTCACTGATACATCACCTAAGGCAATAGAAACAAAGGAGAAAATGAACACATGGGACTACATCAAAATAAAAAGCTTCCGCACAGCAAAAGAAACAACCACCAAAATGGAAAGGCAACCCACTCAATGAGAGAGCATAATTGCCAATGACACATCAGATAAAGGGTTAATTTCCAATATATACAGAGTGCTCATACAGCTCAACAAAAGGAAGACAAAGAACCCTATTAAAAGATGGGCAGAGGAACTAAATAGACACCTCTCCAAACAGGACATACAAATGGCCAAGAGACATATGAAGAAATGCTCAACATCACTAATCATCAGAGAGATGCAAATTAAAACAACAATGAGGTATCACCTCACACCTGTCAGAATGGCCGCCATCAACAAATCATCAAACAACAAGTGGTGGCTAGGGTGTGGAGAAAAGGGGACTCTAGTACACTGCTGGTGGGAATGCAGACTGGTACAGCCACTATGGAAAACAATATGGTGTTACCTCAAAAAATTAAAAATTGAACTGCCATTTGACCCAGTGATCCCACTTCTAGGAATATACCCTAACAAGCCTGAAACACCAATCAGGAAGAATATATGTACCCCCATGTTCATAGCAGCACTATTTACAATAGCTAAGATCTGGAAACAGCCCAAATGTCCATCAGTAGACGAATGGATAAAAAAGCAGTGGTATATATACACAATAGAGTACTATGCAGGTGTAAGAAAGAAAGATCTCTTATCTTTTGAGACGACATGGAGGGACCTGGAGAGTATTATTCTAAGCGAAACAAGCCAAGCAGAGAAAGAGAAACATCACATGATCTCACTTATTTGTGGAATATAATGAACATAACAGTCAGAGGAACGGGGTAGTCCTAGAGACGTGGAAGTGGGGTACAGAATGACTATCCCCAGAAGAGGGGGGGGAGATAAACCACAGAACTTATATGCATGTATGCATGAACAATGGACATGGACCACAAAGCTGGGAACAGGGTGGGGAGGGTGGGGGAGGGGGTATCAGTAGGGGAAAAAGGAGAAACATCTGTTACAAAAATAAATAAATAAAAAAAGAAAATAGTTTGAGGACTTCAGGCATAATTTCATTCCAGAGAAATCCAATTTGTTTTTATGTAGCATTAGTACATAACAAGTATTGCCAAATTTATCAATTCCAACTCAAGTGCATTGATCAATTAACATTAAAAAATTTTTAATAAAAATAAAAAAGTCATATATATAATTCCCACATTATCTAGCAATTGAAAAACATTTTAAAGCAGAGATTTAAACAGATATTTGTACACCCATGTTTACAGCAGAATTATCCCTGATGGACTTTTATCATTATAAGGAGCCCCTCCTCCCATCTAACGCTCTCCTTCTCCTATTTATTTTCTCTCCAATTTCAACAGTGAATTTATTCATTTGGGACATCATCCACATGTTGCTGGATCCATTAACACTGTTACAAAAGTCACTGCAGGCTCTAGAACTGAAAGAATTCAGAAGTAACACAGGCAATATATTAGGGACATTCAGAGAGGTACTCATCTCCAGCCAGATGCCAAGTACAACACATCAGGAAAAGCCTGATAAATTCATACTGGTACAAGGAAAAAAATTACACAATATTGTATTATTCCCAGGGGTTTAAAAAGGATCCCCTGAAGCATAGGGAGAACCGTATGAAACAACAAAAAGCCAATTACAAATGCACTTTAGGAGTGAAAATGCTAAAACTTTTACAAAGGACTTAAAAACCATACCTGAGCCCTGGCCGGTTTGGCTCAGCGGTTAGAGCGTCGGCCTGCGGTCCTGAGAGACCCGGGTTCGGTTCCCGCTAAGGGCACGTACCTCGGTTGCAGTTTGTCCCCGGCCCTGGTCGGTCGTGCGGGTGGCAGCCACTCGATGTGTCCCTTTCACATCGATGTTTCTCTCTCTCTATCTGTTCCTCTCTCTCCCTCCCACTCTACCTGAACAAAAAAAATGGGAAAATGTCCTCGGGTGAGGATTAAAAAAACCCAAAAACAACCATACCTGAAATCTCTGTGTATATTTAAGAAAGGGAATATCAGGAGCCCCTCACGAAGATGTTGACCTTGCTATGCAGCAGAAGCACAGGCTTTCTGTCTCATTTTAATGTCTTTTCTTTCTGCCTCTCTCTCTGGGTTTCCCTCCTGTGAGTCTTCAACTTCTCTCCCTCTTGTACTCTTTCTCTCCGCCTGTTCTCTCGGCTTCCTTCTTCTACCACTTCATTCTCTAAACCCACTTCTTCCCTATCTCCCTTCACCCCTGCAAAATTTGGTCCAAATTTTTTTTGGGGTCAGTAGAACTAATGGTCACAAAAGAAAACTCTCTGGGCCCTGGCTGGGTAGTACAGTTGAGTACAGTGTCATCGCCATATGCCAAGGTTGCAGGTTCGATTCCCATTCAGGAAAAAATCAACCAATGAATGCATAAATATGTGGAACAAAAAATCGATGTTTCTCTCTCCTCTCTCTTAAATCAATCAATAAATTTTTTTTAAATAAAAGAAAACTCACAATGGCAAATGCTATAATCAATAAAACATGGTATGGACAAAAACCAGTTAATGAATTAAATATCTATTAAAGATAAAATTTTTTAATTGACTCTGTCAAATATAATTCTGAGGAAATAAAAAGGAAAATAGAAAAAGTTAGGAGCACACTGTTTAGAAAATTGATTAATGTATTATATTGGCTTAGCTTTATTAAAATATATATATTTTTTGAAGATAACTCATAAATACGTTAATTCCGATGAAAATCTTTATATTCAAACAATCACTAGGGTCATAATAATGGGGTCACAATACACTACATATTAAAATAAATGTAGGGTCACCCTGGCTGGTATAACACAGTAGTTAGAGAGTCGGCCCGCGGACCAGTCGCGGGTTTGATTCTGGTCCACGGCTCGGTTGCAGTTTGGTCCCTGGCCCTGGTCAGGGTGGTGCTAGCGGCAAGCAGTTGATGTGTCCCTCTCATGACGATATCTTTCTCTCTTTCTCTCTCCCTCCCTCCCACTCTGTCTGAAAATAAATGGAAAATATCCTCGGGTGAGGATTAAAATAAATAAATAAACAAACAAACAAATAAAATGTAGTGTCTTTGAAAGTAATAAACGCAAAATAAACTTTTTTCTATTTCTTTTTCATTTTTGGGGAAGGATCTTAAAGCAGCCTATCACATTACAGACATCCACGAAGCGTTGGCATTGTCTGAAGTGGGAAATGACAGGAAGATGTTCTTGTTTGGGACCCAAGTGACTGAGAATGGCTCAGAGATACCCTCCATCATGCAAGATGCCAAAGACCTGATCGCACACCTGGCTGCAGATGTGCAGTGAGCAGGCGAGGCCACTGTGCGGCGCACGAGCCAAGCGCCACCCAGGAGTGTTGCCCAGCAGGCTTGAAGCCAAAGGTTTCCACTTTCAAATAAAACATAAGCCATTCCCTCTTATCTCAGTGCATGGCATGTGTATGAAGGTAATGTTAATTGGTTAAGAGCATCTCTTTATTTAAATTTTGAACTTCAAAAGTACTGGTAACACAGTGTACTGGGGGGGATTTGGAGTTTAAGCAACAAAATTAAAGGGAACAGTAGCAAGCATTTATCCCATTTGTAGTTTTCCAACGACATGAGATTTATATTAAGACATTTTAATACATTTTTCTCTTTTCAAGTAAAAATCCAGGTGTCTCTCCTTTAAGTGTATGTGTTTGACACTGTAGGGAAAGAAATATTGGGATAGTGCAATGAGAAAAAGGTAAGCACTATTGCACCCATATAATAATATAAATTAGCAGCATTCAGAAAGATTTAGGAAAGACTTCTCTTAGGAGCCTATTATACTAGATGAAGGACATTGCAGGGATTTGTTTTTGAATTTTTTGAACTTTTTCTTTTAGATATAAGCTTTCTTCACTAGAAATATTTTATAAGAGCGATAACTCTGTTTACCTATAGACATGAAACAAATCCAACTTTTAACCTAGTGTCTTGTCTTGCTTTAAAAAAAGGACTTCCAGCCCTGGCTGGTTTGGCTCAGCGGTTAGAGCGTTGGCCTGCAGTCCAGAGAGACCTGGGTTCGGTTCCCACTAAGGGCATGTACCTCGGTTGCAGTTTGTCCCCGGCCCTGGTTGGGTTGCGCTGGTGGCAGCCACTCGATGTGTCCCTTTCACGTTGATGTTTCTCTCTCTCTCTCTTTCTCTCTCTCCCTCCCACTCTACCTGAACAAAAAATAGAAAAATGTCCTCGGGTGAGGATAAAAAAAAAGGACTTCCAGTTTTTAGTCCAGCATGTGAGAAGCTGGGAAGCCTCCACTGCTCAAACAAGTAAAAAGCTGAACAGACAGAAAAATCAACAACTCTTCTAGGATCCTGCTGCCCCTGAGACTGGAGAAGCCAGCAAGAGAATACAGAGAAGAACGTTACTGCAGCAGAGATTCGCGATGGAAACCACCCCCCAGAGCGAGTGCGAGGGTTTGGGAACCAGAACTGTAATCAACACACTGCCGGAGGCTCTGCGAGGACAACGCTGAGAGGCAAACTCCAGGGGGACCCAATCATACAGGGGACCCTAAAATTTTGTGAAATTTACCTCTGGGAACTTGACCAGATTTCCACAGTAAATATCAGAGAAAAATCTGCTGGTGTTTCTAGGGATGGAGAAAGGAAAACATTTTAAAATATGCCACAGCACTCTATCCTTCTTAACAAGGCCTGCCTTCTGGGGAAACTAGTTAACTAGAGCCTAGCCTGCTGGGATATTCTCAGAGCCTAACTGGTCTAAGGGCAGGGAAATGCTCAACTCCAGCACTCTCTAGCCATCCTGCTCCATGAGATGCATATGTGAAGTTTGCAGTCCAGAGGCCCAGGTCCATAAAAGACTGAGAGCTAATCACAGAACTATAAAACACTTCCCCTCCAGCCTGGCTGGTGTGGCTCAGCGGTTGAGCATTGACCCCTGCACCAAGAGGTCACCAGTTCGATTCCTGGTCAGGGCACATGCCCAGGTTGTGGGCCAAAACCCCAGTGGGGGGCATGCAGGAGGCAGCCTATTGTTTTTCTTTCTCTCTCCCTCTCCCTTCCTCTCTCTCTAAAAATCAATAAAGAAAAATAAGTAAATAAATAAAATACCTTACCATCACATTACAAGACTTGTTTACAGCATTTCCTTCTACCTAGGACATTATGCCTGGTGTCAAAAATTAAAAGACAGCCTAAAAAGCAAAACACAGAAGAAACAGAGCAAGCACTGTACAGAAATGAAGAATACCATTGATGGGCTTATTAGTAGACTGGACATGACTGAGAAAACAATCTCTGGGCTTGAGGATATTTCAATAGACACCTCCCAAACTAAATGAAAAAAGAAAAAAAGTGGAATAGAATATCCAAGGTCTGTGGGACAACTACCAAAGATATAACATGCATGTAATGGCAATACTAGAAAGAAAAGGAGAGGAAAAAAAAGCAGAAGAAATATTTGAAACAGTGACTGAGAATTTTTGCAAATTAATGTCATATACCAAGCCACAGATCCCAGAAGCTCAGAGAACACCAAGCAGGATGAATGCCCCCAAACTACATACATGAATGTCATTTTTGTTTGTTAATCTTCACCTGAGGATATTTTTTTCCCATTGACTTTTAGAGAGAATGGAAGGGAGGGAGAAAGAGACATTGATGTGAGAGAAACACATTGATTGGTTGCCTCCCTCACACACCCTGACCAGGGCCAGGAACCGAACCTGCAACCCAGGTGCATGCCCTTGACCAGGAATCGAACCTATGAGCCAGGCTGACCACTGAGCCAGAGCTTTGAATGTCATTTTTAAACTGCATAAAAATCAAAGATTAAAAAAATATCCTGAAAGAAGCCAGAGGTAAGGAAAATACAGAAGTAAGAATTACGTTCAACTCCTCAGCAACCACACAAGAGAGTGAAGTGAAATATTTAGTGTTGAGAGAAAAAAACAACAACCTAAAATTCTGTTTCCTGTGAAATTATCCTTCAAAAGAGAATGAGAAAGATTTTCTTAGATGAACAAAAATTGAAGGAGTTTTTTGCCAGCAGACCCCCCCTGCAAGAAATATTAAAAGAAATTCTTTAGAGAAAAGTAAAGATATAGATCAGAAATACAGGTCTTCATAAAGAAAGGAAGAGCATTGGAAAAGAAATGAGTAAGTGAAGGTAAAATTAAAACTTTTGTTTTTCTTATTCTTGATCTAACAGATAATAATTTGTTCAAAATAATAACACTATTCAACTATGTATATTTATGTTTACTTATACTTATGTATAAATTTATGAATGACAGCAATGATACAAAGGATAGAAGGAAGGACTAGGATTTTTTGTTATAAGGTACTAGCACTACTTGTGAAGCAGTATAGTGTGATTTGAAAGCGGACTTGGGTTGGTTATAAATGTATATTACAAACCCTAGGACAACCACTAAAAGGAGCCCTGGCCAGGTGGCTCAGTTGCTTGGAGCATCATCCCGTACACCAGTGGTTCTCAACCTTCCTAATGCCACGACCCTTTAATACAGCTCCTCATGTTGTGGTGACCCCCAACAATAAAATTATTTTTGTTGCTACTTCATAACTGTAATTTTGCTACTGTTATGTCTTAGGCGACCCTTGTGAAAGGGTCATTCAACCCCCAAAGGGGTCGCAACCCACAGGTTGGGAACCGCTGCCATACACCAAAAGGTGGCAGGTTTGATTCCTCATCAGGGCACATACCTAGGTTTCAGGTTCAATCCCTGGTTGAGGCACATACGGGAGGTAACTGATGGATGTTTCTCCCTCACATCAATGTTTCTCTCTCTCTCTCTCTCATTCTAAAAATCAATAAAAACATATCCTCAGGGGAGGACTAAAAAAAAAAAGTACAAAGTATAACTGATATGCTAAAAATGATAGAAAATGGAATCGTGTAAAATGCTCAATTAAAACCACAAAAGGCAGAAAAAGAGTGGAAGACAAAAAATAGAAACAAAGAATAGGGCAATAAATAGAAAACAGCAACAGATATGTAGCTATTAATTCAACTATATCAATGGTCACTTTGAACACACCCTTCCAAAATAAAATACTTAGGTATAAATAAACCTAACAAAATATGGAACTTTATGTGAGGAAAATTACAAAACTCTGATGACAGACATCAAAGAACAAAATATATGGAGAGATAGTCTGTATTTACGGATAGGAAGACTCAGTGTTGTCAACTTGATCTACAGATTCAATGTAATCCCAATAAAAATCCCAGTGAGTTGTTTTGTGGATATTAACAAATTAATTCTCAAGTTTATTTTAATTTTTTAAAATATGTTTTTATTGATTTTTAGAGAGAGAGGAAGGAAGAAAGAGAAAGAAACATTGATGTGAGAGAGAAACATTGATTGGCTGCTACCCACATGCCCCCCACAGGGGATCGAGCCAGCACCTGGGCATATGTCCTGACTGGGAATTGAACCAGGACCTCCCAGTCCATGGGACAATGTTCAATCCACTGAGCCACACCGGCTAGACTGATTCTCAAATTTATATGGAGAGGCAAAAGATTCAGAATAGGCAACACAATATTAAGAAAGAAGTACAGAATTGGAGGACAGACTCAACCTGACTTCAAGACCTACTCTAGAGCCACAGTAATTAAGATAGTGTAGTTTTGGCAAAAACTAGACAAACAGGTCAATGGAACAGATTAGAACACCTGGAAATAGACCCCTCATATACAGTCAACTGATTTTTGACAAAGGAACAAAGGCAATACAGTGGAGCTAAGATAGTCTTTTCAACAGATGATGCTGAACAACTGGACATCCATATGAAACAACAACAACAAAGAATCTAGATCCAGACTTCACAACCTTCACATAAACTAACTCAAAACGGATCACAGATTCAAAACCAAAGACATGATCCATGAAAGAAAGAATTAATAAGCTGAACTTCATTAAAAACAAACTTTCTGCTCTATAAAAGACACTGTCAAAAGACCAAAAAAACAAGCTACAGGCTGGGAAAAAATATTTGCAAAAGAAACATCTGATAAAGTACTGTTACTCAAAATATGCAAAGCACTTTTAACAATCAATAATAAGAACATAAACAACCTGATTTAAAAATGGACCCCAAACCTTAATAGATACCTCACCAAAGAAGACATACAGATGGCAACTAAATAAATGAAAAGATGCTCTACATCACATGTCATCAGGGAAATGCAAATTAAAACAATGAGATACCACCACACATCTATTAGAATGGCCAAAATCCAGACCACTGACACCACCACATGCTGACCAGGATGTGGAGCAACAGGTACTCTCATTGCTAGTGAGAATGCAAAATAGTACTTTGAAAGACAGTTTAGCAGCCCTGGCCGGTTTGGCTTAGTGGTTAGAGTGTCGGCCTGAGGACCAAAGTGTCCTGGGTTCAATTCCGGCCAAGGGCACGTACCTTGGTTGCAGTTCAGTTGGGGTCGTGCAGGTGGCAACCAATCGATGTGTCTCTCGAATCAATGTTTCTCTCTCTTTCTCTCCCTCCCGCTTTATCTGAAGATAAATGTAAAAATATCCTCTGGTGAGGATTAAAAAAGAAAGAGACAGTTTGGCAGTTTGTTATATAATTAAACATATGCTTTTAACCTACGATCAAGCTATCACACTTGTTGGCATTGACCCGCAAGAACTGAAAACTATGTCCACACACACACCTTCACAAGGATATTTGTAGCAGCTTTATTCATAACTACCAAAACCTGGAAGCAACCAAGATGTCCTTGAGCAGATAAATAGATAAATCCAGACGATATAATGTTATTTGATGTTAAAAAAGACATGGAAGAAACTTGAATGCATGTTACTAAGTGAAAGTAGCCACTCTAAAAAGGCTACATACTAACCCTGGCCAGTTTGGCTCAGTGGGTAGAGCATTGGATTCCCAGTCAAGGGCATGTACCTACTTGAGTTCAATCCCTGACCCTGGTTGGGGTCCCTGCGGGAGGTAGCCAATCGATGTGTGTCTCTCTTATATAGGTGTTTTTCTCTCTCTCTCACCCTTTCTCTCTCTCTTCAACTCTATCTTAAAAAAAAAAAAAAAATCAATGGACAAATATCCTTGGGTAAGGATCACCAAAAGTAATTTTTTTAAAAGTCTACATATGGTATGATTCCAACTATATGACATTATAGAAAAATACAAAACTATGGAGACAATAAAAAGATCACTGGTTGCCGGGGGTTAGCTGGGAGGGAGGAAAAGATGAATAGGTGGAGCACAGAGGCATTTTAGGGCAGTGGAACTATTCTGTACTATACTATAGTGGTGGGTACACATTACACATTTGTCCAAACCCATGGAATACACAACAGCAAGTGTGAGCCCTACTGTTAACTACGAACTTTGGGTGATTATGATGTGTCACTGTAGGTTCATTGATTGTGACAAATGTACTACTCTGGTGGAGGATGTTGATGATCAGGGAGGCTATGCATGTGTGGGGGTATATGGCAAATCTCTGTATATTCTGTTTAATTTTGTTGCGAACCTAAAATTGTTCTAAAAAGGTCTATTTAAGAGACTAGAAAAACCGTTAGTTGAGAAGAAGATTAGGAGAGAGGATTTGTTCTGTAAATACTTCCCTTTAAAATTTGGAAACTGTAGCAAAATAAAAAAAGACAGTCCCCCGCCCCTTGTTAGCACATAGACTTCTGTATTAAACTTTGGGTCTAAATGAACATAATTGAGCTTCAGCATGCATGTCCACACTGATCATTGCCTCTGAGAGATGAGACGTTAGAGTGTGTGCCTTTAAGGTCACTAGCTTTCTCACAGTCAGAGCTGCAGGATGACTTTTACTGGTAGGATACTGAACAGCTATTTGGGTGTCTAATGTCAGACCTCCTTTTGTCTGGCCTATGGAGGTGGATCACACAATGATCCAGAATTGTCAGAAACCCTGGGTTTTCAGGCTCTGGTCCAAGGATGGCCACAAACTGGGCCCTGGACAAATTTCTTAACCATCTTGTGTCTTACTCAGTCTTCACTCTGGAAAAGGACTAAATCAAATGCAGACTACTTCCAGTCCCAAACTCTGATTCTATGAGGTATCTTTTTATTATGTTTTCTAGGGTGGTCAGGGGAATACTTATGTTCCTGGATGCCTATTTCGAAGATGATGCCAAAAGCTTTAAGATAGGAAGTGAAATCTCTGCTCTTCCTTGTTTAGCCTTTTCTCACATTTTGATTTTAGATTCTGCACTTTGGTAATAAATGTCGTGGCTGGTGTTTTCCTTCAGTGAACAGCTATTGAATGCCAACATGGTGGTCACTGCTTGAAGTTGAGGATGATTAAAGCAAAGACATGAGATGCTCCTAGGCTATCAAGAGAGGTACATGTCCCAGGGGTTTCTGATGGAAATGGCACTCAGCCAAGACAGGTTGGCATGTTGTCAAAGAGGCTGTCTGGCTGGTGGTCTTCCCAACAAACCTCATGGGGGTGGCATTCATTGCCTTGGAGAATTTACCACAATCTGGAGTCTGTTGCCAGCCTTTCAGGCTCAGAAATCATAGCTTTAGTGAGCACACTAAGAGTAGGTCTGTCTTTTTTTAATTTTTTAAATCCTCACCAGAGGGCATTTTTTGCATTTATCTTCAGATAGAGTGGGAGGGAGAGAGGGGATAAGAGAGAGAGAGAAACATCGATGTGAGAGAGACATATCAAGTGGCTGCCACCCACACCACCCCAACCGGGGCCGGGGACAAACTGCAACTGAGGTACGTGCCCTTAGCGGGAACCGAACCCGGGACTCTCTGGTCTGCCTGCCAATGCTCTAACCACAGAGCCAAACAAGTCAGGGCAGATCTATCTTTTCATTTATTCATTTAGTCAACATTTATGAGCATCAACTATGTGCCAGAAAACGTGTCAGAACTCTATCTGTTAAAAATCATGGAAATTCAAGTTATATTTTTGTGTGCCAAGAAAAGGGGATTGGGGGAGGGGGGACTATCATACTGGGAAATCTGAGCATGTGTAGATTCAGGGGTTCAAAGTTAACAAACCTTTCTCTCCATCTCTTGGTCCTGCTAACTTCTACTTGTCTTCACTCTCAGATTCCCTGGGCAAGGGACTGCTGTCAACACCAATTCCTTTATAGCTCATGATCCCAGAATAGGATGGACCCTCTTCTTTTAAAGCAGCCATCCAGCAGATCTCACGGAGGGGCACTGATTGGCTCTGCCAGGGTCACATATTCATCTCTGAACCAATCCTGTGGTCATTTTGCCCAGACTAGCACTGGGCAAATGTGAATAGGGGGAGAAGTGGGCTCCAGGTGTAGGAAGAAGCTGAAATGGGAAGTTGCTTGACATGTTAGAGAGGAACAAGGAGGCTGGAATGTAGCCAGTAAGGGCAGAGCAGCCACAGCAGACTGGAGGGAGAGGCAAGGACTAGATCCAGCACAGGGCGCCTTATGGTGAAAAGCTTGGGATTTATTCTAAACAGTTTGGAGTGTCTTGAAAAGAGGTTGGCCAAGTCAGAACACCAGTTGGGAAGGCAATGCAGAATCCAGAGAGATAATGGTCGCCTAGACTGTCAATCTCAGCATTCCTTCCGAGCATGATTAGGGACTAAAGCCTATGGGAGAACCTTTTCCAGGGACTCTAACAGAGACCTGGCTCTGCATCAAGTCTGGCAGCTGGTACGTTCTGCACCAGGGCCTCGGTAACCCAGAGCAAACGAAAGTACTCGCCCTCCACACACACAACAGCTGGTCAGGAGCGCACCCCTAGTCTCCACGCACACGAGTCTCTGGATCGGTTCTGCAGTCTGAGGGCTAGTGGGCCCCTGGGGTGCGTCACGTTCCCTTGGCAACTAGAGAACCTGCAGGGATGGGGCGGGGACAAGACTCGTGGCGCTGCCTCGGTATCCAGTGGCGAGTGGGCTGGGGAAGGGCGCGGGCAGTAACTCATCTCTCTCCCATTGCGCCCAAGGCCAACAGCGATCCAGCTAGGGTTGGCGCCCCGCACAGCCGGAGCTTCCTGGGCCCTCATGAAGAACCAAGAGTTTTCGGGTTCGTCAGAGCTGTCCGATGGATGCGATGCGACAGAAACACCCACTGGCTCAGAAGCCCTCCAGACGCCCGAAGTTCACGAGGACGAGCCCGCGGAGCCTGACGAGCCAGAGAAACCCGAAGAAGCCCACCAGCAAGGCCAGCGAGACCAGCTCAACGAGTTCTCCGAGCCCTACGAACTCTACGAGCCCTACGAACCCTCTGAGTTCCAGGCTCCTCGTGCTCTCCGTGCTCCCCAGGAGCCCGAGGACCTCTATGAACTCTGCGAGTTTTACGAGCCCTGTGAGCCCCGAAAGCCCCAAAAGTGCCATGAACCTTATGAATCCTATGAACCCTACGAGTACTACCAGCCCTACGAGCCCCATGCACCCTGCGAGCCCCAGGATCCCTCTGCGCCCCGTGAGTCCCAGGAGCCCTTTGCGCCCCGCAAGCCCCAGGAGCATCATGCGTCCCGGAAGCCCCGCAAGCCCAGCACATCCCGGAAGTCCCAGGGGCCCCAGGCTCCCCGAGAGCCCTACAAGGCCCACGAAGCTGAGCTGCTTCCCAGGACCACCATGATGATGGCCCCATCTCTGGTGACCAAATTCCAGCCACGGATTCCCCTGTCTACCTTGAGCGGTAGGTGTTAGGGACCCTCCAAGGCACTGAGCAAACCGACCCCACCTAAAACTGGGGGTCCTAATATGAAGGTTTGCACACTTGCTTTGTTTTAAAGGAAGATAATTCTTGTTTCATTCACCTGCTGCCTCGCCTATTTTTGGATTTGAAGGGAGGCTGGTGGGAGATTGAGACTCTAGTAGAGAGAGAAATGGAATCTCGTTACTCTCTCCTCCCTCCACCTGATGACCTCCAAGCTGTTCTTGATTTCCTATGGTCGCTTCTTTTTGAAGCCCTTCTTAAGTCTTCTCTACAGGGCTGTTGCATGCCCCTGGGTTGCCACTTGGAACATTACCTTTGTTATAGCACTTAAAATTTTATATTTCATCATTACTTTCTCCCCAGCTACAGGGAGGGATTGTTGAAGGGAAAATGTTTTGTCAGTGTTTGGCACATGGTGACACTCAAGAAATGTTAGCTATTATATTGTTAAAGTTTTAGTAACAAAACACTGAGTAGGTATTCAAAGAGTACATTTACCACATGCTTACTATATGATCAACCCTCACCAAGTTCACGGGGTAACAGGGCTGATGGGACTTGAGTATGAACAGACATCTTTGCTCTGACCACACCAACTCACTTCTGACCTCATTGATGACCCCACCCAAAACAATTCTTTGTTCACATTGGACTTCCAATTCCTTAGATGACCATTTTTTAAATCTCATATTCTTCTTAACTACTCTTTATCAGCCTCAATTTTATGGTCTATCACTTGAGTTGCTCACTTGATCGACCACCTCATTGGCTCTTTGGCTAACCACCATATTTCTCTTGGCTAAACCCCAACCACCTACCTTCTGCCTTCACCTGAGCAGCTAACTACTGCTGTAAAAAATTGAACAATCATTCTGTGTGCTTCTGTTTCAGTTTCATGGCCACAGATCTCAAGCGGTCACTTGGAATCGCCTAGCAAGCCCACTTTATTCACTTAGTTCTCACTCCTCCTAACTTCACACCTTTGACCCCCTAAACAGCTGAAGATTTTGCCTCACACTGTAAGAAAATAGAAGCAATCAGTCACAAACTCCCTTATTTTCTCACCACTGATGTATTGTCGTATCTGAATTCTGACTTTTCATTAAAAAAAAAGTTTTATTGAGTTTTGAGAGAGGAAGGAAAGGGGGAGAGAGGCAGACAGACATCTTTGTCAACCCACTGCCTCCTGCATTCCCCTATTGGGGATCAAGCCTGCAACTGTATCAGGGCAACTGTCTGAGAATCAAATCGGCGACCTTGTGGAGCATGGGACCCCAGAGCTGGCCAAGGCTGCTTCTGCTTTCTCTCACATTGCAGGGAAGAATGGTGCCTCTTCCTACGAAAAGCAAGATCTCCACTTGTGCTTTGGATTCTGTCTCCTGAAGAACTTTGTTCCTGCAGTTATTTCTTCTCTCTCCTATGACGTCAATTTCTCCCTTTCTAATCAATTAGTCCCATGATCATATGCATACACTCTGGAAGCTTCCATCTTGAAATAACTCTTGACCCCATGTCTTCTTCAGACCGCCCCCCCCCCCCTCCCATTACTTTTCCATTCTCCTTCACTGCAGAAGTTGTCAAAAGAGTTGTCTATAATCACTGACTACATTTTCTCATCTATCATTCTCTCCTCAATGCACCTACTTAGGCTTCTTTCCCTTCTACTCCACTGAAATTGTTCTGATTTATTGCCTTTCTTTCCCAAACCAACATCATGTATGGAGATTTCAGTATCCATATGGATGATTCACTGGCTTCTCAGTTCTTTGACCTTTCACTGTGAATGATCTTGTCCTTCACTCCATCTTGGGCACCCACTATTCTAGTCTTTAATAATGTCAATAATGTTGTACCATTTCTAAAATCTTTATTGTAAGCACTCTAATCTCTAACCATATCTGATATTTCTACCTCACTCACTCTTACTTGTACCCCCTCTATCAATTCTTCAGCCTCAAAGGGACCTCTAACTCATTGATGCTATTAGCCTTTCATTATATATCACTATCATATGTTCTTCTGGCTGCTCTCACTCATTTTATCGTCCATGGCCCACCAATGGAATTACTCCTTTGCAAATATCCTCAACTCCCTTGCCTCTTCCTCTATTATTCTTGCCAATTCTTGTTTGCACTTGATAAAACAGATGATGGCAACAGAAAAACAACTATTCTGACATCTTCATATTCATGATCTCAAACTTTAAGTGGACTCTCAGTGCAATCATACTATATGTCCCTAGTCAACTCTTTTTCCAACACAGAAGCTACCAAACTACCAGCATCTGTCTATGTACTCTACCTTTTCTTCCATTAATAATTGATGAACTGTATTTGTTCCTATTAAAGGCCAATCTCCCAACCTGTATGTTAGATTCTATCCCATCCAACTTTAAGCTCTTGGCTCCTAAAATTAGCCCTCTCCTGCATTATTTTATTCCTCTCTCTACTGGATCATTCCCAACAGCACATGAACATGCAGCAATAACTACTATCTTAAAAAAAAAAAAAAAAATCTTCCCTTAACTCTTTATATCCCTTCAGGTACCATTTCTGTTTTCCTGCTCCTTTTTAGAGAAAAATTCTTTGAAATAGTTATCTATAAATCATTATGTCCATATCCTCTCTTTCCATTCTCTTGAGAATACCCTGGAGCTTTTCTCCTCTACTGAAGTTGCTCTGTTGAGGTCACAATGACCTCTGCCTTGCCAAATTCAAGTGTTAATTCTCCATCTTCATCATACTCATTTGACACCCACACCCTCTTTCTTGGAAGTCTTTCTTTAATTGAGTTCTGGGATACCACCGCTTTCATTGTTATCCGACCTCATTGATTATTACTGACTCAGTTTCCTTTTCTAGATCCCACTTCTCTTCCCAGCCTCTAGGTTGAAGTGAGCGCCGGATCAGTTCTCTCAGATTCTTTAGAATTTTACTTGTTCCTTGAGTGATGTCATCGGTTCCATGGCTTTAATTGTATGCTGGTAACTTCCCAAATTATCTCTAGCCTCAAGTTCTTTCTTAAGCTCCGGAGTTTTTAACCAATTGTTTAACATACCTAGTTGAACATCTAGTAAGCATGTAAAATTTAGTGTGTCCATAGCTGAACTCTCACTGCTGCACCCAGACTTGTTCTTCCCCCCATTGTTCCTCATTTCAGCAAACATCACCCCCCATTCATTCATCCAGGTGCTCAGGTTGAAAGCCTTGAAGTAATTCTTGACATCTATTACACTCTTATACCCTGTCTCCAAAGCATTAGCAAACCCTAATTTTGAAATATATCATGACTATGGCCATGTCTTAACATCTTAAACCTTTATCATCTTTGTAAGCCACTATCTTTTTTGCTTGGTCCATTGCAACAGCTCCATTCTTGCCCCATTCTCCCTACACCTCCTCACCCCAGTTTATTGTTCATACAGTGGTCACAGGGATCCCTTAGAACATACATTATATGCAACTCTCCTGCTCTCAACTCTCCAGGGGGGTTCTCATCTCACATAGTTTGTAATCTAAAATTCTTAGCAGGCCTACAAGGCCCCACATGATCTGGGCTCTGCCTGCCTCCCCAGCTTTATGTCCCATCACTCACTCTCCCCACCATCGCTGCTCTTCGGCCACGTGGGCCTCCCTGCTTTCACCTCACCATCATTTCACTTACTTCTTCCTTTGCCAGGACAACCTTTCCTCAAATATTTGTCACCTTCTTATAAAGATGTACCAGGTCACTCTGTTTGTGTACTTTAAAGCAGGCATCTATTTGTTTCTATTTACGAATGTATTTGTTTACTGTTTACATTAAGCTCTCAGAGGGCAGGACCTTCCTCTTTCCCACCATTTCATCCTCAATGCCTCAAGTGGTGTCTAGAACAAGTCAGGACTGAGCAATTATTGTTGAGTGAAAGCTCTCTTCCTTCAGCCTCTGTGTTACCAAATCCAAGGTTTCTTCTTAAGGTTAAATGCATAAATCCCAGTAAAGCATTTATAACAGACTGTGGTACACGGTAAGTGTTCAGTAGATGTTAGCAATTAGTAGTAGTAGTGTTAGTATTATTATCTTATTTGACCTCTTGGCAGCATTTAATGCAATAGACCACTTCTTTCTTGAAACATAAACCTCTTTCTCTTAACCTCCATGACACCACAATCTCCCAGTTTGTCACTGACTTGACTGGTTGCTTCTTCTCTCATTTGCTGAGCCTTCCCTGTTCTCCAGAACTCTAAAGGGCTGAATCTTAACCCGTTTCCTTTTTATTTACACTTTTTCCCCCTTAGGTGGTCATATCTATAATCACAGCTTTAAATAGAATGTTTATGCTGCTGCCTCCTAAATATATACATTCTAGCTCTATTCTCACTCCTAAGTCCTACACTTATATATTCACTTGCCTATTGGACATCTCCATCTGGATATATCATAGGCATCTCAAATGTAATGTATTTTGAGACAGAAGTCTTGATTTTCTTCCCATTATTGTTTCCCCCTGTCTCCCAACTAGATGCTTGCAGAAAATGGCATACAGTTGCTTAAGCCAAAAAAAAAAATCTATTATTTCTCCCTGATATCTTTTTCTTTACCCACACATCCAAAGCATCCAATGCAAGTGCTGTTTGTTTTCTCTCTAGAATATTTCCCAAATGTATTCATTTCCACTACTAACATTCGCATCCCAATTGTGGTCACTGATCACCTGGAATTCTACATTAGCTTCCTGAGCTGTCTCCCTGCCTACTCTTGTCCCCTGAAATCTCTTTGCTACTGCAGCCAGAGTGGGTATTTTAAAAACTGAATTGGGCTTTTGGAAAATGGCAGCGGAGTGAACAGAAGCTACACAGACCATCTCCCAGGACCAAACTGGAATTACAACGAAAATAAAGACAAATCGTCAGGAAAAGGCAACCGAAAAGCAGCTTGGAGGGCCACATAACTAGGGACACTGACTCAGTCCTGGTAGGCTTGCAAAGACGCAAGAGGGGGCCGGG